TTTTTATGTTTTTATTTTAGTTACAAAAGCCGTTTTTCAAACATTTAAATTAGAATCTGTGTTAAAAGTGATTATTGATTATAGACTTCGTCTAAAAAGAAAGAGGGAATTAGGAATTAGCTGTAAAAGTATTATATTATTAAGTTAAACTACCCAATTCACATGCAAGGGGCGACTTTTTGTTTTTGTTTTGACTACACGCCTGACCTTACTGCTGCTGATGCCACAGCAGAGGAGACTGGCTCTAAAATGTGCAAGATAATTAAACACACAGTACAAAAGTACACATATTTTAAAGTTTAAAGGTTTTTAAGAGATTTGAGTCTTGTTTTTTATTAAGAGAGAGTTTCTGGTCTTAAAATGTCATCATTAGTAAGATAATAAGTAATCTTTATTTACATAGCGCATGTTGAAAAACCCAGAGCGCTCCAAAATTGTTTTGACTTTAGGGAGAAAAACAATCTCATTTGCATACTGATATCTGTTGTTTTTTTAAAATGGCCGTCTCAAGGATTGTTTTTCAGACTCTGCCACACTGTACGAGAGGTCACTGCTGGACACTGGACACCAAAGCCCACCCAGCCACAGGTCACAGATCAAAGAGCAAAGGGAAATGCCACCTCCTTGCCCCTCCCCACGCCACTGCAGAGCTGAGTGGGTGTGAGAGAGACCGGGGCCATGAAAGAGAAGTATCTGGAGACGTGATGGTGGAGCATCAGGGAGAGACCTGAATGAGAGTTGAGAGTGTGTCCAGTTGGGTTACATCACCACAGTGTGACCTTTGACGCCTACAGGTGGTTCGAGGAGTCTGGAGACACAACCCCAAAATTCACACCCTACATACACACACACACACACACACATACATTCACACATTCACATTTACATATAGATACATGAAAAAGCAGAACATGAGAAAAAAGCATTTTAAAAGTTTACTCCAATGTAAACACATTTTTAATTGTCTATCACTTGAATCTTTATTTGAATCAGTATTTTTTGAGACCAGAAATGTTCATTTGAATTCTATATTGTCATGGACATAATTGACGTCTGTCCTGACACTTTTGATTTGTTGATTTTGTACTGTGTGAAGTAATTACATTGATTAGAATTAGATCTGATAAAAACACAAATTAGAGAAGTAAACTGCGCTTGCTTTTGTCTGAGGGACATTAGCAACAGCATGAATAGAAATTGTGTTAAAGTAGAATCAAAGTGACTTAACCATAGAGAGTAACTACTGCATAACAAGCTGTGTACAGGAACTGAGACACTGCACCATTGACCAGAAGTGCATCGCAAATGACCTGATGTGCTTCGAGTGAAAAGACTGTATCTGGAGATCCTGATGTGCATCTGGAGAGACCAGAACCATGGCTTGGACCCTACTGATGTCCAAGATGACATCTCTCGAATATATGACCTGACCTGATGACGACTGAGACTCACCCTCAGGGGACCCTGGGGACCTGAGGATCTGAGGACCTGAGGACCCTGAGGACCTGGGGACCTGAGGATCTGAGGACCTGAGAGAGAAAAAACTGGGGAGTGATGTTTATATTATTGAAATCATACATTGATGAGTGCTAAATGAGAGAGATACTCATGATTCTTTCTTTTGTTTTTGTTTGTCTCTAGCTTCTGGACATCTGATGATCTATTGGACACAGCCATTTGCAGAACAAGAACCAGCCAATGAAAAACGTCTATTGCTGATGCTCTTGCTACAACCAGAACCTGTGACCAAATGCAATATACATGTTAAGTATTCAGACATCTGACAGACAAAAACTTTGACTTTTTTGTCTGGGAGACTGAGCAACTGTTAAAATGTTTTAAAATGATAAAGTATGAGTATTGTAGCGTTTTAGTAGATGTTAAATAGTAGTAAAAAAGTAGAATTGTCCTTTCTTTGTTGTTCATAAACACATTTCCACATAAGAGTTAAAATAGTACCCTACAATGTTATCCTTTTGATAGATCAGCTATAATATTAGAATCAGAGTATTTTAGAGATATTAAAAGTGACAGAAGTCACAAATTAGGAATATGCCTTTGCTCAAGCTGCAGCCGAGCTTTTGAGTTAAAAAATAGAGTAAAAATAGGAATAGATAAATGCATCAACCATAGATGCTTTCAAAAATTGTTTGCTTTCAGAGATTATTTGTAGCCAGTGCTAATATCAAATGGTAAAGGGACCATTTCACAAACATTTACTTAAAAAATAGATAAAGTTAATTACAGTTTTATGTACAGTTTTATTAGATACCTTCCAAATTCACTTGTGTTCAAACATCTGTGAATGTTGACAATACAAAAAGTTCATGAAAGTAGCTTAGATCAATGAGATAGATTAGCACCAACAGAGATTCAAAAGCATTTAAAAGCATTTTGATGTATTTGTGTATAGCACAAAAACACAATAGTAGATATTTAGATATTTGGATATCTTTGAGAAGTTTAAAAAGCTGTAGATTCATCAGCACAGATTAGAATCAGAATTCAAACACCATTGTAGAATAACTGACCCCAACCCCAAACCTGCTCAAATAGATTAGCACTTGTAAGGATAATACTAATTTGATTAAAGGTGTACATTCATCCCAAACTGCTTGAGAGGAGGAAGTGACAGCACTTCCTGGTTCAACAAATATTTGGAAAACTGACCGCCATAATAATGTTCATATTAACCATTTGCCTTACTGTGTTCACAGTTTTATTCCTGAGAATGTAGAATAGAGATAGAACAAAATCCCACTGATAATAAGCCACTGATAATGAGAGTGTAATACCACAGAGAGATTTATTAGATTAAAATGTATGTTTAAGAATATGGCTCAATATAAGCAAATATGCAAACATATTTGTGAATAGATTAGAATAGTTTTAAACTATAGTGAATCATGAAAGTAAAGTACACAGTCTAAGATTGAAAAGTGAAAATAATACAGTGAAATAAGTGAAGTGTAAACAATTAGCATTAGAATAAAAGTATAGAGTAATAAAAGTGAAATTAGCTTCTAATTTGAGACTCAGCTCGTTTTTGTCTGTGTTTTGACTGAATCTGCTGAGTTCTTGTGTGTCCAATAGAGTTTGTTTGTTTTTATTTTTGATTTGTTTTTGTTTGTTTGTTTATTTACTTCATTTTTGTTTGTTTATTTTTTCCCAGGATAGAGGATAAAATCCACTGATATTGATTTGATGATTATGAGTTTAATGCATACATTTTCTTTGTTTTTTAATAATTTTTTTAAGTTTTTTTTTTTTTTTTTTTTTTTTTTCTTTTTCCACTTTATTGATTGATCGATTTGAGTGATCACATGTGATTATGTGATCAAAGGGGAGGGTGTTAGTATTAGATAGCAATATGGCCTACGTGCAGGACTCTACAAGGACTCCATGTTATGACTATGATGTGACTGTCTCTTTGTGACACGTATGTCTTTCGATGTGTGACGTGACAATGACTATATAAACTGTGTACTGCCTTTATTCTGTCTGAGAGAAAGAAACAGTAAACCAGTGGAACTTGAGAGAAACTTAAATAAACTTCCAGAGTTTGGCACACCACAATCCGTCTCTGTCTGCTAAATCCTAACACTCCTCCACAGCAAGCAGAGTCAGTTGAGATGGCCTGAGAATCTGTTTCTGACATGTCCCACCAGGATTTGCTCCCTGGGAAGCATGCAGGGACTCTCAGCTGGAAAGGCCCACCCCTATCATTACTTTAACAACTTTAACAGTTGCATGATTAGACCACTGGAACTTTCTCTAGTTTTTGACTTTTTTTGGTTATCCTGCATGTTGTGTTGGAATATTGTTAAGTTCATCTTCTAGATTCAACCATCATCATTGCAAATCAATCTTCATGAATCCTTCACAGTTCTGCCTACATTTTAGAACTATTAAGTACAGATAATCTTTCCTCTTTGTTGTTGCTTTGTAATTTAGTCTTTAACCTCTTTGTATAGTTGAATTCACACCTCATTTAATCTGTATTGCATTGAATCAAGAGCCATGCAAGCGACACATTGTTACCATTGACCATTACCATTATCTCACCACCTGTCCGCTACTGTACAGGGCTTCTGTGGGTCTCACTGCTTGACCCGGCCTCTGCAGAGTATGTAGAATAATCAATATTCCTCTTCTTTTGCTGCTGTTTGATCTTCTCTCTTTCTGCTTGGATCAATTTGATGAGGACAGCGGCATGACTTTATCCATACTGAATTTCCCTGCGGTCGGTTCAGCCATCATTGCAAATGTCCGACATTGTAAAGTCACTGTATTGTGTGAAGGCCTTTGTTGAGAAAGCTTCTGGCTACTTTGACGTACCTCAGCATCATCCAAGGTCTACGCTGCATATGCTGTATATATGTAGTGTGATTCCCAACTGGGTCAAGAGTGGAATAAGCTATTACGTACACATAAATCACCGTGTTTTCATCTAGCGCCTGTCAACTAGTCAAACATCCAAGGACGTGTAGGTACTTCTGAACTGCTGACAGTGGAACAGTAGATTAAAGAGCTTTACACGTAACTATCGCTGTGGACACAATACAGTGTGTAGTGTTACTCAGGTGTGCACTTAACACTAGATTACAGTGGATGTTTTCAAATATTCATCTTGGCAACGTCAAATATTGATTATTGACCAGAACAGCAAGACAAATCTATATTAGCCTGTACAGTATTTGCATATCGAGGAGAAGATAGCAAGACTGTAGTGTTGAATAAATCATGTTTTACTATTTGTGGCTTATTTACGTGGTTTATTAGCCTGGCTCCAGCTGAACTTTGGGCCTGCCTTCATACAATTTCACGACCTGGCCGCTGAAATGTTATGCAAGGCTAAAATATTTCAAAATAGCTTACTGAGATTATTTCCTGTATTGTACATCTGTCAGTGGCATTACATTATTTTCCTTCACTGTCTCTTTTGTCAGTATCGAGGAGAGTCCAGCCCCTGCCCACTCTCCCCCGCTGCTCTCCTCAGCATGGCAGACAGTCGACAGCCAGAGGACGGCGCCCCCCAGTGGAGCCCATCAACCGGGCAGGAGGCGACCAGTCCCCTTGGAGCCAATGGATTCTCCACCTCCTCCTTCATAACTTGTCAGACTGGAAGCATCATGAGCACCGGCCCCTATGCAGCCCGTGAAAATGGCTTCAATGGAGACCTGACTGGAGGACATGCCATTACTGCAGGTGAGATGCAAGGTTGTCTCAATATTAAAGCTGGGGAAGCTCAAAAATGTAACCATAAATTCCATGTAAGTAGTTCCTTTCCCCCAAAACAGTTTGGGTCTATCACTAGATTTTACGTCTATATAATTCTAAGCCACCGTGTTTAATTTTTACAGTTGCTCCTTATGAAAAAACATGTTAACTAATAATAATGAGACTTTTTAAGAATATTTACCACCACCATTTTTTTCTAATTGTTTTCATAGACTTAGAATTCCACTTTTATAAATGTCCGTGAAAGAGGAGAGCTCTTCGTGTGAATGCGCCATCTTGAAAAACAGCGGTGGATAATGGACAAAAAGGATGCGAGAATCACCTTTTTGTTTCTACTGCCACTGTTGTTATATTGTTGCTTTCACCGTGGCCTCACAAGTTTGAAGAAGGAACCATGAAGGACAACATTATATAAAAGTACCATGAAGGACCATGGTATATATTATAATAGATCCATGGTAAAACTCAGTGCAGCCTCTGTGCAGCGGGTGCAGCTTCAGAACGCGGTCTGGTTTACAACGTGACTGTGTCAAGGGCCCGAGACGTTTGGAGAGATCCGGTCATTTATCAAACTAAAGTATTCTGTCCTTGGCAGTCGGGGAAGGACTGAGAGTTTAGAAGCACTGTCAAAGACGACATATTGTCTTTCAAAGGCTTCCGTAGGACCCTGGACTGCAATATGATCTCAACACTAGACGGCAGTAAAAACTACACAGTGTACCTTTAAGGCTCTGTCACATTACTAGATCAGACAGAGAGTGATACAGAGAAGACCAATTACCTCATTGCTAAAAGTGACTAATCGTGACTTACATGGCTCTTTCTTACAAGAATGGACAAGATAATATTTAGTTACATTCATTAACATTTATGGACATTGGTTATCGGCCACAATTGGACCAATGGCTCTGTGTTTTTTTATTGTTGCATTTAGTGGGTTTGAGCTGTTTCATTCTCTGATTTGTGCTGGTTGGATCAGAAAATGTCGGAAAAGAAAGTGTATTCCACCTTTAAATATATCACATATGAACTCACTTCGGTGTTAGTACTCATTTGAAGTATCAACACTAAAAGAAAAATATTGTGCATACTTTGCAAAGGTATCCATCCCATTATTTGCTGATCATCACATTCTTATGAAAACTTGAGCATCCTGAGACACATCACCTTCTAAAGTGCTGAGTCATGTTTTAGAAATGCCTTTACTCATCAAAGTCTAAAGAGCAGACACTTTCTGACTGAAGACGTCTGAAGGCCCAACGCTCCGTTCAGATGCGTTTTATTATGTAACAGGACATTTATTTTATCTATTTGTACTTGTAAGAGGCCTTTTACAAAGAAAATATCCAATTGTAAACAGTAGGATTATATAGAAGGATAAACCACAGATTTTAAGCCCAAAATGATGAGTGTAACAGGGCTACACAAGCTAGCAAGTTAGCATTGTCAATTCCTATCCTGTGTATATCTGCATTACATTTTACACAGAATATGGCAAAAGTTCTAATTCTTTGAGAGAGTATTTTGTTGTGCGATTTTAGTGTGTAATTTTAAATGCCTTTTGTTGTGCGTGGGTTAGAATGCAGAAGCCTCCCTGCAATCCCATACTGTTATTAAGACTACTGTAATTAACACATAAAAACTGCCTCTTTAGCCCTGACTCTGTTCTCAACCGCGAGCTACAGTCCTGACAATGATGTACCAATGGAGTCGCCATGGCAACCGCTCCCCTACAATTTACCGTGCTTTTGTTCTTTTGGACTGCAGCTTCCTGCAGACGAGACAAAGCCTTTACGAAATCCACATACTGTATCAATGACTCACTGTCCAAGGACTTAATATGCATCTCACTGACAGGGTGCATTAAAAGGGTATTTTCATTTATGTAATTTGGAACATAGGCAATTTTTTTAATTTATTTTATACAATTTATTACGTGTGAAAATTAGCAAATGTAGACATGGAAGTTTAAAATGTGATTTGTAATGGGTTTTAATCAGTAGAAAAACGTTTTAGGCGCCCAAAGTAGCAGAGTTGAGTCAGATCAGCCTGGCTTGAATATTGAATGTCTTTTGACCGGATAATAGTTTTCTAAATGTTATGTTATTTGATTATTATCTCATTTGTTTGCTCCAGTGGCACTTAACTGTAGCAGCACAAAAAACTATTCAATCCAGGGTGACTAAGATCATTTGCATTTTTTTTTCAACAGTACATCAAAGGAAACATTACATTTTTTTGTGACTAGCTAATTTGACACCATTTATATAAACGATCAATTTTGCGGTCTATTAAAAGAGGACTCTCGACAACTGATGCATGTTTCGCCCGAATAACAATGGGATACGACTCTGCGGCCCGCCAGTCTGTTGCCATGGTGACCGGTATCTTCGCTGGTTGATGCTGGTGCCGGGTATAGCACCAAATGGCACTCTCTCTACTGTATTTGTGCCCCCTCGATCCCCATAGCGAGCGTGTGTGCGTGTGTGTGTGTGGCAGCCTGGTTGGTAGCGACTGACTCAGGATTTTTAGTCAGTGTCTTTTCTGCTTTGAGAGGGAGAGCGTCTCTGCTACTACTAATCGTCTGTAAAGAGGTAAAATAGAGACTTTTCCCCTCGTTCTGGGACTGCCCTTTTCTGCATGTTTGTAGCCTGCATTATTTATGTGTGAAAACAGTTGTCGGTGCATGCTGCTTGTCCTCGTTGTCAGATCAGTGTAGTGCATCTGATGTGACATGAGCCTTGTCAGGAAATTGCTGAGGCGACCAGACAGTCTGCGTTACTGGCTCCAAGCTTCGAAGGCAAGGTCAATTTTACAGGGCGCAAACTTTGTGTGTGTGTGTGTAGGCGTTCATATGTTGTTTTTACAGTGCAAAATCCATTAACCAGAAATGTGACGGAGGACAGGAAGGTGCTTTGTCTGCCGGTATGTGAACTGCATAAGGTTAAATTCTTAATTTTTGTATTGTTGGAATAGATCTTCTGTTATAAATTCAGAAAGGAATAACATAATTGTAAGTCCTGTACACATAGATTGAACCTGATTTAGATCCCTACAAGGATATGAACGGATTGCACATAGCAAATAATGAAATGTGCCATTCATTTGTGTGCATATCTATTCTATTCTATTTTAGACAACATAGAAAGCCGTAGAAAAGTATGTAATGTAGAAATGTTTTAAAATATGCTCTTTAATTTATGTGTCACTCAAATAGTGGACTTCCTAGTGGACTTCCCAGCTGACAACATTGCGCATATTTTAGGCCATAAATCTCTTCAGAATTCCATCCATCATTACAACTTTTACAAGATTAATTTAACAAGCGTGCAATTAGCCTGCGTCAACCTCTGAGTGCCTTTTGCTGGTATTAGATGAAAGCTTTCTCCTTGTAAGCTGTAAAACGTTTGCTCCGAAGATGTCTCTTGCTGTTCAGTTTTGGAAATGGGGGAATAGCTGCTTTGAAAGGGTGAGTGGGCAGTGTTAAGTGTTCTCAGAAGGGCAATTGCATGTGTGTGTAGCTGTAAAATCAGTCAACAGTCACGACAAAGTGTGGACTTATATTTGCAGGTATAGGCAGAGGTTAAGGGTAAGCATGGAGTGAGTATTATGAGTTTGATGTAAGGGATTGTCCCCCGCAAGGCATAGAAATCAGAAATATGTGTGAGAGAGTGTGTGCTCAAATGAATGCCAGCTTGTTTGTGGATGTGGGTTGATGTTGGCTCAGAGTAAGGTCTTAAAACAGCATCAGTATATGGAGCACGCTGCCACCCCGACCAACATAGGAGCCGGATTAGTGCCTAGTGCAGGACTGTAGATTGTTAAAAAGAATATTAAGTCAAACCTGTTCCAATAACTATCACAAACCTACAGTATCAGAGATATTTAGACGATTAAGAATGTTCTATGCAGATGTGATTTGATGTGAAATAGCTAAATAGAGATGTTGTTTTATTTTAATTAGTATTGCTAAAGTTAACTTATCTTGTGCTGTGTGCTCCTCTTTCCTACTGTTCAATAACTTGTGATGCAACACTGAAATTTCCCCACTGTGGGACGACTAAAGGATCTCTCTTAATCTTAATCTATGTATTCAGCCGCTAAAGTAAGATTGTCAATCTGCAACAATCAGTCCATGTAAACTTTTGTTATTGTTGAAATTTATTTTTGGAAGAATGGCTGAAACAAACACCTTTTATGAATGACTTGTTTTTCAATTTTTTCATACATAATTTTATCCATCTTGGAATTAAACAAAACACATTTCTCATTTCAATACAGGCATGTGCATCCTAAGCACTGAACTACATTTTATTACAAAGGCCTAGATATAAATTATGCATGCAGAAATGAGAAAATGAATAGCTCATTTGCTAAAACAGATAAGTGCCATGGAAACATATCGGAAAAGCTTACGATTTCACTTTCAGATTCAATTATTCGCCATTTACAGTAAAACCACATTGGAATACATTTGTAAAAGTCCCCAGTATGTCGAGATGTCCTGCACCTGCCAGAAGGAAGAAGCTGGAACATGGCTTTTCCAGGGTGGCCAGAAGAGTCATTGATAATTCTAAGAACTCGGTTTAAAAGTCTGGATTTATAAAGAACCTCCAGAACAGGAAGCTCACAGTTCTCTCTCTGGTCTCTCTCTGGTCTCTCTCTGGTCTCTCTCTGGTCGGTCTCTGGTCTCTCTCTGGTCTCTCTCTGGTCGCTCTCTGGTCTCTCTCTCTGGTCTCTCTCTGGTCTCTCTCAGGTCTCTCTCGGGTCTCTCTCTCTGGTCTCTCTCTGGTCTGGTCTCTGGTCTCTCTCTGGTCTCTCTCGGGTCTCTCTCTGTGGTCTCTCTCTGGTCTCTCTCTGGTCTCTCTCTCTGGTCTCTCTCTGGTCTCTCTCTGGTCTCTCTCTCTGGTCTCTCTCTGGTCTCTCTCTGGTCTCTCTCTGGTCTCTCTCTGGTCTCTCTCTGGTCTCTCTCTGGTCTCTCTCTCTGGTCTCTCTCTGGTCTCTCTCTCTGGTCTCTCTCTGGTCTCTCTCCGGTCTCTCTCGGGTCTCTCTCTGTGGTCTCTCTCTGGTCTCTCTCTGGTCTCTCTCTCTGGTCTCTCTCTGGTCTCTCTCTGGTCTCTCTCTGGTCTCTCTCTGGTCTCTCTCTCTGGTCTCTCTCTGGTTTCTCTCTGTCTCTCTCTCTCCGGTCTCTCTCTGGTCTCTCTCTCCAGTCTCTCTCTCTCTGGTCTCTCTCTGGTCTCTCTCGGGTCTCTCTCTGTGGTCTCTCTGTGGTCTCTCTCTGGTCTCTCTCTGGTCTCTCTCTCTGGTCTCTCTCTGGTCTCTCTCTGGTCTCTCTCTGGTCTCTCTCTCTGGTCTCTCTCTGGTCTCTCTCTGGTCTCTCTCTGGTCTCTCTCTCTGGTCTCTCTCTGGTCTCTCTCTGGTCTCTCTCTGGTCTCTCTCTGGTCTCTCTCTCTGGTCTCTCTCTGGTTTCTCTCTGGTCTCTCTCTCCGGTCTCTCTCTGGTCTCTCTCTCCAGTCTCTCTCTCTCTGGTCTCTCTCTGGTCTCTCTCGGGTCTCTCTCTGTGGTCTCTCTCTGGTCTCTCTCTGGTCTCTCTCTCTGGTCTCTCTCTGGTCTCTCTCTGGTCTCTCTCTGGTCTCTCTCTCTGGTCTCTCTCTGGTCTCTCTCTCTGGTCTCTCTCTGGTCTCTCTCGGGTCTCTCTCTGTGGTCTCTCTCTGGTCTCTCTCTGGTCTCTCTCTCTGGTCTCTATCTGGTCTCTCTCTGGTCTCTCTCTGGTCTCTCTCTGGTCTCACAGCTCACAGTCCTTTTTGCAGAGCGGAGCACCTTGTTTAGAGCTCTACTTTCTTTGTCTGTGATGTCACCAAACCACACAGTAACAGAACCAACAAGTTAACTTTGTAAAACAAGTCAAATGTAAATTTACCAAGTAGTTTTGTGAAAAGCCAGATCTATTTTAGTGCCATACAAATAAATGTGCAAATTCCTGTGCAAAAGTGTACTGCCATTAACAGAACATGTTGAAGATTGTGACTTGAGGAATACAATATTTGGACAACATTTCAAAACGCAGATATCTGATTTGTGAACTCTTCAAACATATTGTTATTTCTTGTGCTTGCTTTGTTGCTGCATTGCCACCAGTGAGATAGATAGATTTTAATGGTCATCATCCATCCATCTTCTTCCCCTTTGTCCATTTCTGGGTAGTAGGGGTTAAGTGTCTTGCCCAAGTACACCACGACAGCAGACGTACGTGGAAGTCGATGGAGAAAGTCTTGTGGGGGGATCGACCCCACGACCTACAGGCTCAAAGGACAATGCTGTACCATTTGAGCCACTGTCGCATTATACTGGTCACATTAAACGTTTTTCAAGGGACTGAAATAATACTGTATTTTTTTAGTTTAATTCCCTTGATGGTTCCAATCTGCACCATTGTGTTTTCAAACCGTCACCACTCGACATATACAGCATATGAAGAGGCTTGGTGAAGGATGAGGGATTTGGGACTGAGGGTTTGACATTGCCTCAGTGTATGGTAATCATGGTCAATCCAATGCATCAAGGAGCTTTTTTCAGAAAGTTTGAAAACTTAAAGACTTCCGTATGTTTTTCTTCCACAACTGTGCAAACATAGTAAAACACAGAGCAATTCTGGGCAAAACCCAGAATAGATTTAAAGTGCGAAAGTATTCGGCCCCCTTGAACCTTCCAACATTTTGCCCCATTTCAGGCTTCAAACATAAAGATATAAAATTAGATTTTTTTGTCATGAATCACATACAAGTGGGACACAATCATGAGGTGGAACGAAATTTTTTGGATAATTTAAACTTTTTTAACAAATAAAAAACTGAAAAGTGGGGCGTGCAATATTATTCGGCCCCTTTACTTTCAGTGCAGCAAACTCAGTCCAGAAGTTCAGTGAGGATCTTTGAATGATCCAATGTTGTCCTAAATGACTGATGATGATAAATAGAATGCACCTGTGTGTAATCAAGTCTCCGTATAAATGCACCTGCTCTTTGATAGTCTCAGGGTTCTGTTTAAAGCGCAGAGAGACCCATGAAGACAAAGGAACACACCAGGCAGGTCCGAGATACTGTTGTGGAGAAGTTTAAAGCCGGATTTGGATACAAAAAGATTTCCCAAGCTTTAAACATCTCAAGGAGCACTGTGCAAGCAATTATATTGAAATGGAAGGAGTATCAGACCACTGCAAATCTACCAAGACCCGGCCGTCCCTCCAAACTTTCATCTCAAACAAGGAGAAGACTGATCAGAGATGCAGCCAAGAGGCCCATGATCACTCTGGATGAACTGCAGATAACTACAACTGAGGTGGGAGAGTCTGTCCATAGGACAACAATCAGTCGCGCACTGCACAAATCTGGCCTTTATGGAAGAGTGGCAAGAAGAAAGCCATTTCTCAAAGATATCCATAAAAAGTCTCATTTAAAGTTTGCCACAAGCCACCTGGGAGACACACCAAACATGTGGAAGAAGGTGCTCTGATCAGATGAAACCAAAATCAAACTTTTTGGCCACGATGCAAAACGATATGTTTGGTGTAAAAGCAACACAGCTCATCACCCTGAACACACCATCCCCACTGTCAAACATGGTGCTGGCAGCATCATGCTTTGGGCCTGCTTTTCTTCAGCAGGGACAGGGAAGATGGCTAAAATTGATGGGAAGATGGATGGAGCCAAATACAGGACCATTCTGGAAGAAAACCTGTTGGAGTCTGCAAAAGACCTGAGACTGGGACGGAGATTTATCTTCCAACAGGACAATGATCCAAAACATAAAGCCAAATCTACAATGGAATGGTTCACAAATAGACGTATCCAGGTGTTAGAATGGCCAAGTCAAAGTCCAGACCTGAATCCAATCGAGAATCTGTGGAAAGAGCTGAAGACTGCTGTTCGCAAACGCTCTCCATCCAACCTCACTGAGCTCGAGCTGTTTTGCAAGGAAGAATGTGCAAGAATTCCAGTCTCTCGATGTGCAAAACTAATAGAGACATACCCCAAGCGACTTGCAGCTGTAATGGCAGCAAAAGGTGGCGCTACAAAGTATTAGCGCAAGGGGGCCGAATAATATTGCACGCCCCACTTTTCAGTTTTTTATTTGTTAAAAAAGTTTAAATTATCCAATAAATTTCGTTCCACTTCACGATTGTGTCCCACTTGTTGTTGATTCTTGACAAAAAATTTAATTTTTATATCTTTATGTTTGAAGCCTGAAATGTGGCGAAATGTTGAAAGGTTCAAGGGGGCCGAATACTTTCGCAAGGCACTGTATGTAGGTTATGCTTGGATAAACTAAGTAAGGGATAATGTATATTACGCAGGTCATTATCGGAAAATAAGTACCGCGTGGGGGTCCGCTTCTTGTACCAACAGAACACACAAAATAAACTTCAGTCCACTCTTAGGAATGCCGAAAGGTTTCTTTAATGACAGAAAAGAAAATTGTTCCCAAAGGCTTTCCCGTGGCTATGCTTGTAACAGTTAGGCTAGTAACAGTTAGGCTAGTAACTTCCAGACTAGAACTCTCTGGAACTGCATGAAAAATGAACACAGAATCCTGGACATCAGCGGTGAGTGACCCAAACATTAACTTAACCTAAATCCATAATTCAATCCTCTGCAAATGTTCCTAAAATGTCCCGGAATCTACTTCTGGGTTTTTTGCGATCGATTTTTGTCACATTAAAACAGTATTTTTGTCATGAAAACGTTAACAGATACTTCTGAAAACCTCTGTGCACTTGTGTTAAGAATGTAAATGTATAATGTATTCTCCCATTTACATTTAAATGTGTTGATTGATTGGTATTTGCGTTTATTGAGCGTGTCTAGCTCTGGAGTGTCCGAAAACTACTTGCGGAGTAATCTACACATCTAAATTACAAGCAGAGGGTGCTTTGCCAAAGGGCAGCGGCCATTATTGTTTTGAGAGGTCGGTTATCAAGAAATTATTTTCTTGTTTATTAATCACTCAAGGTGTAATAGACTAAAATTATGACCAAATTGTGTATATTTTTCCACAAACCTCATGCGATTTTGTGTTATTTTGATTTTTTCCCCTCAGTTCAGAGATAATTTGATGCGTTTCTATACAGAACAAGTGTCAGCGAGGATCGTGCAGGAGGTGACTGCTGAGGCTGTGGCCGTGCTCAAAGGGGAACAGGAGAGTCAAAGGCTGCCGTCAGGTGAGCTCAGACTGGTCTAATCTTCCCAGACATACCCTCCTTATAAACGCATGTGGCTTTAACCAAGTCAAGTGTATTTAAATATTCATACAGCAAAGTCTGAAAGAAGTTTCAATATCTTTTTTTCTTCTTTTTAGTTGAAGACACCACAAATTTGCCTCCCTCCCCTCCCCCTTCGCCTGCTGCAGAACACTTTGGGCCGCTGGAGAAAGGTAGGCTAAAGATAACTGTACCAGGAAAGCACATAGAGAACGGAGTGTAGGTCGTGACTGAAAACTGGAAAAAAGCCCTCTCCTTTTGGACAGGAGAGACAGGGAACATTGCTATGCTTCCAAAAACCTACACATTATTTTATCTACAGATTCTTGTCATTTCTTTTTTCTAAATAATGTATGTTTGTCCTCTTCATTACCATCGTTTGTCAATCCACTATCATTTGTTGTCTGTTTTTGCATCCACCACTCTTTAGTCTGAAGGTTTAGTGGCATTGTATAGTATTGAAAAGTTGTGCGTTTAACTTTTGGCTAAGCAGCTCTACTTTATTGAAAGCGTAGGAGGCCGTACTGGACAATTAGAGCAAAGTGAATAACAAATGTAAGTGATTGGTTTTATTGTAAATATTCTGTACTGACCAAATCAAAAATGTATGTTTCCTAAAGTCTAACCCTAACCCTAATTCAATTAGATTATTGAAATAGTCTGCTGTGGTTAGAATGAATAATAGAATCTGATTGTTGGCTGGTGGATTATTAAAGTATGTGTCTACTGTGGCTAAACTTGTGCTGGATTGGGAAGCGATGGAAGTGCAGTTCTCACAGACCCTGATCATCTTTATTTTACTCTGTTTGTGTCTTACCATCATCACCTGTCAACGTTCAGTCAGCACCTCTCTCCCTCTCTTCATTCCCCACTAGTCTTTGTGTTTTACATTTGCCCTCTCTTGACAATTTATATTTTTAAAACGTTCTCCCTTTTATTGGAAAAATGTCCATCTTTTCTTTCTGTTTTGGTAACATTGAATGTATCTTTATATTATATATTGTCCTGCAAACAGATGTACATCTGTTTGCACTTTACATACAATGATTGATGCATTAAAATGCAGTTCTTATAGATGGACATTTTTGCCTCTTTTGTTCCTCATGTCTTTTATTTTCTTTACCCAATTCTTCCTCTTTTAGTCTATGTGTCAGAATTCCCTGCAGTTCTTCTCCTTGTGTCTGTCTTGTTGTAGATGTAGGGGATGAGGAGGAGGCAGGCCCTCTCAGACGCTTCCAAAATTCTCGGGAGAGGTGCAAGTTCCTCGCCCCCTCCATCTCAGTGTCCGTGCCCGAGGACGACCCCTACCACTCCGACGAGGAGTACTATGACCACCCCTTGTTCAGCCCAGAGTGGACGCACTCGGGCTCCCGCCCCACTGGGCAGGCCGTGGCCTTTAGACAGATTGAAGGTGAACCACATGGTTCCTCTGTGACATCTCCCTTCATCTGCTCTCTCTTCCTCCAACTCTGGATTCATGGTCTTTTTGACTCCTTCTTTCTCCTTCATGACCTTCGAATTTATCATCCTCCCGTTCTTTCATCTCTGTTCGTCTCTTCGTCCGTTTGTGGCCTGTGTTTGTCTTGTTTGTCTGCTCAACGTCTGAGCACTTTCATGTTTGTCATCTTCCTTTTTGATTTACTTCATTACAAGTCATTGCTACCTTTGTACGAGTGGCTTATGTAATGTTTACCAACAATCCACACTTCGATGCACTAATGTTTCTCATGACAACAGTTCATGTATTAATCTTGTGTAATTAGACCCTACATTGGGGAGGCTATAGGGCTCAAAACTACATTAACTCTGTGCTATGACGCATGACTAATGATTCTCCTGCATACTATTATATGAATAGTATCCTGGCAACCATCAGACAAGATGTTTATGTTTTTCTCTGATAGCTGGCAAGCAATACTTTACTTTTTTACACGTCAATGTGAGAGAGCCGTCTGCTGTGTAGTGACATTTTGTGGATCTAAAAAACAGCAGGAAGATCACTCTTCTTCTTTGCACTTCTGATGTCTAAATTTACATGTCTGTTAAGTTCCATACTGTTTTCATACATACTGTATGTGAACTAAACTTTGGGATGAGCTGAAGGTATTCATTACAAGTTGTGTTGTTCCATAACCCAAGTCTGTGTTGCCTTAAGTCTTACTGTGTCCCCTCTCCCCCTGTTCCCTGAAGAAGAGACCATGGAGGCTCTCACAGCTGAGTACGAGGAGGAGGAGGTGGAAGAGGACAATGCAGAGGCTGCTCTTGATGAGCAGCAGTGGAGCGGGGACGAGCCTGAACCGGACAGCCCCCAGCCTGAGCTCTTAGAGCAGGCAGAGGCCACAGGCGAGGCCTCAGGCGAGGCTCCAGACCTCAGCCTGGAACTGGAGCTGGAATCGGATGAGGCAGCAGCTAGTGCTGCTTCAGACAGCTCCAGGAGCCTAGAGGAGGAGGAAGCAGAGGATGAGGAGAGTCTAGACACAGGTGTGTCCTGTCCTCTGCTCCCCCTGCATGCATGCTCTGCATTGCCTCATATAAGAGTTAAGACATGTCTGAAAAACTATGCTATATATATGATTGTGAAGTGGAATGGCAAGAATACGTCTGCTCTATGCTGCAGCTCTAGGCAACACAGGCTTGTTGGTGAAATTAGTCATATCCTATATTGTGTGTCATGATCTTGCACTTGGTTTTTAAATATCTGGTTATTGCTGTTTTGCTTTTATTGAGTGAGATTACGCTTAATATGTGTGTGCTTTTGCCAACAGCATTGGGCTCCAGGTGTCTCATGTTGTCACATGGTTCAGATATGGCTGATATCTTAACAGATATTTTGGCTGTCACATGTTTAGTTCAATCGTCTCTTTGCCAAAAGAGCTCCTTGTCATTCTTTGATATACGGTATTTATATTTCAATGTTAATGCCATTTAAACATAAATACAATAATTGTAAGATTGAATTGAATTGTTTTTGAATTATAAAGAATGACAGGGTTGGTTCAAGTGCATGCAAATACACTGTATAAATGACGCTGTCTGGTTTCCATCACTCTTTCATCACAGTGTATCCATGCCGAATTCGTCACATTCATCTCCATGTTGACATCCATTTGTGACTTGCTGAATCCCCCCACATCCACCGTTATTGTTCCTCTGAGATGGCCATGTCATGGGCTGTAAGTTTCAATGAAGCTTTGCCTTTTTGTTAGATACAGTAAAAGCTTTTTGCAGTCCTTTGCCAACAGGCATTTCCAGTTGGAGCATGCTGCATACTTTAAGGTCCTGTACCAAGAACATAAAAAAACAAATCTGGTTCATTTAAAACAGTGGTATAAACTGATGTCTTATGCATTCAGGAGGCAAAGCAGAGTAACAACTCTTGGTCTGCTAATTACAGATCAGAAATCTTTCCAGGTCCTTGTTGGGCTAATTATTGTCTACTACGTGAAAACAAGTGGTACAAGGCCTTTAGTAGGAGTTATATGTTGTCAGCTGCCAACTTACAGATTTTTCTTACAGCCTTGAAGATGGAATCAGACAAACAGGTTGATGAGAAAAGCGGATCCATAAGTCCTGACAGCATCGGATCAGAAAAACGTCCAGATGAGCCGTTTGAACCTCCCGTGATGCATGAGTTTTTTGCCGGTGAACGAGTTGTCCCAGAGAGCCCTACAATGGATATGCCCTCTTTTGTAACCCCAAATGTGTCTAATAAAGCCAAAGAATGTGTCCGGTCCTTCACGCTTCAACCTGGATATGGTGAACCAATCACAGTGACCGAAAAGCAACCATCAGTAGAAGTAGTAGAGTTTACGAGCATCGCAGAGCCTTCAGATTTCCCCTCAATGGCACTCAAAATTGAAGGAGGCGATGCAAAGGATATATCTGGCATGTCTACCTATTTTGAGACATCTACCATGGATGAAGACCAATCATCTCAATGTAAAGGTGAGGGCTACTATGAACTAAGTAGATCTGGAGATGACAAAGTTGAAACTATGGCTCCGGAATTTAAGTCAAGCACCCTCAATGAAGCTCAAAAGACTGAACCCAAGAAAGAAGATTCCAATTTATTCACAGTGCCTGTAGTAAGTAACGAATGTCGACTTTCTCCTGGTAAACTGGCCTTAGAACAGAGAAGCTACTCACTAAATATCACAATCGGTGCTATGGATCCAAACAAGCCTATAAACATCTCCCCATTAGCATCCGATATCCTGTCTTACACTAGTGGCAGTCTGGATGAATCAGCAGACTACCTTCCAGTTACTACTCCAGCTCTAGAAAAGATTCCAAACTTTCCTCCACTCATTATGGAAGCATCTCAAATCAAAGAGCCATCGTCACCATTGAAAGTTACAGCTCCTGATTCAAAATCTAGTTCTGAGCCAGAGTCCCCTCAATCACCTCAACCAACCAAAATCGCTCCCAAAAATGGTAGCATGATGGCTCAAGATTTGCCTGAAATGTTAGACCTCGTTGGTAATCGGTCGAGAGTTGCTTCAGACAGTACAGAACCGGACACAAACAAGAAACAGTATTTTCAAAGTGATGCCCCTGCTTTAGATGACCCAATGGCAAGCATGATATCAGGTCAGCTCAGTCCAAGAAAGAGTGATAGCCAACAAGAGGAGATGGGATATTGTGTTTTCAGTGAATATTCAGGACCAATGCCATCTCCTGCTGATATTTTTAGCCCAATGACCAATCCGGGGCAAGTTTTTAGCCCAACTGTCCTGGAAGAGAAAATGACTGAACAGGCAAGGAAATTAGCTGTCAGAGATACTTCTTTAGACGATAAAGGCCAACCTACTGTGAGTGGTGGTTCTTTTGAAGCTGAAGACAAGAAAGAAAGAAAGGACTCTAGCCAGGATCATGGTAAAGAGGATACTGCCGAGACCCATTTGCCGGAAAAACAACCAGAGTGCTTTGTTACGCCCACTGTGACTGTAACTCTCGAAGAAGGTGGTAGAACTGACAGCGAAACTGAACAACAAGCTAGCCGAGAGGGATCAGTGTCAGAAACAGAAATTGCCGATTACGAAAGACAGATAAGAAAATTGGAAATGGAGGACCGACCTTTGAGTGTGGAAGAAGAGAGAGAGTTACAAGAGCTGAGAGAAAAAGTTAAATTAGTCCATCAAGAAGCTTATGAAGAAATAGATGCCGAAGATGTTTACCAACTCACGGGAGCCGCCAAGGATCGCATTGCTAGGCCCGTCAAAACATCTCCAGCATCTTCTGTGGAAAGCAACATTGATGATGACAAACTCCTGTCCCCTGTTCTTTCTCCGTCTAAGATGAAGCAAAAGGAATTGTACGGGTCGCCCAAGAGATCCGCTTCTCCCACAAAAGAGGAGAAGGAGAACGCCGAACGCAAGCTTAAAGATGAGCGAGAGAGGGAAGAAAGGGAGAAACAAGAGGTAGAAAGAAAGTTACAGGCAGAGAAGGAACAGGCTGAGCGGGAAATGAAAGAAATTGAGGAACTAGAGTCAAGAGAAAAGGCTGAGAGAGAAGACAGGGAAAGGAAAGAGAGGGAAGAAACGGAGAGACAAATGAAGGAAGAAAGTGAGAGAAAAGAGAGAGAAGAGAGGGAGAGAAAAGAGAAAGAGGAAAGGGAACGATTAGAGAAGGAAGAGAGAGAGATAAAAGAGAAGGAGGAAAGAGAACGTTTGGAACAGGAAGAAAAAAATAGACTGGCCAAAGAGTTACAACTAAAGCAAGAGGAAGAGTTGAAAGAGAATGAGAGGTTGGCCCAAGAAGCAGAAAAGCTTCGACTGGAAGAAGAGGCACAACAAAAGCAAGAGGAAGAGATGAGAGAGAAGGAAAGGTTGGCCCAGTTGGAGATTGATGAAGCTGAAAAATCCAGACAGACTGAGACAGGAGAGGAGGTGGTAAGGGACGTTCCAGAGACACATGCTGCCATTGAGTCCGTGGTAACTGTAGAAGACGATTTTATCACGGTGGTTCAAACTATTGACGAAGCGGAGGAGCCCGGTCATAGCGTCCGGTTTTCAGCTCCCGTCGAGGCTGAGGTTCTGGGGGCAGAAGTTCATGAGGAGGAGGGAGATGAGGAGGAGGTGGAGGTTGCCCAAGAAGAAGAGCTGGAGAGGGGTAGTGAGGAGGAGGTGCCAGAGACCCCAACCAGTCCAGAGAAGGAGACAACTTATGAACCCACAGAGAGTTATGACAGAGATGAGACCACAATGGATGATTCAATACTGGACAGCTCGTGGGTGGATACACAAGGTGAGTAATTATCTACACATCTCATCATTTCATTATCACATATAAAGTTTCTTCCTTCAAATGAATAAATTATGAAACATCATTACAAATAATGTTTTGTAGCCTTCAAACAAGATAGCACTTTTCCTTATATTTTTCCGCAGATGATGACAGAAGCATGGCCACTGAACAAATAGAGCCTCTGCCTAAAGTTATGACTCCAGTCAAACAGCAAGTCCAGAGGAAGCCATCACAGGAGAAGAAGACTGAGAAGCAGGAGAAACAAGTCAAACCCAAAACCAAGTCCACCAGACCGAAAGGCCGGATCTCCACCCCTGAGCGCAAACCCGTGCGCAAAGATCCCACGCACATTGCCAGAGAGGAGGTCAAGAAGAAGAAAGGTGAGGGGGATTTTCCACTTAATGAAGTAATGTAGTGGAAAAACTTGCTTTGTTAAAGTGGCAAAAAAGTTCTCTCTACAATGATTATCACATTCCCACCTTGTATTTTTAGCTATGACACTATAACATTCATATATAAGAATGCAGTGTATTAGTAACTTTTCGTTTGCCTGTAGATTGTGTATACATGCATTTTAATTTGAGAAGCTCTGTCAAAACATCTAGTTACAACTTTCCAATCCAATCCAATCCACTTTATTTCTATAGCACATTTAAACAACAGAACAGTTCCAAAGTGCTGCACAAAAAAGTACACAAAAAATAGAATAAAAAATAAATAAATAAATAGTCAATTTATAAAATCAATAAAAATCATAAAACACAAAACAAAAATTAAAAAGACAGAGGGACCACACAACTCACGCGGTGTTAAAAGCTAGAGAATAAAAGTGGGTTTTAAGACGAGATTTAAAACACTCCAATGTTGTGGCTGTTCGGACGTGGAGGGGCAGAGCGTTCCACAGCTTAGGGCCGATGACGGAGAACGCTCTGTCCCCTCGAGTTTTACGTTTCGTCTTAGGAACCACGAGCTGGAGCTGGCCCTCAGACCTCAGAGCGCGCGTTGGGGCGTAGACTTCAATGAGGTCTGTGACGTACTGAGGGGCCAGTCCGTTTAACGCTTTAAAAACAAACAACAAAACCTTAAAATCAATTCTAAATTTGACTGGAAGCCAGTGCAAGGATGCGAGGATTGGTGAAATATGGTCACGCTTTTTAGCTCCAGTAATAAGTCGTGCAGCGGAGTTCTGGACTAACTGTAAGCGTGAGAGTGCATGCCTGTATAAAGAGCATTACAGTAGTCCAGGCGTGACGAAATAAAAGCATGCACGACTTGTTCAAAATGTTTAAAAGATAAAAACGGTTTGACTTTAGATAAAAGGCGAAGATGGTAAAAGCCTGACTTGACGACTGTATTAATCTGTTTAGTAAAATTAAAATCACTGTCCATGGTGACGCCAAGGTTGGTGGCAGAGGGGAGAACGTTGTCTTTAAAGGGGCCCAAGTCCATTAAGGGGTCAGTGGGCCCAAAAATAACAATTTCAGTTTTCCCCTCATTAAGACTTAGGAAATTTTGGGCCAACCAAGCCTTGACGTCACTCAGGCAGGCAAGCAAGGGTGTCAGGGGGCCTTTAGCTGTCTTGGAAAGAGGCAAGTAAATTTGACAGTCATCTGCATAAAAATGGTATGAGATGCTGTGCCTCTTAAAGATTTGACTCAGTGGGAGGAGATAAAGGGCAAACAGAATTGGGCCAAGAATTGAACCCTGGGGAACTCCACAGCGCAGGAAGGCAGAGGATGAGGTGGAGTCCCCAAGCCTAACGGAGAAAGACCTCCCACTGAGGTATGACCTGAACCAGTCTAAAGCAGTCCCCCTGACACCCACACTGTCTCGGAGTCGGTCTAAAATAATTGTGTGGTCAATCGTGTCAAAAGCAGCAGTCAGGTCTAAAAGCACTAAAATGGCAGAACTACCTGAGTCAGTCACTAAAAACAGGTCATTAAAAACCTTTAAAAGTGCAGATTCAGTGCTATGCAAACTTTTAAAACCTGACTGGAACATGTCTGACACACCATGTGCATCAAGAAAGGGCTGTAATTGACAGAGCACACTTTTTTCCAACAGTTTAGATAAAAAAGGAAGTTTGGAAATCGGCCGATAATTAGAGACAATGGAGGTATCAAGGCTCGATTTCTTGAGAAGTGGTTCAATTACAGCCTGTTTACAAAAGGAAGGGACAACTCCTGAAACAAGGCTACTGTTCACAATTTCACAAACACAAGCACCAATTGTTTCCCACACATCTTTGAACAACCTCGGAGGGACCGGGTCTGTAGGACAAGATGAGGGTTTTATTTGACTGACAATTTTTGTTAGAGACTGCAAAGACATTGGCTCAAACCGTGTAAAAACCGCTGAGCAGGGCTGATTTATGCAGAAGTCAATAGAAGGGGGCAATATGCTTGAACGAATAAGCGCAACCTTGTTTGTGAAAAAAGACAAAAAATCTTCACAACTTTGAGTGCTAGATTGGACAAAAGTAGATTGGGGCGGGTTTAAAACAGACCCAATGGTTTGAAATAAAACACGTGGATTATTTGCAAATTTGCAACTTTAAATTCTAAAAAGGAACTAAAATCATTCACAATATTTATTCACCTCTGCAGTAATAATTGACATACATTAGTTGTTCAAACATACAAATATAAACAATTTATCTATAACAATGGGATGTAATTTTGTTTACTTCAGCACTTGTAAAGAAGACAGAGATGACCAAAAAAGCTGAAGTTCAAACTCACTCCCCGTCCCGGCGGACTCCTCTGAGGGCAGCCGTGCGTCAGACTCGGCCTGTTCAGCATCACTCGTGTCCCAGGAGGAGAACCACAGGTGAAGCCATGTCCTGTCCATGCTGTGTGCAGGACAGTCACCCTTTGAGTCAGCCCTGTCTCACGTCCACTGTCGGCCTCAGTTAAGGTTATTTTGGCCTGAAGTTTGTGTTTGTATACTGTATTTTCCATCACACTAGTCCCTTTTATGCATTAATAATAATAATAATGCATCAGGTTTATGTCATGCTTTTTTGGACTCTCAAAGGTGCGTCACATGGCATTAATAATTTGCTCCATACACGGTTGTGATACTATTATCAATCAATCAATCAATCAATCAACTTTTGTTTAATGAGCGCCTTTCTTACACAAGGCAACACAAAGCGCCTCACAACCCCCCAATCAGGCATAAATCGTAGACATTAAAATCTACACACATATTAAAAATACAATTAGAAGGGCATTAAAACACACATTTAAAAACATAAAAAATAAAATCACACACATGGGATTAAAATCATAAATAGCCGTAGTGCACCTATATATGAAATCATTCAGTTGTATGCATAGCTAAACAGAACCGGTTTTTAACCTTTCGCCTGTCTCACATTCTCAGGAAGACAGTTCTAAATCCTAGCCGCACAAATCTGAAATGCAGACTCCCCATGTTTAGTTCTGACTCTGGGCACTAGCAGGAGGCCCGTCCCCGCGCCAGTATGTGCCATCGGTCCGTCCAATCACCACCTACCATTCGCACACACACACCACACTCATACGATGCCATGTGAGTGAAGTGTCCAGACTAAGGTTTAAAGACAGTTTGACACTTTACAGCCGCCCCATTGTGGCACCAGGAGAAAAGAGTTTTCAGTAGAACCTATTCAATCATTTACTGCAGTGTTCCCCAACCTTTTTGAGCCTTAGCACACCTTCATCGAAAATGCAACCTTTATGAGCAAAACAAATGTGTAGTACATTCTGTAAATCGTCTTTCTAATGTTTATTAAGGCAAGGCAAGGCATGTTTATTTGTATAGCACAATTCATACACAAGGCAACTCAAAGTGCTGAACAAGATAGCATTAAAATCATAAATAATCACAGAACATTAAAAAGAAAGATAAAAATATAAAATCCCTCAGTTGTATGCACAGCTAAACAGCACAGTTTTCAACTTGGTTTTAAACATAGTCAGAGAGGAGGCCTGTCTCACATCTTCAGGAAGATTGTTCCAGATTTTAGCAGCATGAATCTGAAAAGCAGCCTCCCCATGTTTAGTTCTGACTCTGGGCACTAACAGGAGTCCAGTCCCTGTGCTCCTCAGAGTCCGGGCTGGTTCATATGGGACTAACATGTCACTAATATATTTTGGTGCGAGGCCATGGAGAGACTTGTACACAAGCAAAGCTGTTTTAAAGTCTATTCTCTGAGCCACAGGAAGCCAGTGCAGAGACCTGAGGACCGGACTAATATGGTCGTACTTCCTGGTTCTAGTCAGGACTCGAGCTGCTGCATTTTGAATGTACTGCAGCTGTTTTACAGCCTGTTTGGACAGACCTGTGAGCAGGCCATTGCAGTAGTCTAACCTACTGGAGACAAATGCATGGATAAGAATGCATTTATTTATTTATTATTGTCTTTTTCTATCTATCTATTATCTATTGTCACATTATTTTGACCTATTTGCTGATATTGGATGATCCCAAGGCACAACAAACATGTGCCACAAAATACTGATTCACTGTACTAGAATCAGGTCAGAACAAAAGAAACAGGATTGTGAATGATAAAATACAATTTGTGGAAAAAATTATCATATTTTTCCTTATACAAAATTTTATCTTGTTTTGAGTAGTATTTGGCGAGATTATCGTCAGAGCATGTTGTGACATTAAGGACGTCCTGCTGGAAGGTTGAGGACACCTGAATGCATGTCTTTGTTTATCCTTGTCTCATATTAATCACACATGTCCGGACACACGTTACTGCCAGTATGTTTGATCCGTAAAAACTATAAACTCCTGACCTCCTCCTGATCTCCCTCAGGAACTAATTCATTCTTCGTTTCACAGCCGCTGGTTGCTAGGAAACTGGTGACTCCAAGGTTCTGTTTTTACAACGTGACGATCTAATGGATGCGTACGCCCCTGTGTCCCAACAGCAGTTTGCAGTTCATTTTCCCCTAACGTCCTACCTCTGTGTGTGTGTGTGTGCGTCTCTCTCTCTCTCTTTCTCTGTGTTGTTGTGTGTGTGTGCGTGTGTGTGTGTGTGTGTGCGTGTGTGTGCGTCTCTGTCTCTCTTTCTGTGTTGTTGTTTGTGTGTGCGTCTCTCTCTCTCTTTCTCTGTGTTGTTGTGTGTGTGTGCGTCTCTCTCTCTCTCTTTCTCTGTGTTGTTGTGTGTGTGTGCGTGTGTGCGTGTGTGTGTGTGTGTGTGCGTGTGTGTGTGTGTGCGTCTCTGTCTCTCTTTCTGTGTTGTTGTTTGTGTGTGCGTCTCTCTCTCTCTTTCTCTGTGTTGTTGTGTGTGTGTGCGTCTCTCTCTCGCTCTTTCTCTGTGTTGTTGTGTGTGTGCGTCTCTCTCTCTCTCTTTCTGTGTTGTTGTTTGTGTGTGCGTCTCTCTCTCTTTCTCTGTGTTGTTGTGTGTGTGTGCGTCTCTCTCTCTCTCTTTCTGTGTTGTTGTTTGTGTGTGCGTCTCTCTCTCTTTCTCTGTGTTGCTGTGTGTGTGTGCGTCTCTCTCTCTCTTTCTCTGTGTTGCTGTGTGTGTGTGCGTCTCTCTCTCACTCTTTCTCTGTGTTGTTGTGTGTGTGTGCGTCTCTCTCTCTCTCTCTTTCGCTGTGTTGTTGTACTGTATGTGTGTGCGTCTCTCTCTCTTTCTCTGTGTTGCTGTGTGTGTGTGCGTCTCTCTCGCGCTCTTTCTCTGTGTTGTTGTGTGTGTGTGCGTCTCTCTCTCTCTCTTTCTCTGTGTTGCTGTGTGTGTGTGCGTCTCTCTTTCTCGCTCTTTCTCTGTGTTGTTGTGTGTGTGTGCGTCTCTCTCGCGCTCTTTCTCTGTGTTGTTGTGTGTGTGTGCGTCTCTCTCTCGCTCTTTCTCTGTGTTGCTGTGTGTGTGTGCGTCTCTCTCTTGCTCTTTCTCTGTGTTGCAGTGTGTGTGTGCGTCTCTCTCTCGCTCTTTCTCTGTGTTGTTGTGTGTGTGTGCGTCTTTCTCTCTCTCTTTCTCTGTGTTGTTGTGTGTGTGTGCGTCTCTCTCTCGCTCTTTCTCTGTGTTGTTGTGTGTGTGTACGTCTTTCTCTCGCTCTTTCTCTGTGTTGTTGTGTGTGTGTGCGTCTCTCTCTAGCTCTTTCTCTGTGTTGTTGTGTGTGTGTGCGTCTCTCTCTAGCTCTTTCTCTGTTGTTGTGTGTGTGTGCGTCTCTCTCTCGCTCTTTCTTTGTGTTGTTGTGTGTGTGTGCGCGTCTTTCTCTCTCTCTTTCTCTGTGTTGTGGTGTGTGTGTGCGTCTCTCTCTCTCTTTCTCTGTGTTGTTGTGTGTGTGTGCGTCTCTCTCTCTCTCTTTCTCTGTGTTGCTGTGTGTGTGTGCGTCTTTCTCTCACTCTTTCTCTGTGTTGCTGTGTGTGTGTGCGTCTCTCTCTCGCTCTTTCTCTGTGTTGTTGTGTGTGTGTGTGCGTCTCTCTCTCTCGCTCTTTCTCTGTGTTGTTGTGTGTGTGTGCGTCTTTCTCTCACTCTTTTTCTGTGTTGTTGTGTGTGTGTGCGTCTCTCTCTCGCTCTTTCTCTGTGTTGTGTGTGTGTGCGTCTCTCTCTCTCTCTTTCTCTGTGTTGTTGTGTGTGTGTGTGTGCGTCTCTCTCTCTCTTTCTCTGTGTTGCTGTGTGTGTGTGCGTCTTTCTCTCACTCTTTCTCTGTGTTGCTGTGTGTGTGTGCGTCTCTCTCTCTCTCTTTCTCTGTGTTGTTGTGTGTGTGTGCGTCTTTCTCTCTCTCTTTCTTTGTGTTGTTGTGTGTGTGTGTGCGTCTCTCTCTCGCTCTTTCTCTGTGTTGTTGTGTGTGTGTGTGCGTCTCTCTCTCTCTCTTTCTCTGTGTTGTTGTGTGTGTGTGCGTCTCTCTCTCTCGCTCTTTCTTTGTGTTGTTGTGTGTGTGTGTGCGTCTCTCTCTCGCTCTTTCTCTGTGTTGTTGTGTGTGTGTGTGCATCTCTCTTTCTTTCTCTGTGTTGCTGTGTGTGTGTGCGTCTCTCTCTCTCTCTTTCTCTGTGTTGTTGTGTGTGTGTGCGTCTCTCTCTCTCGCTCTTTCTCTGTGTTGTTGTGTGTGTGTGCGTCTCTCTCTTTCTTTCTGTGTTGCTGTGTGTGTGTGCGTCTCTCTCTCTCTCTGTGTTGTTGTGTGTGTGTGCGTCTCTCTCTCGCTCTTTCTCTGTGTTGTTCTGTGTGTGTGTGCGTCTCTCTCTCTCGCTCTTTCTCTGTGTTGTTGTGTGTGTGTGCGTCTCTCTTCCTTTCTCTGTGTTGCTGTGTGTATGTGCGTCTCTCTCTCTCTTTCTCTGTGTTGTTGTTTGTGTGTGCGTCTCTCTCTCTCTCTTTCTCTGTGTTGCTGTGTGTGTGTGTCTTTCTCTCTTTCTCTGTGTTGTTGTGTTTGTGTGCGTCTCTCTCTCGCTCTTTCTCTGTGTTGTTGTGTGTGTGTGTGTGTGCGTCTCTCTCTCTTTCTCTGTGTTGCTGTGTGTGTGTGCGTCTCTCTCTCTTTCTCTGTGTTGTTGTGTGTGTGTGCGTCTCTCTCTCGCTCTTTCTCTGTGTGTGTGTGTGTGTGTGCGTCTCTCTCTCTCTCTTTCTCTGTGTTGTTGTGTGTGTGTGTGTGTGCGTCTCTCTCTCTCTTTCTCTGTGTGTGTGTGTGTGTGTGTGTGTGTGTGTGTGTGTGTGTGTGTGTGTGATGAATATTGTGCAAATTGCTACTTCTGCAGCGTCCTAATTAGCTTGTTTTCTGAGGTTGTCTTATATAATACAAAATCCTCTATTCTCTGTGATAACCGGCCAAATCTACACAGAGAGCGTTGGTATCGAAGCCGCACCAACCACCTTCCCCAAAGCATTTGTCCTTTCTGAACTATTAAATTATGTTTTTAAACGCATATTACATCATTTTCTTCTCTTCAATGGACCAATTTCTTTGTTTATTTATAGTTATTTAATATTATTACAGTGCCTCGATATATTCTTGCACAGGTTTTAATGAAGAATGTACTTAATTACTGAGTATAAATAACTTTTGGCTGTTGTCAAATCATCACGTTGTTATTTTTCAGAGTCATTGCCTGATGGACGCCAGCCTCTCAGTGTGGCCAGACAGTCACAAGACAGAGCGTCTGTGAGTAACTTGGTAGTAGTAGTAACTCTAAAGAAGAACATACCAGAATCACTGGCAGCTAAAAATGGACAGAAAATGGTAGAAACACCAACATGATTCTAAAATGAGCTGTAAATCAATTTCTGTTGTAGTGAATAGATTTGACTACTCTTCATTGGACAATAGGCCGTAATGTTTCAACACAAATACAATAACAGTAGAAAGCTATTTTGATTTTATTGTACCAACATTTCATTTCTAAAGAAGTTCAGATCTTAAAGCTGTTCAGAAACAGTCCTATTTAGTCCTGTGAAATATGTTTTGTATCTATACTTTCTCAAATCAGTATCAATGCTCGTTTTAGTACATGATATTAATATATATACTTTTGACAGGCCTACTGTATATCTTGTTGTTTTATTGTCATACTAACACAATTTTTTATAACAATATTGAGCCCAAAAATTTCCTGCATGTAACGTCTGGGTCTGGTCCCTGTGTTTGCGATTACAATCGGTTGAATTCCATCCGACCAATCAGAGAGCGCGGGAGGCGGGTGTTGTAGTTCGATGTGGGTGACATCAAGAGTTTGCATCAAACGGGCAGGTTTTAGTTTGGCGAAGAATGTGATAGCAAAGTATTCTGTTTTGGTTCTGTCAAGAAATTGAAGCCGGAGCAAGAGGAATGTTTTGCAAATGTAATCGTTGGCAAAAATTGTGCCGCTACTCCCCACGGGCTCTGTTAGCGGCAAAGGAGATGGCTAAAGCTAGGCTAAATGCTAACAACTCACTCCGGCTACATTACATACGTGACGGTAAACTCAGATCCAATGGTTTCAATCTGCAAAATGAGTTAACCCCTCCCACCTGTTAACGGAGTCAATGGAGCAAAGCCAGTCCTTAATACCAAATGTAATTTGTACTATGGTGTGGTACACCCAGGCTAAACTTGAACTAGTAACTATGGTAAATTGTAGTTTAACTATGAATTAACAAAAGATGCACTGAAGTAATTTTATGATGGACAAATCTGGAATGTCTGTAGAATGAGTTGGAGATGTTTAAAATCCATCCATCCATCCATCCATCCATTTTCTTCCGCTTCATCCGTTGCCGGGTCGCGGGGGCAGCAGTCTAAGCAGAGACGCCCAGACTTCCCTATCCACACACACTTCCTCCAGCTCGTCCGGGGGGACTCCAAGGCGTTGTTTGATTTAAAATGTTTTTTTAATCAAACTACTAATTTTGAAACGACTTGTGTCTTTGAAGATGTTCTCTTTTCCATTTGTATCTCATAAATGATGATTGACTAAACACGTAATAGATTTATCGAAGTATTAATCAACTCTCAAAACATTAGCTCTAATTTCACATAAACAGAAAGTACAGCAGACGTAAACTTTGTGTTACTCTTTAAAATGCTCATCGATGCTCTCGCCTTCTGCATGAATTCTGTTTTTCTGTTCACTCCATCGTGTTTTCATCAGCAGCTCTCACTTTTTGGAATTGTTTTCTGCGTTTTTCAAAATGATGGTCTTTTTGTGTCTCTGTGAAAGCGTGTCCTGTAACATTTCTTCAGTGGCTGCGGTCGTGACATTTATCTCACTTCTCCATCGCTGTAATGACCGTCATTTAGTCAGAAATAATCCCACCTGAATGTTTCAAATGTCATTGCACTGCTGCTGATAAGTGCAAAGTTAGATTTTTACAAGCTACATAAACAAACATGGCTAACATATTGTGCTATTACTTACTAGCACTTACTTTAATATAATTTAGGGGAAAAAACATATCAACATAAAACATATTTTTTTAAACATGGTAACTTTTCTGTTTTGTGCATTAAAATCATTCATGAAGCAATCATACAACGCTACAGCTCAATATCAACGGCTGTTTACTAATTACAAATGTTATTCTTGTTGAAATAACAATAATATTTAATTTATTAAGGTGCACTATGTAACTTTTGTTCATCAGACACTTGTTTTTGACGATGACTGTGTTTCCTTGAATGTTCTTTTGTAAATCATTTGAAAAGTTGGTAACACTTTATAATAACTACACCTTATTTAGACTAATTAAATGTTTGAATAACATTTAATTAATCATGAACAATTCATTAATTTATTGTGACCAACACTTAATAACTAAACTACTACAGATAATAAATGCTTAACTAATAATGAATACATCTTCAACTACTTCACTTGTTCATGATTATTAAATAATTTAATAATTATGAAGTAACCATTTGTTACAACATGTATAGATGGTTTGTTACACCATGATTAAACCACATGTCAATGATTAATAATTGTATACATGATTATAAACTAATACTGCAGTGCATGACTCATTAGTTAGTTACTAACAGTTAAGAGTTTTGTGAGAAAAAATACAAGGATGACTAACGTTTTTGTATAACAATAATAAGCCAAGAGACATGAATACAGAATATATATTTATCTTTTAAATTGCTTTACAAAGCTATAACAGGCCCATGACAATGAAAAAATAAAAGTGTTGGTCACACTTAATTAATGAATTGTTCATGATTAATTGTTATTTAAACATTTATTAAGCCTAAATAAGGTGCAGTTATTATATAGTGTTACTGAGAAGTTGGTTGTAGTTAATTTAACATAAAAACAACTGAAATGAAGATGAACAAAAGTGTCATTCTGCAGATTGAACACGGTACATTGTGTTGATGGATCTGATTTGTGCAGAGCAGATCAGTTCGTTCTTGTTGCATGTCAGTTTTGTCACTCTGTGTCTTGTGTTTGTTTGACTTCATCATAGTGCCATCGTCCACCACTAACAAAGACCCCCACCTCCATATCCAGACCTGCTGCCTCTTTAGATAAAGCAACTAAACCTTTCCTATTTTTATACAACCTCGTAGCCAAGGTATGTTCAGATAAAAAATGTATTGTGTGCACTTTTGACCATATTGTGACTTTTCTTTGAGTAAATATTGTAAGAGCACGTTCACGCCACACTCCACACTGCTGTCACCGCTCTGTGACAGAAAACACATTCATACAAACAGACTTCAACTTTATCTGCTTTGTCCTTGTTTATATTATTATTTATATTATATTATTATATTTACAGATGTGTAGTATTCTATCACCTCTGTATGGTATACTGTAAATGTGTACATATTCACAGATATGCATATTCCTCAGTACCTATATCCAGATTATTCTATTCTCACAATATTATCTTATTATTTTTCTTATTTTCAGATTGGTACTTAATTGTTATTTTTTGTGTCAAATATTATGCAAGCTACTGAGACAACGCAATTCCGCATGTGGATCAATAAAGTCTGTCTAAGTCTAATATATGTAGTTTAGAAATGTATACAAGACAAGCCTGATCCTTTGCTCTGCTTAAATCCTATCATTAAAATAATTCCTTGTAAAAAAATCTTGATAGATACAGATTTAAATTTGTCATAAGAAAAAGCCGGTTTGATCTATCTCTAGGATGGAGGGTCTCGAAGCCCCATGAGGAGATATGCTCGTCCCACAGCCACATGGACTCGACGCGTTCACCAAGACCATGAGGAGAGTTCCACCTCCATCACCAGCTCTGGCTCCACGGCCCCTCGGAGACCCACCTGTAAGAACCCTAACCCAAACTCATTCAGATAAACAGGAAGTGTGTGTGTTCAAGTCAAGGGATTTTAATGACCTGTCCCATTTACCCTCAGCTTTTCGGACTGAGATGAAAGCGGAGTTTAGGACTGGGCGGGCCCCTATGACAGGTAAACGGTCCTGTTTATTATCAAAAGTTTATGTTCAAGTTTAAGTTTAGGTCTGTTTTTGTGTTGTGTAGATGATGTTTTTTATTCGTTCCACAGTCTTGATTTTATTACTGAGCCAATATACTATTTGTCAAATGTCACATGCATTTTCATTTATTCATATCTACATGCTTGAGAGATTGTGAAGCCAGCTCAAGCCAGATAGATGTCTGTATCTCTCTGATTGATTTTTTTATTATATATATTAAAAAAAAAGAAAAATCTACTTGGGGTTTACCATTTCATCTTAAAAGTCTTGACAGCTTTTAAAGACTTTTTTTTATTCTGCCCTTTAATTGATCTGTATGTGGTTTCCTTGATGGATTGAGACACTGCTGCTTTAAAGGACAGTTGTTCTAAAGCCAAATTAACACAGTATACAATAAGTTTATGTAAGATCTCAGTCGTACAGGGATTAGTCCAAACAAAGGAGGGTTTCTCACCATCATCTGTGCTTCAGTTAGCAGGTTTTCCCGACGTTTCGTTCTTCTCCAAATAACTTATTTAAGGGCAATGAAAGCTCAGCCACAAGTTGGAGATTTATAACCTGTGAGTTTGGTTAGACGCCCCCTGAGGTTTTGCTCACAGTAAATACCTTTTTGTTGTAGGTGAATGCCCAGAAATGAGACAACATTGACATTACTTTTATAAAAACAAAAACACTTTATTTTTGAGTGTAATATACTATGACACTATATATATTTTAGTTTCTCACATTTAAAAGGAACAGGCACAACTGCGTAACACCATGTTTCTCTTGTATCCAGTCTCACAGTCGATGCGCTCCCGTTCAGCCCGTAGTGGTCACTCCACCCCCCAGACGCCTGGCTCGGCGGCCGTCACCCCAGGGACTCCTCCCAGCTACACGTCCTCCTCCCGGACCCCACTGACGCCGCGCTCCCTCAGCCTCATGTCCCAGGACCGGAGAGTGGCTGTGGTCCGTACTCCGCCTAAGTCACCTGCCACAACCCCCAAACAGCTGCGCATCATCAGTGAACCGCTGCCCGACTACAAGAACATCAAGTCCAAGATCGGGTCTACAGAGAATATCAAGTACCAGCCCAAAGGAGGCCAGGTAAGGTTCTTATCATGTTTGTGAAGAGATCTCTGCCCCTCAACCCTGGCCTTAAGATAATTAATGTATTGACTTCTTGTTCAATAAAACACTAGCTGAAATAGTCTTCTGAATTTCATTTGTACCTTTCTTTTGCGATTGTGGGAAGATATTTGCTTTGTCTGTTGTAGAAAAACTCAATTTTTAGCTGTATAATGGTAAAAAATATGCTACAATATCCTTTCAATATTATCAGGATCTTTTTAAGCAAATATTCAGACACAAAAACCTTTAGTGATAATTAATGTATATTAAATAAATTGATAGATACTTTATTGATCCCCGTAGGAGAAATTCAGACTGTACTGGTGACCCCGCTCTCTGTGTGGAGTCAGAGACAAAGGCCCAAAATAAAAATTGTAAACTGCTTTGTGACTCTGGTCTGTGAAAGGCGGTATATACATAAAGATTACTCACTTACTTATCTCCATAACCAGAAACGAGCTCGCGGATATGAAAGTGACTCTTCTTCTTCTTCCACAGCTGTAACCCTGCCCTGTTAAATGTGTCAGTGTTGTTTCTGCTCACGCTGACTTGACCTTCTGCGTGTGTTTCCTGTTTCTGCATCGCTGCGCCTCATTACTGTAGTCTCTTCTGTGCTGAGCTAATGATCTTTTGGGTTACATAGTGTTGCGTCCTGACTTTGAAACATGCATTTTCGGCCATTTTCTCCTCAATAACAACGCCCGAAGTACACGATAATGAAAGTGACGTAATGTGAGGGTTGGAAAGATCAAGAGACTGTCGCACTTCTCCATGACTTTTAAACACGGAACCAGTGTCCATTCTTCTTTCGTTTTGTTTTGAAAGAATTGGGAAGGGCTCTGACTACACTGCAAAAATTATGACAAAAATAAATGTACGAGAATAAAGTATTGACAAGAGTATATTTTTCAGAACCAAATTGGCCAATAGATGTAAAAAATTGTCAATTCTTGCTTTACAAATTTGACTATTTGATTTCAAGCTAATTATTTGTAATTTTTGTGTGTAAACCCACTATTTTTGGACAAAACAAAATCTTGATTAATAAATTAAGTTGCACCACTTACCTAAGAACATTTTGGACATACTGCAGATATAACCCAGTAATTATAGAGATATCAGCGATGGCCTTGGTCTATAAATCTATAATATATTGTGATGACTACAATCTATATTTGGTAATTTTGTTATTTTGTTATTTTGGTAATTATTCATTAGTTATTTGGTGAGGTATAATCACGTGAGCCATATTGCGTGGCATCCTGTTGATATCCCCTTGAGCCGGAGTGGTCGTGCTCACTGCTCCTCCTCAGGTCCTCATTCCGTGTGTAAAGTTGGACTATAGCCATGTTCAGTCTCGGTACGGCTCGCTGGACGGGAGGGGCCACTCAGCGGGGGGTGGACACGGGAGGGGCCACTCAGCGGGGGGTGGACACGGGAGGCTTCTTGTGCCAAAGCGCTTTGTTTTTGTGTGGTTCTGATGCGTGGGGTTAGGGTTAGGGTTAGGGTTAGGGTTATCCCTCTTCATCTCTTTCATGTGTTTAATCTTTCATTTTCACTCAAAAGAACTTTACCCTTTTGTTTGGTTTTCACTTGAAAAGTTTTGTCTTTTCAAACCATTTGATTCGGTCTGGCATCATTTATGTTCGAGAATAATAATAATAATAATGCATCTGTTTTATACAGCGCTTTTTTGGACACTCAAAGACGCTTCACATGTCATTATTCTTTCACTCCAAACACGGTGGTGATAAACTACTGTAGCCACAGCTGCCCTGGGGCACACTGACAGAAGAGAACCAGCACTCTTGCTGGTTTAAAATAACTCAAGATAGATGGAGTGATCTTTATTTATCCCACAGTAAGGACATTTTTGTAGGATTTGGTCCATAAGCCAAGGCAAGGCAAGTTTATTTGTATAGCACAATTTCATACACAAGGCAATTCAAAGTGCTGAACAAGATAAGATTAAGCATTAAAATCTTAAATAATCACAGAACATTAAAAAGAAAGATAAAAATATAAAATCCCTCAGTTGTATGCACAGCTAAACAGAACTGTTTTTAACCTGGTTTTAAAGATTGTCAGTGAGGAGGCCTGTCTCACATCTTCAGGAAGAATGTTCCAGATTTTAGCAGCATGAATCTGAAAAGCAGCCTCCCCATGTTTAGTCCTGACTCTGGGCACTAACAGGAGTCCAGTCCCTGTGCTCCTCAGAGTCCGGGCTGGTTCATATGGGACTAACATGTCACTAATATATTTTGGAGCGAGGCCATGGAGAGACTTGTAACGAGCAGAGCTGTTTTAAAGTCTATTTTCTGAGCCACAGGAAGCCAGTGCAGAGACCTGAGGACTGGACTAATGTGGTCGTACTTCCTGGTTCTAGTCAGGACTCGAATTTTGAATGTACTGCAGCTGTTTTACAGCCTGTTTGGACAGACCTGATACGTGATCAAAGTGACAAAAATCAGTTGGAATTTCATTGTGAGAAAACTATGCAACTTTTTTGATGACGTACAGTATACCACCTGCGTTTTTGCATTATTATTCTATTATTCTATTGTCTTTCTTGAAAGGTGAAGAACTTATACCTTCCCTGCATTCTTCATAAGTTACAGACATGACCTGTGACTTGACCTGGAGTTTAATGAATCTCAAGAAAAAGCATATTTATGGATCCAGGCAGGTGGTCGGAGAGTTGCCTAAAGTGCAAATTAATGTCCTATACCATTGATATATATTTTGGAAAATAAACATTTGTTCAAATCAATTCGGGCGTTCTGCTCTCCCAAAATTTCATCCACTGAGCGGCGCTGTGATCAAAAAATGACACCGTTTGTTGCCCAGTTCACTTCCGGTTGATTTCATACAATGGCGAATATGGCTCACGAAAACAACAAACGATTGACAGTGCCTGAATTGCGTGAAAGGTTGAAGCGAAAGGGTATTTGCAGTGTGGGAAAACGAAAGGAGGAATTGTTGTTGCTAGTTCAACGAGCGGATGGTGTTTATGAAGATTTAGAAGAAGATGACAGCGAGCAGAGTGAACGAAAACGGCTGTGTGTGCGAGTGACAGATGGTAACAATGAGAATGAAGTTCAGCTAAGAGGGAAGAATGTGAATTGGACGGATGATTTGCGCGATATGCCACTAGTTAGAGACGGGAATGTATTTGCATACAGAAAATGACGAAAACACTCAACCATTTAGAGAAAATGCGCCGGGCAGAGAGAACCGGAAGTTGCGAAGGCAAGTGTTACCCATAATGCAATGCAAAATTCAGTCGCTCCCCCGCCCATCGGATGGAATTTTGGGAGAGCAGAACGCCCGAATTCAAACTCCATGATTGAGAAATATAAGAAAGTAGTGCTCGTGTTGCAGGAAATATAGCAGGTTAATACAGGTTTTAGGTTTAAACCATTATTCAAGAATTTACCGTTGAAACCCTGAGAAATGTACAACATCCATCCATTTTTCCATCCATTTTCTACCCTTTAATCCATTTCTGGGTCAGGGGGGTGGCAATCAGAGATGCCACCCAAGTCTCATAGCACCAGCCCCTCACTGACCCTCTGCAGGTGGTGAGTCCACAGGAGGACGGCTGCTCTCTGAGTGTGAGCATAGCCTTGATCTTTCAGTGGGGGCTTTGGGCAAAGTGGGGTTAAGTGTCTTGCCCAAGGACACAACGACAGCAGTCATCAGTGGGAGTCGGTGGAGAAGGTGCAGAGGTGGGAATTGAACCCACGACCTTCTGGGCTTAAGGCCAATGCTCTACCAACTGAGCTACTGTCGTACAACAATCATCATAATATTTAATTTGAACATGCTTACTTTAATCTTGATAAACAGTCACACTCTTCCATGCCCTATGTTTAAGCCACTGCTGCATACAATTAAAGTTACCGGTAAATACTCTCATCGTCAGCGGCAGCAGCTAATCACCAGCACGGACATTTCTTACACTCTGACATGATTGATTCTATTATAGCTGTCTGAGGTATAAAAAGGGCTGTAAAATGTGAATTATGTTAGAACTGGATCGATATTGATAAAGCAATTATAAAACTGGATGAACATTAGTGAATACACCTGGGGTTGTGCATAAAAGTTGGAGACGGGGTTACCAATAGCAACCAGCTGCAGTCTCTGTATGAAAATAAGCTCCATTATACAAGATTACTGTCGGAATGCAAAGGATAAAGCACACATTTGATTCTATCCGAGCAGCGAGTTGAGTGTATGGCCACAGTGAAGGCAAACCATTTACTTTTTTAGAGACTGGTTAATGGATTTTTGAACAATAAAACCCAAATGCAGCAGATATCCTCCCACACTAGCACAAGTCTGTTTGCAAAATTAGGCATTAAAATCTGACATTTGATGCATGGGAATAAGTAGGAGACTGTCATTTATTATAATGAATACCCTCGTGCTTTTGTCCGTCCTGGAAAGGAGGAAATTGGGCAAAACACATTAAAAGTTCTGAATTATATCGTTATCTCGTGGAGGAATACGTGATAATGGCAGCTGCCTTCCATCACCATTTAGACACGGAGACATTTTGTTTCTATCGTGTCCTTGAGTTGTCACATAACTCGCTATGTTTTGTTTTCTAGCATTTCCTGAACCAGAACAGCCTTTAGGAGCAAAGCTGTGGATAGTGGCCGAGGCTGTGATAACTTAATGTATGTTCCTGTAGGTGCAGATACAGAACAAGAAGATTGACTTGAGCCATGTGACGTCAAAGTGCGGCTCTCTAGACAACATCAATCATCGACCAGGTAACTTTCAGACCAAGACAGACCGTTTTCCATGCGCTGTATTTTTAAACGCAATCTTTCAAGGATTTGGCCTTAATATAAAGTAGGCTGGAAAATTCTCTAAATGTAGAATGGCACGAGCCTCGAGCCTGCTGCATTGACATTGAAGTTGAACAGCACCATCTACTGGCAAGATTGATTATTGCTGATTTTTATTTTCAGACATTGCATAATCCCTCATCAAAAGTTTCTGTACACACAAGTTGATAAGTAATTTAATAACACAATTACCCAAAATCATACTACTGTAGATTGACAATGGCTTCTCTGGCTTCTATACCATCATTTATACTTTTTTTGTCTTCCTTGTTTGTACTTAAGACTGCATTGGATCATTGTCCTCGGCATCTCAAACTGCTAATGCCACCAGGAAAACCAGTCAGGTGCAGTGTCTACTACAGTCAGGACTACTGGAGCTGTAGTACATGTTCTTGGTAGTGGCCTGAAGGAGTAACACGTAAACCTGTGAACTATAATAATAATTATAATCACTCAATAGTTAAGTCTAAAAAATATGGTTAGGCGCCATCCACACACGTATGTCCTCAATTCAAGACAGAAGTATAATATATTTTATTGTTCTGTATGATGAGGTGTTGAATCTGGTGCTGCCCTCCTGTGTTTTACCTTTTTCTGCTTGTTGATCTTTCTTACGGCTACATACAATTATTCTTCTTCTTCAATCAGTCAAACATATTGTATACATGACTTATTCTACAACTATTACAATCCCTTCTGTCAATCCATCCCTAGTTTTCTATTAGAACAGAGATGCACATGTGTTTTTGTGCATTTTCTCTGTCTCCCACTAGGTGGCGGTCACGTGCGTATAGAAAATGTGAAGTTGGACTTCAAAGACAAAGCCCAAGCCAAGGTGGGTTCCCTGGACAAGGCCCACCACACTCCAGGTGGCGGCCGAGTGCTGGTGAGTCTCTGCTCCGATCCAAACATAAAGGAAATCATAAAGTTTTGGACAGATTGCATTATTCAGCAGTGAAAGCATGTGTTAGTGACGCTATAATTAATGATCTCAAAATATATTGCATGTTTTAATAAGCCTTTGTTGTTATGTTTCTTTATGATTATTCAGGGTTTTTAGTGTCCCAGAAGGGAACATTACATCCTGTGCATCTGACCCTTTTCTGGTTGCTCCCCAAAGGATCTAGAATTTAACAAATAATCTTGAATAAATACAATTCGACTTATCTATTATTTTAAATTTAGGGTTTTACAGTATTATGGTTTATTTATGTGTTCTCTGTCTTGTCATAAATAGTATTTTTTAAATTGTTATTACAACTACAAAAAGAAGTAGCTCTCTGCCTCTTTTGTTGCATTAGAGTAGCTCTCAGATTGAAAAAGCTTAGACACCCCTGAACCACAAGATTTCAAAGCGTTTTGCACAATTGAATGGGTATTACATAGAGCTTTGATAACAGATTAGTTTGCCATTTTTTCCCCCAATTCTGATTAGTTTTTAAAATCTATCAAATAAGGCCTTTTTAAATGAATGTGACCAAAACAGAGCTAAAACGATGCCCCTGAGGAACACTTCCAACAAAGAGTTCCTGCACCAAAATATAATGTTTGATTAAAAATACTCTAAAAACAATTCCGCGCCATTCCGTAAAATAGTCAAAACTAGTTCAATAATCCATTAGTTGTGATTAATTAGGCCTAGAATTCATAATCTGTCTTTGTTAAACTAGTGTCACAAAAATCTGGACCTAAATAACAACAGTATTATATTTCTGTTGAATTTTCATTAATCGTTAAATACATCACATTTTTAAATTTAGTTATGTGAAGATTATTTTATTTTTGTCTTTTTTGAGGCTGAATACCTTTACAAAAAGTAAATAAGAGTTTATGAGTCAATCTTCCACAAACTTTTTGGGTTCCTTTAGCTTCAGACAAAGGTAGAGTATTCGCCGCCATCTTTGTCCCATAAACATCAACACAAAATATGAATCCCAACTCAACACAATAAATATTTCTCCATTTTTAAGATTTAAGCATTTACATTATAGTTTCCAATTGTTGAAACTATTTTATTTCATTTCCCCTTGATATTATTTTGCATTTGCATCTTGTTTTCCGTCTGTATTCACCCGTAATCCCTGATCCTCACAAAAACTCACTTCAAATTAACCATATTTTATGCATTAATTCATGCAGCTGTACAAACGGCCGTGTTTTTAATGATCTTCTATAATCTTGTGTGACGAAATCCCATCCATCCGAACCTTTGCAACAAAACATATGTATCAGTTTACCATTTTTGATCAATGACTACAATTTGTCATTTTATTGCTGCTTGTGTGTTTTTTGTGTCTAAATACAAAGTGCTTATGACGGGTTACACTGCAGTTTATCTCTATAACTTTTACTAGTTTTCCTCATTTGGATTTAAATTGTCAAATGTATAAATGTACCGTATTTCCTGGTCACCCATGTACTTATTTGGCAGCCAAAAAATATACACGGTAAATACATGCGTGTTTTGTCATGATCAGGTACAGTTTAACATCTCGGTGGATTAAATTACATGGGAGGACAAACGATCAGTCGTGGATGAAGTGCATGTGCAGGAGAAGAAAGGTCCTTCTACAATATTAATGTTGTTTTGGATAGTTTTACTCGCCTTTATATGCAGAGTTATCACCATTTCCTTTACTGTACAAAACTACCTTAAGGCTATGATGAATTATTATTATTTGTGTAAACGCTCAGGAGTCGTACCGGGATTAGTCAAAGCAAAGGAAGGTTAACATGATGGTGAGATGATGGGTGAGAAACCTTCCTTTGCTTATTATTATTATGAATGTCATGACATTTTAGACCATTTATCCAAGCTTAAAGCTGACATTTGCCTTCTACATGAATTATTATTATAAAGTAGCCTGTCATATCCACTTGAATCCCCCCTGACCCCGCCCTCACACATGTGCACTTCTCTCAGATAGAAAGCCACAGGCTCCTGTTCAGAGACCAGGCCAGAGCTCGGGTCGACCACGGAGCCGACATCGTAGTCCAGTCTCCACGGCGATCGGGCTCCATGTCGCCCAGCCGCTTCCGGGAGAGCCACCTATCCTCCTCTGGCAGCCTGAACTTCAGCGAGTCCCTGCAGCTCTCCACTCTGGCCAAGGACGTGAGCGCCGCTCTGGCCAAACAAGGCTTGTGAACGCCTCAAACACTGAACTCTCCTGGCTTCTCCTGCCATCTTTACTCTTTACACAAACCCTCCAGACATCACACCAACAACCACAAAAACAAAGCAGTAGAGACTTAATTTAGAAGCTTACTTATTTCTTCTTGCCTATTTTGAACCTGGATATGTGCTATTTCTAATTTAATAGAGGTTTTGACAACTGATCGAAAACGGATACGATCAGATATTATTCGCTTGGTTCTGCGTTGTGTTTTTAAAGAAGCCACGCCGATATTTTTCTTGAAGTAGAAAGTAAAGTGGCCCTTACTCCCAGCAGCACGTATGGTTCTTGCTCAGTAAATGTGCATGGACTCCAAATCCCTCGTTAACAAACCAAGCATACTGCAACTCATTCAAGTCCTCCTCTATACAATAATGCTAATATATAGAGAAAGTTCAAATACCCAGCCATCTACATGTTCGGGAGGGAAATCACAAATCACACAAATTGCTATACCGTAAAACCTGTAAAATTGCATTATTATTGCAAGCGCTAGGTTATGTTAAGACCGCATGTGTTAATTCTAATATTAAAAAGAGGCTATTTTGTATTTGAGAAGAAAAAAAAACACAAGGATTTTAGTAAAACATCTCATATAACGAGTAATGATACAACTTCATATTTTGTAGTTATTAGTTGTTTACAGTGTAACGCTTGGTGACAGACAGCTGATGTTGAATGCAGTCCTGGTAAAGTTTTTGAGATCAATGGTTCTCAAACAACACCTGAGGAATGTCTGTATTTGGACTATCAAAGCGTCATCTTCTGGTCAGATAAATCCTGATGTTGTCCTCTTGTCAGCCTGATTGGTTTTCTAGAGCGAGCAGACTTTATGAAGGCTCCGTTGTGTTTCTTGCAGAACTATTTGGAGTGAGTTGTTTGAGAACCACTGGTCTACGTACGTGCCTGTCTCACAGAGGTGGTGTTTGCTTAAGGTTTCTAAAATGGCTTTTATATCAGGACTGACAATTGTTTAAAGGAAAGGCTGTATTTTCAGAGAGGATGCACCTAGTTTTTGAACAATGTCTGTGTGTGTGTGTGTGTGTGTGCGTGTTTGCGTGTGTGTGCGTGTGTGCGCGTGGTACATATCTTATGTTAAAAACAGACGCTAATGTATCTGGATGTTCTGTTGCAGTATGTAGGCCAGGAAAGTGGTAACGCTATCTGAAAACTTTATTTAAAAACGCGTGATTCAGAACAATTGTTACATCTGTTTGGGGGATAATATGTATGCCTGGTTTCATTTCTTCAATATCTTCAGTGGTTCTCAAACTGTAGCACCAGTACCTTTTTGCAGTGAGGCCAGTGTCATAATCTCAGTACTCCGGTGGAATGTGTGTAAAAATACCCAAATTCTTATAGTGCGTCTAACTTTACTATTAAAAATGCTTACATTAAAGTAACATTATGACTGTTCTTCTGCGTGTTAGCTTAATGAGTCTCTGTTGGGTTTTGACATCATAAAACTAAAACATTTGTGTTCCCACCACTTGTTAAATGCTGGTATTTTCATAATTTTTTTTCTGAGCTTAAACTGTGTGTGGTGTTTGAGAATCACTGGACTTTTACATTTGTGATATATCCTGCCTAATAACTGCCTCCATCTGCAACTCTTCTGTTTGCTTCTGTGTATTTTTCGGCATCTTACCATGTCCATGTGCTTTACCCGACTTTAAAAAAAAAACCTGCTCCAAACTTTGGCAACTGTAAATGTATTTAAAAGGTCAAGTAGATGTACGCCGTTTTTCTTGTTGATATGACATGAATGACAATAATTACAGACAATAAAAAGGTTAAAACTGACTCACTGGTTACTTTTCCTGTCTAAGAAAATGGGCGGGGAAAGAAGGAAAGAGAATTATAGTGGGAGTTTGGACAAAGTTTATTGTGAAATGGTAGAGGGAGTACAATAACTTAAGACTTAGGGACGGGTTAGGAAAAGGATCAACTTAGATGGCCGGTCCTGGGCCAAACCAGTCACTTCAGCCAGCCTCTTAACATTGTAAAAACTTGTTTCGACACACAGCCCCAATGTGGCATGGGAGCTCTCGTTTGGAAAAAAAATAAATGCACCTCTTGGAAATTCTGGACGTTCCCAGGAAGAACATCAGAAGCAGGAGGAGGAGTGGAAAGCACCAGTTGGACAATCAAATGTAGAACAAGAAAAGGGTTCATGACATGTTCAATGACATCTCATAGTCCATTGTTCCCCCCGTTTCCTCAAGGTGGCGCTGGAAAAGGGGAGTGGATGTCGTGACACCATGGAGTCTGCCAGTCTGCGATGCTCACCAACTCAGTGGCTCCTTACACAGACATGACGTGCTTCACAAAGGCTGCAGGGAAAGAGACCGAGAGTGAGTGACCACAGACACATAATAATAATAACAATAATAATAATGCATCAAGCTTATACAGCGCTTTTTTGGACACTCAAAGACGCTTTACAAAACACATAGAAATAAACATAGAAAAACAAAATGCCTGAAACAGGTGGGTTTTGAGAAGAGATTTAAAGTAGTGAGTCTGAGTTTCTTATGGGTTGAGGGAGTGAGTTCCAGAGAGTGGGGGCGGCTGCAGCGACGGCTCGGTCCCCCAAGCTTCTGTTCACATAAACTATACAGCAGAATATCAGCCTGGCAGGTGGCAAGGCAACCGTTTCTAGTTTCTTTTGTTTTATTTTTTGTTTTTTCTGGACCTGGTTAAACACAATATGACACAGGCGCTCACATCTACAGCTTTCAGAGGATCCAAATATGTTTGCATGTTATATATGTGCTAATATTGTCTTGCCGTTATCTTGAAAGAATATCAAAAGTGTGTAATAGTCTTTTATGATTCATCAAATGTCATCCTCTGAATAAGGCAGTTTCTTAATGCTTTTGATTATTATTCCAAGATCCCATCATGATTTAGACAGGACTGCATTTTAACACACTTTGTATTCACTCATTGACTGCCATTGACGTATTTGTCTGAGACCCTCTTTTCGACTGGGGATTACAGAAGAACAAAAATAGCTGGAAACAAACTTATTTTTGCGGATGAAAGTAGACAATCCAGTCTTTCAGAATCTGTTTTTTATATTTCACATAGTCTTAGGAAATAATATTCTGTGGGTCTTGAGAATCAGTGAAATCATCAAAAACGGCTGGTAGTCAATGAGTTAAGGTGCCCGTTTCATTGATGAAGTTGGAGGCCTGAAGCGTTAACCAAATAGAAGACAAATTTACATTTGGGGGAGGCCATGTTGCTGTGCGAAAGAGCCCTAGTAAGTATGTCCTGATTTATTTATACAGCACATTTTAAGGTCACTCAGAGGGTTCTAAATTCAGGAACTCGTTTATATAGAAATTATTGTTGTTGCCTAAAGGTTTAATACGATGTTTGTAATGTATGTGACTTTGTGCTCTTGAAAAGATCCAAAAGATAAAACATATTGTTGTGAATTTTATGTGGCACAGGCTTAATTTTTGTAGATACTCTTTGCCTTAAACTAGATCAAGTATGACAATTATTTACACATGTCCTTTGATAATAAAATCACTGACTATTCAATATGACATAGAACATTTTATCCCCTATGGCTCAACAATGTCACTTGGTTTAGTTTAATTAGAGGAGTTTGCAATATTCCTGCAGAGAACCAAACTAAATCCTCAAACTGATCCATATTTTAAAAACTTGAATTTACCTTCATAGTTGATACATCCGTTCTCATCCTCCTGTCCGGCCATGAGGGCATCGATCTCAGCCTCGGTCATCTTCTCTCCTGTAGGGGGCGACAAAAACAACATTAGCGCTACATACAAAACATACCGTTTCAAAGTGTCTCTTGGCCGAAAAAACTGCATCCCACAACTTCAACCAATAATTCTTAACAATTTATATATGTCTTGGCTATAATTTCTTGTATTAGACTAGGACTAGACTAGTACCAAACATGTTTTAGTCGGGATTATAGACAGTAAATAAGAGGGCAGGACAAACAATGACAGTATAAATCAAGTATTAATCTACACTTAACAAATTCAATCCATTAAATAAGAGAAAAGAGGAGCATTTTGAATAGAAGACAGAGCTGTACATGAGCTGCATTAGCCTGATGTACATAGACACATGATCCTGGTTGTACTGACCCAGTGTGGACAGCACAATACGAAGCTCAGCGCCCATGACTGTGCCGTTTCCCTCCTTGTCAAAAACGCGGAGACCCTCAACGTAGTCCTCAAAGACGGCCTTGTTCGGGCTGTTGATGATGGTCTGGAGCATGGGCAGGAAAGCCTCGAACTCTACTCTCTTGTTGACCATGTCTGGACACACAATACACATGGAGAAAAAAAAGTAGTACACAAAAAAGAGACTAGCTATGGCCAATGATGCTACATGGGAACTGACGTGTTTAAGGTTTGAGGTGAAAACTGCATCTCATTGGAGCTTATTAATCTAAAATCTTCCACCTGAACTTCTCACATACAATACATTTTATTCTTGTATAGCCCTAAATCACACCAGAAGTCAGCGCAGAGACTTAACACATGCTTTACTATGTATATTTTATATCCATGTTTACATGTTTTCCATTTGCCCAGGCCTCCAGAATGATAGAGACAGACCTGCATGTACACAAGCTTTGATGGTTTCGTCAACCATTTGGGAGATCATTTTTTGAGCCACTATATCTACTTGAAGCTTGGAAATTAAATCTAGCTTTGTTTTAGGCACTTATACCATGAAACTGCATCTCAACCTTTTGGTAAATGCCCATAATTAAAAACTAAAACACATTAAAACGAAGTAGTTGTGTTGTTGGTGCTCCTACGTCTTCTTAAAATCAAGAAAAAAAATGACATTGTTTCAGGTAGGGAAGAGGAACGGGTTAACAAACTTTTTATGAAGTTTTTAGGTGCCAGAGTTCATTCAGAAATCAGCCCTGAAGCTTTTAAAGAGACGGCAAAAAATTAAAAAAAGAAAAATGTTGGGAATAAACATATTTACATGTTTTCACACCATCTTTTTTTCATAGGATTCGTATCACACTGAACTTAAATGATCTTGCCTTCGTATTGAAACGGTTTTAGTATTTCTCACACATTTAACCTGTTTTATTTACGTGCTTGTCTTGTGCACACTGCGGACTTTTACAAATGTATTTCAAACATATTTGTAATGGACTTATAAGACATATAACTTATCTAGTCCTGCAAAGTGTGTAATGGTTTTTACCATCGGCTGAGGGGTTTCCCAGCAGTTTGGTGACGTCCTTGTTGGTGGGGTTCTGTCCGAGAGCGCGCATGATGTCGGCGAGCTGGTTGTAGGCCACCTTGTTGTCACCCACCCTGTCGAAAAGACCGAAGGCCTCCCTGTAGTCTGAGGAAAGATGTGGAAGTTGTGCATTTATTTTCACGTTGAGCTGTGTGCGCTGTAAAAAGTGTTGCTTTAATCAGAAATAAAAAAAAAGTTTTTTCTCTGATTTACTCATTACTGTGTCTGTGCCATTCACGTGTCCTGATCAGTCACTTCATGAGTCGCTAATAACTCTACCTTCTGCATTATATTATTACTGTATCATCACATATTCTGTTCTGATGATTCACTTTACCTACTGCTATTTTATTATTGTTGTTTATTTTGGTAATTTTATCTACTGCTAAAGTACAATTTAAACATCTGTAAATACCTCATGCTGCTGCTAAACACTGTGTTCTTTGTTAGTGACTTATCTTTGGACCAAGTGCAATCATAGCTCCAGATATTTATTTTTATCATCTTAATATTTTTATCTTACTATCTACTATCTTCAATGATGGATCCTGTTTGATGTGTGCAACCTGAGTGCTCTCATCGTCTCCTTTTATTCTGCTCTAATGTGTTTTAACGATGACATAAATATATGAATATAAATGTTCCCTTTATGGGACGAATAGGATTCCCACAGGTTTATCTCTTATCTTATCTTGTAAATAATTGTGGTAGTAACGAGTGCTTAGTTTGAGTCTGGTGTATTTGAATGACTGGTGAGGGCCAATGGCACAGTCAGTCTGCCACAGGGCAGCTGTGGCGCCGCAGAGTGAATGAATGATCCCTCATGAAGCATCTTTGAGTGCCCAGAAAAAATATGCATCATCATTCTAATATTAATGCAGATATTTAACACATATTCTTCGAAAGATAGTCCAAGAAGGTTTTGAACTTCATGCACTTAGAGCATTAAAAATCTATAAATGTGAGGGTCAGAGAATAGAACATATGGAAACAATGGCTGGAAAGGGTTTGACATAGCATGTAGAATTCCACACTCTTAAAATAATAAGTGTTTATTATTCTGAGACCGAACGACTCCCGTTTGTTGTTAAAGGTGTTGGGTGCCATAAATGTCAGGGTGCCATGTTGAGTGATGCCAGCAGCAGGTGTGGGCAGTGGTTTCTATAGGTGGGACACACTACACTCTGCTCTGGGCCTAAATGCACAGGAGCTCCTTAGTAAAGCCATCCCTCAAACTATTTCAATCTCAGCTGTCACCTTCTCTCTCCGCTGCGTGCTGCTATTGGTCCTTTCAAAAGACCACCTTGGAATTGACAAACATAGCAGAGAATATGAGCCCCCACCATTTAAAGGCAAAGCTCTAAGTGCATGAGCAGCTGAGTAAAAGTGGGAAGCGCTGACTGCAGCAAAACCACAACTCTCCTCTCAATACTTTTGTGAGTCTTCATTTCTCTCCTCATGGCACTGTGTCTATGAGTTTGTGTTTGTATGTTTAAGATTATCATTTAGTAAGAGTTTGCTCAACGAAATAACACTGGATTAGGCTCAAGAATTACTATAGCACTATGAAAGCAGATAATGTGTCTTGTTCTTGGTAAATTCACTATTTTGAAGTTTAGAATTAAATTAAATGATTATTGATGTGTATTTGTATTTGATAATTAAACACAGCTAAATGCCTTACCTTCAATCTGGTCCGCGCTGAACTCCACCTGTGAGTCCAGATAAAACAGTTTGGTCAATATAGGGCCTCAAAAAGTCTAAAAATCCCTTTAAAAAGTAGATTGGTTCTGGTTCATTCTGCCATTTCATCTGTAGCCTAGGCACTCATTTTACATCATTCATTAGCTTTAAACTAGGCTTAAACTTATCTCTTTGATTAAATAAGCCGTGTTGGGTGTCATATGATCTGCAGGGGTCCATGTTTAGGTGCGTGGACATGGCCACATTTGGCACTCTTGCGTCACGCACCAGTCAAAGCTCTAGTATCCAATCCAGAGAAGGGGGCGGGGCCTGAGGCGCAGAGCTCTCCATGGTTCTGTTCATGGTCGCGCACTCTCTGCAGGTCATGTCCAGGATGGTGCCACAAACATTCAAAACGAGCTCCAAATACTTTTGGATAATGATAAACACTGTAGCAGGAAACTATGGGCTCTACGTCATAAAGTCACAGCCGAGTTTCTTTAATTCATGAAACAGACGCACGAAGTCATGTGCGAGAACTTCATTCAGCTCCATGAGTGGATCTCCTTAGACCGGGATCACACAGACCAAGTTCCCCATAGACCGGGTTCACCATAGACCGGACCCACATGGACCGGGTTCACCATAGACCAGGTTCCCCGTAGACCGGACTCACCTTTACGGCGGACAGGTCCACAGCAGCTGGGGCCGGTGCAGGTGCAGGCTCAGGGGCCGGTGCTGCAGCGGGTGCGGGTTCGGCCTTCTTGGGAGCCGCTGCCTTGGGGTCCTTCTTTGGTGCCATTTTGGTTTTAAAGTTGAACTAAGTTTTGTCCAAACGAAGTAAAGACAATTCCTGGTTCGGGTGACAACACAAGGAGAGTGGAGGGGACTCGGGGCACGAACTGCCCGCCTGGGCGTATATATATGAAGCTATTTTCCTCTGGACCCCCGCAGACACTGTCCCTGCGTCAGGATTGGACGCGGCACCGCAGACGAGCGCGCTCAGGGCGGGTGCGCTCCAAACATGGAGAGTAGGGCTGGCTGCCAAAAAGAGCTCTATATGTCAGATATCAGTAATGAGCAACAAAAACACTGGACACTGGGCTAAAGGTGGTGTGAGGACACGGTATGTCCGGTCCAAAGAGCTGAACTTCAGTCATGGTAATACTTACTAATGTGTAACCTGGGAAATGTGACAGTATTATTTAATAATACTTGATTGATTCATTTATTTCAAGCTTGTAAATTTCTCTTATGATATGAATACAATTTATCAATTATAGAATTATCAGCAAATACATATTATACATGATAGAAACGTACATTGAAGAGTTTCCTTTATTTCACTCCTGTCAAAGCTCAAAATGAGCAGTTGTTGTTCCACCAAAGGGTGTTTCAGCATCAACTCTATAATAAATAGGACTCTCAGAATCAGGAGATGATCCCATGGTCAGATGATTACACCTGGAGGAAATTCAAGCTCATCACAGCAAAGTGCTCAAGTTGTGCTGCACCAGAAAATAAACATGGTCTTCTCTTGTTTACTCTTCCTGAGGCTAGTGGAAACATAAGAACAGTCATTCTCCCCTAACTGTGCTGATTTTTTCATATCACACTTAGCCCTATCTGTTGTTCATAAAAAGACACATGAAGGTTTATTTTCTTTGCATTAGATTTTGACCAGACCTGTAAAGGATTGTGGGGGTTTTCTGACTGGTGCCTCCACAACCACAGGTGAAGGTCAACATTCTGTTTTTATGGCCTTGGCAAATGCACAAAGTAATGTCCCATGTTTGAGGTTAAGCTATAGCTACTATTCTCTCCCTTTACAAAATGTTGTCCTCTGCATTTGACCCATCCTTCCCAAGCCACTACAGGGAAACCCGGAGCAGTGGTCGCTGCACTACATCTCTCAGGGATCTACACAACTGCTCCATTTGGTCCTGACCATTAGAGGTTTGTATGGTGCATGTTTTGGCTAAATGGAGTAAACTCGAGATGAAGACCACTCTTAAGGCTTCAAACCCTCCTTGCTGTGAGTCACAAGTGCTGCTCCCTCAGCCACTGTGCTATTTACAACCTTAAAAAAAGAGTCCTGATAGTTGTGGTCAATGACTATTCTATTATAGACCTACTGTATATGAGAAATGTATGCAGGACCACAGACGTCATTGTGGCCCAAAAGGCACTTCCTGGTGCCTCAGGCCTGTGGGGCAGGTGTGACATGAGGATTATCTAATTAAACCTGAGTTTATTTGCAGGGCTCTGGACCCAGCAGCACCTGTGTTCTTGTGTTTGGGGAAATGTGTTGTGAGAGGGGAGGATATGACGTCGGGAGAGAGAGAGATCAGCTGCTGATTCCTGTAACCCAGACAAGGCCAAGAGTGCAAATTCTGCCTCCTTAATTCACATCTATATCTGTCTCCAGTGCCAGCGGTGCAGCCCTGCCCCCACGAGCCACTACGAGGGGGGCCAGTGACGAAGGAAGCGCATACATTCCTCCGCCCCAAGCCCACAGCCACCACTTGCTTTCACTGACCCCATCTCGACAAGGCCAAGCCAAAGAAAGCCAAACCCTCAGCTGTCATCAGGGCTCACCCACACTCCTACACCTTCTCAGAGCTGCACTCCCCCCTGCCCTCCCCCTCCCTCCCCCTCCCTCCCCCAGGGCGACAGCCTGCACCTGTGCTGCCCACCACACTGACTAATGGATTTACCATGTTGTCTTAGGAAAGGTGATGGCAGGGCAGCGGCAAACTGAGGGGAAAGAAACTGATAGGACTCCTGAACACCACCAACATTTTACACACATGAGACACAAACACACTACAGACAATATAGAAACATGTATTTATATTTGTAAATAATATCTCCGGATATTAAATACATGTCTCCTTCAGCAGTTTCATAACACGGTGGAATAGGAATAAGCTGTGAGTTGGTGCATTTATTTGGCCCTATTCATTTTAAACAATAAATCATGACTCATAGGGGTCAAAACATCAACATAATGTTAGACGTATTATTCCTAGCATACGATTAGGTATAACTGTGTCTAACCTCAGTCTCACCTTTTCAGTCTGCAAAATACTCTTTTTTTGATGCAGTTTTTCTTTTCTGTAAGAAATCTTAAACCTCAAACTTAATCTGTAATAATTCTGTTATTATTAAAGAAAATGTTTAATAATGTCATTGTAGAATAATGCCTTTGCTAAGTGTGTTTCAGAGGTCTCTCTCTCGGAGACATTCTAAGTATTGCATTAGTGGAGACAAACGATCTAAACATACCACCCTTTACTTATTAGTAATGGCCAGCTCCCTGCAGGCAGCACCAGAGATGTGAGGTATGTGTGTGTGTCTGCTTGTACGTGGGCATGCATGTGTGTGTGTGTGTGTGTCTGCTTGTACGTGGGCATGCATGCATGTGTGTGTGTGTGTAAGTAAGTAATTTATATACCGCCTTTTCACTGCACATCGTTTACAATTGTGATTTTTGGGAGTGGGGGTCGCCAGTACAGGAGGCACATGCCAGACCTATTGTACATATTTTTAGTGGTAGGGGAAACCGGAGCACCCGGAGGAAACCTACGCAGACACGAGGAGAACATGTAAATTCCACTCAGAAAGGCCCTGGTCCAACCGGGATTCGAACCCAGGACCTTCTTGCTGAGAGGCGATAGTGCTATCCACTCAGCCACTGTGCCGCGTGTGTGTGCCTGCTTGTACGTGGGCATGCATGCGCGTGTGTGTCTGTGTGTGTGTAGGTGTGTAAGAGTGTGTGTGTGTGTGTGTGTGTCTGCTTGTACGTGGGCATGCATGCGCGTGTGTGTCTGTGTGTGTGTAGGTGTGTAAGAGTGTGTGTGTGTGTGTGTGTGTCTGCTTGTACGTGGGCATGCATGTGTGTGTGTGTGTGTGTGTGTGCCTGCTTGTTCGTGTGCGTGCGCATGTGCGTGTGTGTGTGTGTGTGCCTGCTTGTACGTGGGCATGCATGCGTGTGTGTGTGTGCGCATGTGCGTGTGTGTGTGTGTTGGGTTCAGCGCTGTCTCAAAGGGCACAGTAGTGTTAAGGTGAAGGCCCAATAACAGAGCGTGTTGATTATCATGGAAGAAAAAACACAAAGAGGAAATATTTGGTCAACATGATAAAATAAAATAAACTTTATTGATCTCACACTGGAGAAATGTACACGTCACATTTGGCACAAATAAAATCATCAGATTGTGCAAAAGACAGAAATGTGAAACATGTAAAAGGTTAAAAATATAGTCTGTGCAGGATATAATTTATTGTACATGTATTATGTACAATAAAAGTAAATTTTGGTAATTCTTGAACATCAGTAATAATTTGAGTGTAAAATGATCTGTTGTGAAAATGCTAACGTGCTAACACATCTGATTGAAGTCATTGCCAGTCTTCCTCCTCCTAAAGTCAGAAATAACCAGCAGCTGACTGACAGCTGGAGAACTTTAATTGCCCTGAGCCGTTTACTTCTTTGGAAAAAGCACGTTGTGGAATTTGTTTTATATTCTACATCAAACTTGAGCTTTTGGAAGATTTAACACATGTTGTCTTTTCTGCATGGAAGCTTCTTTGAAATTCTGCGTCGATGGAGAATCACTGATCGCCTCTGCTTCAGGCAAAACCAAGACATTAAGCATCTGTAGTGTTTCAAAACAAATAAGTCGAGAACAACATTGAGTGTTTCTGAGCCTGATCACTGACATCTGCTTCACAACGTTCTGCTCATTTCCATTTAGAGTCTGAGGCAGAGGCAGAGGCTGAGGCTGAGGCTGAGGCTGAGGCTGAGGCAGAGGCAGAGGCAGAGGCAGAGGCAGAGGCAGAGGCAGAGGCAGAGGCAGAGGCAGAGGCAGAGGCAGAGGCAGAGGCTGAGGCTGAGGCTGAGGCTGAGGCTGAGGCTGAGGCTGAGGCTGAGGCTGAGGCTGAGGCTGAGGCTGAGGCTGAGGCAGAGGCAGAGGCAGAGGCAGAGGCAGAGGCAGAGGCAGAGGCAGAGGCAGAGGCAGAGGCAGAGGCAGAGGCAGAGGCAGAGGCAGAGGCAGAGGCAGAGGCAGAGGCAGAGGCTGAGGCTGAGGCAGAGGCAGAGGCAGAGGCAGAGGCAGAGGCAGAGGCAGAGGCAGAGGCAGAGGCAGAGGCAGAGGCAGAGGCAGAGGCAGGCTGTGTGCTACATCTCTGCAGAGCTTGCCCGTCTAAAGTCCATCTCCAGTCCGTCTTCAGCCTGTCACTTATTCCAGGGTCTGGAAAAAGTGGAATAAGGGTCTTATCTCTTGGTCTGGTCCATCCCTTGGTCTGGTCCATCTCTTGGTCTGGTCCATCTCTTGGTCTGGTCCATCCCTTGGTCTGGTCCATCCCTTGGTCTGGTCCATCCCTTGGTCTGGTCCATCCCTTGGTCTGGTCCATCTCTTGGTCTGGTCCATCTCTTGGTCTGGTCCATCCCTTGGTCTGGTCCATCCCTTGGTCTGGTCCATCTCTTGGTCTGGTCTTTGCTCTGGAGCAGCAGTGATGTGAGAACCACCGGCCCATTGTTGTGTGACAGAGACGTACAGAATCTGATCTTATTCACATTGAACTGGTGCTGATGAGATGTCAAAGTGAGAAACTTTCTTAACTGTCTGTGGAGAATGATAAATGAAAACCAAAGTCATGTGATGAGTGATGTTGGAGGACCCTAATGAGCATAAAAGGTAAATTATAAATGCACCAGGTCCAATAAACTAAATGTATGTGTGTAGAGCAGCCTTTCTTAAAGTCTACAGCACAAAACATATTTTCTCAAAGATAAACTAAATTCACTTTAATTAAAATAAATGTAATTTGTAATTCAAGGCCATGTCTTCATTGAAGGAGCAGCCATCTTCCAGTGGACCCGCCCCCTGCAGAGGATCAGAGGGACTGGTGCTTTGTGAAATGGGTGCAGCTCTGATTGCCGCCCCCCCGACCCAGAAATGGATGAATAAAGGGATGAAAATGAAACGAAATGTAATGTATTTCATTTGCAGAGAATGGTTTTACTGTGGTAATTTCAACCAGATATTTGAATGTTTGATTCAAATCTGTATTGGCTTTGGGGGCCCCTGAAGTGCCTCTGAGGACCCCAAAGGGCCCATACTCCATTTCTTTAGAAAGTCCTTTATCATTTATTATTTGGGAAGTTTATGGCTGATGAGAGCAGGACAGAGACAGGAACCCACAGGTTTTTAGTCTGATGTTGTTCGACTGCCTCTTGTGTTTTATGTATCATAGACTTTTACTATTTAGACATCTTCATGAGGAACAAGGATACAGAAAGTGAATATTGTGAAAACCTCCTGGATTATATTGTTAAAATATGTCCATACTTCCTGGATTATGTTGCAATTTAACAAACAAACCTTGGACATTGCATTGAAGACTTTTCTCTTACTCACGAACATATCATTAACCCTTCAAATTGTATCTTTTTTTCACAAGAAAATTTATTGTTTAACTGTGATTGAATGTGTATTGTCCACATACAATACACTTCAAACTACAGTTTGCCTGTGAATCGCGGAATCGTGGACCTCCTGCGGAGGTCAGTGTGTGGGCCAGAGTAGATGTAGACCCTGCATTTCCACCAACTTCTTCCCCCTGCGGCCCTCCAACCAGCTCTGCGTCAGGAATGGGCTGTAACTGAGCCTGGTGGGACAGATGGGGCCTATTTATATCGCCACAGAGAGGTGTGAAGTTTCTTGGGATTTCTAAGAGCGGGGGCCATGGCTCCTTGAGGGCTGTTACACCCTCTCTCCCCCAGTCCTCCCATAATGCTTCTCTTCTCTGGGCACAGTGGGATTAACTCAAGCCAGGCTAAACAAAGCATCCTGTTGATCTTTTTTTTATTGGGGACACTACCTCACTACAGAGGGGGGGGGGGATACAGGACAGGCTCTTCCATGGAGCGTCCACAGACTCAGGACGGGCAGGACCATCCCAGTCTTCAAGTCATGGTGCTAAAACAGAGGCCTGACACGGTGAGCTTTTATTACAGTGACCTCAGGACACAATAAAAGCTCTCTGTGTTTATGAAGAAAGACGAGGAGGAAAACCAGTGCCACAGTTTGGAGATTGTGTATTTGTGGAGAAGGCATTTTCATCTTATAGACCAGTTTTATTGATACAGAATCTATTCAAATCTAACAAGGAGAAAAAGGAACATAAACTAGAGGAAATATTCATGTTGTATATTCTCATAACAATAGTGCCATTGTGATGAAATATATGACATTATTACAGAGGGTGTAAAATGAGAATACAGTAATACAATACTTCAGTCGCTGTGCTCTTGGGCAAAGCACTTGGCCAGCTTTGTCTGCAGAAGAATGTGTTAATGGGAGCCTATTGACACAGCTCACCTGCCACATTTATGTCCCAATACACAACTGCAATATCTATGTACAAAATAAACTGTTTTTTCTTCTTTCTTCTAATTATCATTTGTGAGAATGTTCCAAAACAGATAACGGCAAAATCTCAGATAAAACACTTTCAGACAAGTTCATGGTTCCAGTATTGGTCAAAATCATCTGATTCTAGTTTTGGCAAAATAATGATTTTAAGTCATTCTAACGGTGACTGGATAGTTTTCAAAAAGTCAAGTCTACTCTTCAAAAAACACAATATTTGGTATCAGACGAGTAACTAATAGGAAATAATTGTATCATACTTAGTATTTCATGTGTGACATCACAGTCACATGCACTGATGTCACATGTGAATCCAGCATCAGGTCAATGAAGACAAGCATCATCGTTAACCCTGGATCCACTTACCGTTAAATTGAAATGATTTGATGTACCCCAGATTTTCTATCTTAAAGCTGGGGTACCTAACAATTTTTTTGTTTGTGAACAAGTCAGACCACCGCAACATCTTCAATCATGCCAGAAAGAGCCACAGAAGTCACCTTCTATTAACCTATCTATTTAACCCTTTGGACTGATTGGCGTGAATGATCTCTTTTCAACTTCTCTGTCTGAAAAGGCTGATGTGATCGAGGGCACTAAATATGTGACCAAGGGCTCTAAAGATGTGACCAAGGGCTCTAAAGATGTGGCCGAGGGCACTAAAGATGTGACCCGAGGGCTCTAAAGATGTGATCGAGGGCACAAAAGAAGTGATCGAGGGCACTAAATATGTGACCGAGGGCTCTAAAGATGTGGCCGAGGGCACTAAAGATGTGACCGAAGGCACTAAAGATGTGACCGAGGGCTCTAAAGATGTGATCGAGGGCTCTAAAGATGTGACCGAAGCCACTAAAGATGTGACCGAGGGCTCTAAAGATGTGATCGAGGGCTCTAAAGATGTGATCGAGGGCACTAAAGATGTGATCGAGGGCACTAAAGAAGTGATCGAGGGCTCTAAAGATGTGATCGAGGGCTCTAAAGATGTGATCGAGGGCACTGAAGATGTGACCGAGGGCACTAAAGAAGTGATCGAGGGCTCTAAAGATGTGACCGAGGGCTCTAAAGATGTGATCGAGGGCACTAAACATGTGACCGAGGGCTCTAAAGAAGTGACCGAGGGCACTAAAGAAGTGATCGAGGGCTCTAAAGAAGTGATCGAGGGCTCTAAAGATGTGACCGAAAGCTCTAAAGATGTGATCGAGGGCTCTAAACATGTGATTGAGGGCTCTAAACATGTGACCGAGGGCTCTAAAGATGTGACCGAGGGCTCTAATACATGCATGAGAATACTAGAGTGCATTAAAATAAGCTGTGAACTTTCAAAGCTGCACAACAGAAACAAGGATGTGCCAATGTTCTCACTCTAATCCATCCAGAGGTCATTCTGCGTCCTGTGAGTGCCTTTTGTTTTCCTGCTGCTGCCAAACTAGTGATGTCAGAACTTTTTAATATAATACAGAGGAGGTTTGCCTTATTTACTATGTTAAAACCACAAAACCAGTCAGTACCTATATACTACTGTGCTGATATACTCTATATTTTCAACAGCTCCATTCTAATCTGTGAAAATGTCTTTGCCACATTGTCACAGTGAGGGCACTAAATATGTGACCGAGGGCTCTAAAGATGTGACCGAGGGCACTAAATATGTGACCAAGGGCTCTAAAGATGTGACCGAGGGCTCTAAAGATGTGGCCGAGGGCATTAAAGATGTGACCCGAGGGCTCTAAAGATGTGACCGAGGGCACTAAAGATGTGACCGAAGGCACTAAAGATGTGATTGAGGGCTCTAAAGAAGTGATTGAGGGCTCTAAAGATGTGATCGAGGGCTCTAAAGATGTGATCGAGGGCACTGAAGATGTGACCGAGGGCACTAAAGAAGTGATCGAGGGCTCTAAAGATGTGATCGAGGGCTCTAAAGATGTGACCGAGGGCTCTAAAGATGTGATCGAGGGCACTGAAGAAGTGATCGAGGGCTCTAAAGATGTGATCGAGGGCTCTAAAGATGTGATCGAGTGCTCTAAAGATGTGATCGAGGGCACTAAAGAAGTGATCGAGGGCTCTAAAGATGTGACCGAGGGCACTGAAGATGTGACCGAGGGCTCTAAAGATGTGACCGAGGGCACTAAAGATGTGACCGAGGGCTCTAAAGAAGTGACCAAGGGGTCTAAAGATGTGATCAAGGGCACTGAAGATGTGACCGAGGGCTCTAAAGAAGTGACCGAGGGCTCTAAAGATGTGATCGAGGGCACTAAACATGTGACCGAGGGCTCTAAACATGTGACCGAGGGCTCTAAAGAAGTGACAGAGGGCACTAAAGAAGTGACCGAGGGCTCTAAAGATGTGACCGAGGGCTCTAAAGATGTGACCGAAAGCTCTAAAGATGTGATCGAGGGCTCTAAACATGTGATTGAGGGCTCTAAAGATGTGACCGAGGGCTCTAATACATGCATGATAATACTAGAGTGCATTAAAATAAGCTGTGAACTTTCAAAGCTGCACAACAGAAACAAGGATGTGCCAATGTTCTCACTCTAATCCATCCAGAGGTCATTCTGCGTCCTGTGAGTGCCTTTTGTTTTCCTGCTGCTGCCAAACTAGTGATGTCAGAACTTTTTAATATAATACAGAGGAGGTTTGCCTTATTTACTATGTTAAAACCACAAAACCAGTCAGTACCTATATACTACTGTGCTGATATACTCTATATTTTCAACAGCTCCATTCTAATCTGTGAAAATGTCTTTGTCACAGTGAAGCTATGCAAACCCTGCTTTTGAAACCCAAACTTATGTCCAACGAGGATTTGTGTCTAATCCTTTACTGAACATTTAAAGTGAGCCGTTCTTTATTTGTGGGGTCTCAGGGCCGATGCTTGGAAACCTGGCAACAGCGAGGAGGCAGCCGCTCTATTTCTGTCTGCTCTTAAGCTTGATCTACATCTGAAACGCACACTTGAAACTGAAGACAATGCGGCGTGCGGACAGACAGGGCTCATCATTACTGCCTCGGACCAATCACTGAAGGAATTCAAACAGCCTTCTGCTTCACTGTGAGAGGAGCATGACACTCTGAGAGCACCAGCGTTCACTCTCCTCATGGAACCAGACACTTGGAAAGCCTTTTGTCACCTTTCTATGAGTGCTTTTGAGACAGACGCATGTTCCTGCCATATTTCTTCTACCTTTAAAGAAGAAAAACTGCTAAAAACTAAAAGGTATATTCTAATAATAATGATACATATCTGACATTGTTCAAGCATAACGTGGCTGCACTAGAAGCTGGACATGTTTTGTCTTCAACACAAAGCAGCTTCACGGTTCATCTAAAGTAACATCTTAAGAATGAGCTACTACTGACGTGTCTGTGGCCAAAAAGACACGTTTAATTTAACCCACTTTTCCAGGACCACATGCATTTTCTTTAAAGCTTATTCAACCTAATCTTATTCATATAGAGTAGTAATAATATATGTTTTAATATTATCCTTTGTATGACTTGTACATAGAATCACTGAAGTTTCACAGACTATTATGGTACCTGCAGTGCTGTAATGTCTTTCACCACAAGAGGTCAGCAGAGCATCACACAGACGAGCCTTCCGAGCCAAGGAGCTTCAGAAAAAAACGAAATGAACTAAGTGTCCACAATATTATGTATAAAGTGCTTGTAAATGTATGTTGGACAAGAACGATGTTTAATTCGGGTGATCAGACTGGGATAACCAGCAACAGACTCGATTCGAGGAGTAAATAAATCTTAGCGAATGCCAGACATGACTCAGATTCACATTTACCCACAGACTGTAAAGTTCCAGTGAGCTCCCCTAACCTCTGTGGAAAGATATACTTTTCTGCTTGGCTCCTCTGTGTACCTGCATGAAGTGTGTCATGTTTTTAAGGACTTTTTAGACACCAGACTTCATTATTCCATAAAGCAGATCCATGCATTGGAAAAGCTGAACACTGCAGCACTCATCACAACCTGTGAGTGGCAGCAGTGCGCCAGGTGGCTCCTCGTCTGCTGAAAACCCGCGAAGAAGAATCTGCGGCCACCTGAACCATGGATGTATTATCCTGAACAGACGCTCAAATAAACAAGTCGCGAACATGAATCTTATTTTTTTAAATATATATATTATTATTCATCATTGTATAGACTGCTCAAGGTGTTGGAGTGAGTTGGAATCTAAAAATATAATAGATCCATGGTTGGAATCCATCGGGCGTCACCGTAGACTAGATCCATGAGACATTCAGACACAGACAGCAGCACTACTGAGCTGGTGGCAAGTTCAGAATTATCCATATGGAAACTGACACAATGCAATACATGAAGTGGACCAGCGTCAGTGAAACCTAGAGAGAAACTAGCATCCTCAGAAGTTATACCCTGCTGACTTTTGAGGATTCTGTTTCGACATCTATGGGGACATCTCCACATATTTAAAATAAATATTAAATACCGGAAACGGCCCCAAACACTCAAGAAATGTAGGCAAGGAAAGTGTATTTGTATAGTATCGTTCATACACAGGGAAATGCAAAGTACTTAAAACAACAACAACAAGATAAACACAAGGGATTCAAATCATAAACAACCACTCTTCAGAAGAAGCCTGTCTCACATTCTCAGGAAGACTGCTCCAGACTTTAAATGTTTCATTAAATTATACTTGTATCCTGGCCTGGGGAGGGAAAAGAGACCATCTTGGATTTAACTGGAAAAGGCAATATTTATTTATTATTGTGTGTAGGCACCGTAAATTGAAATTGTCCTCATAGCAACACATTTTTTTTCTATCTGAAATTGAGTAGCAGTGAGCCTGTACCCCAGAGCCAATCCCAACCGCAGCCTATGATCAACCACCTTAAGGAGTACCTGCAAACTCACAGCAAGTGACCAATTTAAACCACTGTAGCCATGACAACAGATTATGTGTTTTTGATCAATGAATCAACCTATTGATTTCTTTGGATCAATTCGAATTTGTATTGAAACTCTACTCAACAATATGTTTTTTGATTTGATGTTTTACTGTCAAGACACAATCTACAGTGTCTTAAAACCCTCGTTCAAAGATTATTAAATTTGTTAAGGTATTAAAAGCTTGGGGGAAACAGTGTTTTAGTTAGCCCCACTCTGTCCTGTGCCTCAAGAGTCTGAATAATGGCACGTTTAATCCATTTCAGCATAGGAAACTGGGATGTAGGAGATCATTTTGAGCAAATTTACAAATAAGATAAGATGAGGAATAATGTATTTGTAGTAGAATAGGAAATCTTTGGGTTTTTTGCTGATTTTGTTTCAATTAAATGTAAATGTAAATATGAGGAAATCAATGTGGCATATGTTATATATTATGTACATATGTCTGGATCTATACCTTTCTGTATCAGTCTTTCCCTTGCTCAGTCTAAAAATACACTTTGCTCTGTAGTACCTGTTGCTCATCTTGGAGTTTTCTTTGTATTATATTAGGATCAAAACAGCCCTCTGAATGAGAAATATTGAAACAAATCTCTGGAGTGTCAGCGCTTCACAAACAAGGCATGAAGCTTTGCCAATAAGCTCCATGACATTCAGCTTTTTTAACCAATCAATAATTTGTTAACACTATAATTGGTGTCTCCAGACTAGAGGCACTCTGTATTTTCAGAGAAATTAAAAACGTAATGGATTTAATACCATCAAATATGTAATTTTGCCAACCCGGGAATAATACCTTTTGTAGAACGAACAACTAAAACGTGCATGTACTGGATTGTAGAAGGACATGAGATAAAAGCAGGTACAATATAAGGTAAACACAAACATCAACTCTTGTGGGTGATGTAAATCTCTAAGACACGGGGTTTGATGTTGGGAGTTCAGCTTTCTGGAGAAACCACGTTTACAAAGAGGGAGAAACGGTTGAAGCCATTAGACGAGAGGACGACCCGTGCAAAGGCGTCACGGAGCGTTCACATGGACAGGGTTATTGGTCGCACACGGCTCAAGCTCAAAGTCGTGCAATCCATCACGGCTCCAGCTTTTCTGCAGTTTGAACGACTCCATCTGACCATCCGGACAAGATCGCTCGAGACGCAAGTGCACTCTCAAATGTGTGGACGTCTCTTGGGCTTTTTGAATCTACATAGTGCTCTTTTCCAGTGGTTTAAAAGAAACAAAGTGATTAGGGTAAAGTACTGCGCATTAAGTAGTTAACAACGATGCATTTTTGAATTTGTAGTTACAGGAGACAGTTTTTCTGTCTTTTTTCTCGCTTGGTGTCTGGAGATTAGGGTTAGGGTTAACTGGGCTGAAAAGTGAAAGTATGTTTTGGGTCACCTGACCTTTTGGCAAGTAAAAACACAAGAAAGACGTAGAAATGTACTCCTGTATTGAAAAAAAGAAAGAAGCCAATTTGTATAAAAAATGCCAACTGTGAAAAGTTTAAAACTCAGCTTCAGTTCTTAAAACTCAGCTTCAGTTCTTACAGGCCTAATATTCTTAAAAACATACACCAAAGTAAAAAAAAAAAACTAGCCAAGCTTCTTGCATAGAGACTAAATGTAATTAAATATCCTGATTAAACAGGATGTGTCCAAGGGCAATATTCCTATGCTAACATCAGACATATTGACTCAATGGTAATCTCCCATGATGACCTGGAGTGGAGCTATCACTGCTGTGGTTCAAGTATTGGAGAGTTTTTCCTTTTATCACTTTTATTAAACGGATTACGCTCCTAAATATCCTCCTTTGTCCAATGTCTACATTTGTATGTTTGCTTATTGCTTCAGTGCCCGTCAGTGCCTGTCAGAGGCCGTCAGAGCCCGTCAGAACCCGTCAGTGCCCGTCAGAGCCCGTCAGTGTCCGTCAGAGCCCGTCAGAGCCCGTCAGAGCCCGTCAGTGCCCGTCAGAGCCCGTCAGTGCCCGTCAGTGCCCGTCAGAGCCCGTCAGTGTCCGTCAGTGTCCGTCAGAGCCCGTCAGAGCCCGTCAGAGCCCGTCAGAGCCCGTCAGAGCCCGTCAGAGCCCGTCAGAGCCCGTCAGAGCCCGTCAGTGTCCGTCAGAGCCCGTCAGTGCCCGTCAGAGCCCGTCAGGTGCCCGTCAGTGCCCGTCAGAGCCCGTCAGTGTCCGTCAGAGCCCGTCAGTGCCCGTCAGTGCCCGTCAGTGTCCGTCAGAGCCCGTCAGTGCCCGTCAGAGCCCGTCAGAGCCCGTCAGTGCCCGCCAGTGCCCGCCAGTGCCCGTCAGTGTCCGTCAGAGCCCGTCAGTGCCCGTCAGAGCCCGTCAGAGCCCCTCAGTGCCCGTCAGAGCCCGTCAGTGTCCGTCAGAGCCCGTCAGTGTGCCCGTCAGAGCCCGTCAGAGCCCGTCAGAGCCCGTCAGTACCCGTCAGAGCCCGTCAGTGCCCGTCAGTGCCCGTCAGTGCCCGTCAGAGCCCGTCAGTGCCCGTCAGTGCCCGTCAGAGCCCGTCAGTGCCCGCCAGTGCCCGCCAGTTCCCGTCAGTGTCCGTCAGAGCCCGTCAGTGCCCGTCAGAGCCCGTCAGAGCCCGTCAGTGTCCGTCAGAGCCCTCAGTGCCCGTCAGAGCCTGTCAGTGTCCGTCAGAGCCCCTCAGTGCCCGTCAGAGCCCGTCAGTGTCCGTCAGAGCCCCTCAGTGCCCGTCAGTGCCCGTCAGAGCCCGTCAGTGTCCGTCAGAGCCCGTCAGTGCCCGTCAGTGCCCGTCAGTGTCCGTCAGAGCCCGTCAGTGCCCGTCAGAGCCCGTCAGAGCCCGTCAGTGCCCGCCAGTGCCCGCCAGTGCCCGTCAGTGTCCGTCAGAGCCCGTCAGTGCCCGTCAGAGCCCGTCAGAGCCCCTCAGTGCCCGTCAGAGCCCGTCAGTGTCCGTCAGAGCCCGTCAGTGCCCGTCAGAGCCCGTCAGAGCCCGTCAGAGCCCGTCAGTACCCGTCAGAGCCCGTCAGTGCCCGTCAGTGCCCGTCAGTGCCCGTCAGAGCCCGTCAGTGCCCGTCAGTGCCCGTCAGAGCCCGTCAGTGCCCGCCAGTGCCCGCCAGTTCCCGTCAGTGTCCGTCAGAGCCCGTCAGTGTCCGTCAGAGCCCGTCAGTGCCCGTCAGAGCCCGTCAGAGCCCGTCAGAGCCCGTCAGTGCCCGTCAGTGCCCGTCAGAGCCCGTCAGTGTCCGTCAGAGCCCCTCAGTGCCCGTCGGAGCCTGTCAGAGCCCGTCAGTGCCCGTCAGAGCCCGTCAGAGCCCGTCAGTGTCCGTCAGAGCCCCTCAGTGCCCGTCGGAGCCCGTCAGAGCCCGTCAGTGTCCGTCAGAGCCCGTCAGAGCCCGTCAGAGCCCGTCAGTGCCCGTCAGAGCCCGTCAGTGTCCGTCAGAGCCCGTCAGAGCCCGTCGGAGCCGGTCAGAGCCCGTCAGTGCCCGTCAGAGCCCGTCAGTGCCCGTCAGAGCCCGTCAGAGCCCGTCAGTGTCCGTCAGAGCCCCTCAGTGCCCGTCGGAGCCCGTCAGAGCCCGTCAGTGCCCGTCAGAGCCTGTCAGTGTCCGTCAGAGCCCCTCAGTGCCCGTCAGAGCCCGTCAGTGTCCGTCAGAGCCCGTCAGAGCCCGTCAGTGCCCGTCAGTGCCCGTCAGAGCCCGTCAGAGCCCGTCAGTGTCCGTCAGAGCCCCTCAGTGCCCGTCGGAGCCTGTCAGAGCCCGTCAGTGCCCGTCAGAGCCCGTCAGAGCCCGTCAGTGTCCGTCAGAGCCCCTCAGTGCCCGTCGGAGCCCGTCAGAGCCCGTCAGTGTCCGTCAGAGCCCGTCAGAGCCCGTCAGAGCCCGTCAGTGCCCGTCAGAGCCCGTCAGTGCCCGTCAGAGCCCGTCAGTGCCCGTCAGAGCCTGTCAGTGTCCGTCAGAGCCCTCAGTGCCCGTCAGAGCCCGTCAGTGTCCGTCAGAGCCCCTCAGTGCCCGTCAGAGCCCGCCAGTGTCCGTCAGAGCCCGTCAGTGCCCGTCAGTGCCCGTCAGTGTCCGTCAGAGCCCGTCAGTGCCCGTCAGAGCCCGTCGGAGCCCGTCAGTGCCCGCCAGTGCCCGCCAGTGCCCGTCAGTGTCCGTCAGAGCCCGTCAGTGCCCGTCAGAGCCCGTCAGAGCCCCTCAGTGCCCGTCAGAGCCCGTCAGTGTCCGTCAGAGCCCGTCAGTGCCCGTCAGAGCCCGTCAGAGCCCGTCAGTACCCGTCAGAGCCCGTCAGTGCCCGTCAGTGCCCGTCAGTGCCCGTCAGAGCCCGTCAGTGCCCGTCAGTGCCCGTCAGAGCCCGTCAGTGCCCGCCAGTGCCCGCCAGTTCCCGTCAGTGTCCGTCAGAGCCCGTCAGTGTCCGTCAGAGCCCGTCAGAGCCCGTCAGAGCCCGTCAGAGCCCGTCAGTGCCCGTCAGAGCCCGTCAGAGCCCGTCAGTGTCCGTCAGAGCCCCTCAGTGCCCGTCGGAGCCTGTCAGAGCCCGTCAGTGCCCGTCAGAGCCCGTCAGAGCCCGTCAGTGTCCGTCAGAGCCCCTCAGTGCCCCGTCGGAGCCCGTCAGAGCCCGTCAGTGTCCGTCAGAGCCCGTCAGAGCCCGTCAGAGCCCGTCAGTGCCCGTCAGAGCCCGTCAGTGTCCGTCAGAGCCCGTCAGAGCCCGTCGGAGCCTGTCAGAGCCCGTCAGTGCCCGTCAGAGCCCGTCAGAGCCCGTCAGTGTCCGTCAGAGCCCCTCAGTGCCCGTCGGAGCCCGTCAGAGCCCGTCAGTGCCCGTCAGTGCCCGTCAGAGCCTGTCAGTGTCCGTCAGAGCCCCTCAGTGCCCGTCAGAGCCCGTCAGTGTCCGTCAGAGCCCGTCAGAGCCCGTCAGTGCCCGTCAGTGCCCGTCAGAGCCCGTCAGAGCCCGTCAGTGTCCGTCAGAGCCCCTCAGTGCCCGTCGGAGCCTGTCAGAGCCCGTCAGTGCCCGTCAGAGCCCGTCAGAGCCCGTCAGTGTCCGTCAGAGCCCCTCAGTGCCCGTCGGAGCCCGTCAGAGCCCGTCAGTGACCGTCAGAGCCCGTCAGAGCCCGTCAGTGCCCGTCAGAGCCCGTCAGTGCCCGTCAGAGCCCGTCAGTGCCCGTCTCAGAGCCCGTCAGAGCCCGTCAGTGTCCGTCAGAGCCCGTCAGAGCCCGTCAGAGCCCGTCAGAGCCCGTCAGAGCCCGCAGTGCCCGTCAGAGCCCGTCAGTGCCCGTCAGTGCCCGTCAGAGCCCCTCAGTGCCCGTCAGAGCCCGTCAGTGCCCGCCAGAGCCCGTCAGAGCCCGTCAGTGCCTGTCAGAGCCCGTCAGTGCCCGTCAGTGCCCGTCAGAGCCCGTCAGTGCCCGTCAGAGCCCGTCAGTGCCCGTCAGTGCCCCTTCGAGCCCGTCAGTGCCTGTCAGAGCCCGTCAGTGCCTGTCAGAGCCCGTCAGTGCCCGTCAGAGCCCGTCAGTGCATCTTTCTAATGTGGAAGTCTGAGGATAATATACCGTTAGTTTACAATACAATACACAATACAATACAATACAATACAATACAATTTATTCTTGTATAGCCCTAGGTCACAACAGAAGTCATCTCAGAGGACTTAACAAAACCATTGAAATCACCAACACAGGTCAGAGAATCAACAGTTAAAACACATGAAGAATACAGTATAAAGCACACACAGAAGAAAATGTCCATACATGTTGTAGAATGCTAAAGTGTCCTGATCATCACCAATCCTTTCTGTTGGACACTAACTGTCCAACAAGACCCTCCTGCATCGACAAGGAAACATTTTAGCTTGGGGCTTAGTGTGATTTCTCTCTGCACAGATGACATCCTGATATCCGATTGTAAAAATAAATCAATCTTTGCTTTTATAATTAAACTTATTTTTTGTTTATTATGGAACTTCGCTTCATGTTTTGTTGTTTGAAGGAACACTAAATTGTAAAGCTGAACATTGGCAGCTTCTTTGTTCTGTAAATATGGATAGGTGCATTAAGCTTTAGCTTCTGCCCATTCCATTTCAGACATGATGTGCATTTTCTATTTTCATGTAATGAATGTTAAATATGTCTGAATAAAATCAATCTGAATCTGGAGAAAGTCAATCCCAGCTGTCCTGAATACAATGGAGGACTTGATAGCTGCTCAGGAACCAACCTCGACATAGGAAAATGGACAGTTCTACTTTTTTCCGAAGCTCCAAATTAGATTTCCATACATCATATAATGATTTTAAATACTTACAAATAGTAAAGACTAATGTCCTGTCAGTAATTAAACAAATCAAACTGGATATGGAGAGATGGACGACTTGTAGTTTTAAGTAAATAGGAATAGAATAGAAAAATGGAATAGAAGGAGACCTAATACAAACCAAATACCGGTAGAAAAGGATGGACCCAGTGTTAAAGACACTTCAGAATGAGTTAAGAACCACAGCAGTTTGAAGCGGACGCTCTGGGGCAGGATTCATCTACAGTTTATTAAACAGTCTATCATCCTTAAATGTGCTAAGAATATTCCTGACATCAAAGATCACTCTGTTGTTAATCATGTGTTTAAATCATGGACATCAAAAAACTGTTTTCTCTAAATGAGATTTATTTGACCCCTATTTTAATACATCTTCCCTCAAAATAAAATGATTGAAATGAAAAATATCAGCTTGAAATACATTCTACTCGCCTAAATACCATTTAGGAGACGTATGACACTTATTTATTTGTAATCACTACTTTAATAATGAAATACAAGCAATATATTAAACTTCCAATTAGATACATTTTCACAATAAAGGACTCACATAAACAGAAAATATTATAGCATGTTTGGTCGCTTACTATTTTACATTTTGGTTGGTATAAATTCAGACCACTATATGCTGCCGTGTTAATCTATACTCGTGCTAATAATAATAATAATAATAATATCTCAATCTGCCTCATTATACAGTATATATTGTACAGTATATACTTTAGAACCAATGTTTTATGTTCTAGTGTGAAATTTTAAACATGGCTTTTTTGATTGAATACTGTGGTATTTGTTTTATTATATTGGAAACAAACCAGACATGTCAGCTGGAAGTACGGTCAGCGTCCGGACCTCAAGTCAAAGCTGATATTTAAGACCCGTGCAGCCCGTTCTTTGACTTTCACTATTGCAGAGTGCTGAACCCAGCAGAGAGGCAGTCAGGCAGCGGTCTCTACAGAGAACCAGTCCTGCAGTCATCAGCAAATGCACACACCTCTAATCCCCCTCCATTGAGCTCTTGGGGCGGCCCTGTGCCATTTCCCCGCTGGCTAATGGGCCCCAAGGAAAAGCCGGGGGAGTTTAAGGCAGAGTAGTGGAGGATTTGAGCTTTTTTGCAGGTCTCATTTCAGGCAGTGGTCAATGAATTTTAAAATGGGGCCAAATTTGTAAATGGTTAAAGCATGGACGCAATGGGGACCATCTATAGATCCCACTACTTCAGTCCTAAAAAAACGCTAAATAGGAAAATGTCAGTGTTTCAGCTTACTTTGCAGAAACCTGAATAAAAGGAGCATCTGAGACAAGATAATGCCAAGATAAGCTAACACTATGTACAGCTGTGATATCTGTGTATTTGTGTTTACAATTTATAACATTTAAAACGATCATTTCTGTTTGCAGCAGTGGGTCAAGAGAAGTAACTACATCGTCATCAGCATTCTTACTTTACTTCAGTCATGTACGTTATTACTATAGTTAATGTTACATGTACAGAATCACCAGTGTTCATTGTGCAGCCATGTAAGATAATGTTTTTATTAGTGGCATATATGATAAACTGTATGGCATAGAAAGTACACAATCATTACTTGTGGACTGTGGACTTCAGGAAGAGCACTGTCCCCCCGCCCCCACCCTCCGTGATGGACTCCCCCATCACCTCTGTGGAGTCCTTCCGTTTCCTGGGCACCACCATCACCCAGGACCTCAAGTGGGAGCCGACCATCAGCTCCCTCATCAAGAAGGCCCAGCAGAGGATGTACTTCCTGCGGCAGCTCAGGAAAGCCAAGCTGCCTGCACAGATGTTGGTGCAGTTCTACACGGCCATCATCGAGTCCATCCTCACCTCCTCCATCACCGTGTGGTTCGCTGGAGCCACAGTCAGGGACAAACAGAGACTACAGCGCATTGTGCGCTCTGCAGAGGAAGTGATCGGCCGCAGCCTTCCATCGCTGCAGGACCTGTACGTCGCCCGAGCTCGAGGCCGGGCTGGTCGTATCACAGCCGACCCCTCTCACCCTGCACATGGACTATTCCAACCACTCCCCTCAGGCAGGAGGCTGCGGTCCATCAGGACTAGAACCTCCCGCCACAAGAACAGTTTTTTCCCCTCTGCTGTTGGACTCTTGAACACTTCTTAACCTGTCCCCCCGCCCTTTATAAAGTCACTTTACTGCCCATCATACGTCACTTTACTTCACTGTACTGCTGTCACCTTACATTGTGTGCACCATGTGCACTTGTATATTGTAAATAGTAACTGTAACTCTATTTTAAATTTAAATTTATTCTTTAGAAGTGTTTTTTATTCTTATTTTTATTATCTCTTTTTGACTGTTGCACTGAGCCAAAGCAATTTCCAAGTCTGTGACCTCCCGTTACTTACGTTGGCAATAAAAATGATTCTGATTCTGATTCTGATTTTAGAACACACATATGTATTTATCATGAAAGCTTAGCCAACTTGTAATCCACAAAAATGTAGCCTAATAAAATCCATCAAAATAGTTCTTGTTTGGTTCTATCACTAGTTCTCACATGCATGTGTTTGGCCTTCGTCACATCTTTAGATCTAAAGAGAAAAGTGACAAAGAGGACCACCCTCACTCAGCCAATCAGCTTGCTTGACTCACAGGGCTCTTTCTTTCACATTTGCAAAATACATATATAGATATTAATATAACATGTTACACTTTTACTTTTACCATACTATGCTGGTACAAATAACATTTCTTTCTCAAAAGAAAGTTAGGTACCTTTGGTTAAAATGTTCACATTTTTTTTTTCTCACAATATGTATTTTTCACTTCAAAATAAAATTGTCAGATTATGCTATATGTTGCTGACTTTTCAAGATAAATATATAATATATACAGTCCATGGGAAAAGTACACGTTCAAGGCCTTGTGGAGAGTTTGGGAATAGTTCACATGTGCACGCCTGTCAGACACAGGAATCCAACCAGGACGCATGCGCCCTCTGCCGACAGCTGGAGGTACTGCCAAGACTCATTCATATGGCAGAGTTCACGGAGAAAAGTTACACACGCGATTCCGTCAACAAGCTGTCAGGTCCTGGTGAAGTCTATTATCATCTGACGGATTAGCTTTATGATCATTTAGACATGACAAAGATTCTGCAAGCCTACAGCCTTGCAAAGTCACTGCAGAGAGGATGCGTGGTTGGCCGAAAAGTTGGAAACACGTTCACAACAACGTGGTGGAAACTATCATCTGTCCAGTTCTTCAGCACCAAGGTCAGAACAAGTAACTTTCTCTGTGCTAAAAACCATCATTCGTTGCGTAGCGTGTAATGATAGGTGTCATTGAGGAACGCATGGTTCAGAATATATCGACTTTACACTGAAGAATATCTGCGTAATTCATTTACCGCATGTATCTTTGCATGTGTCAGCATCTTTACACACCACACATGTAGCTATCACAGCACTGTCATGACACACGTGGTTTGTTGAATAAAAAATAAATAAAATAAAAATAAAATAATATTAATTTTGTTTTTTGTTGATCATAGTAAAACTTGAATTCTGTAAAGCGAGCTAATCTATTTTAATTATGTCGGCTCTACTAACATTAATTTAAACTTAATTATTACGTTTTATAACTTGATGTTAAACTTACGCTAACATAGCATGAAGCTAACCACCGTCATCTGAATATTGTGTTATTATTGCGTCAGGTTTGATCCTCCCAGAAATATTGCAACATCCAGCTCTCTGCTCTTCTGTTGATTCAGTCACTGACTAAAACAACCTCTCTGCCACACTTAGTTTTTTCATGTTTTTATCTTGATTTCTCAAACTGCTTCACTTACAACACAGCATGGGTCTGTTTGACGTCTGTGTGTGTCCTGCAGGCTCATACAGCCCATCTGGTTCTGGAGGATGGCACCAGAATGAAAGGGTTCTCCTTTGGTCACAGCAGCTCAGTGGCAGGAGAGCTGGTCTTCAACACTGGGCTGGTGGGGTGAGTGAAGTGCAGGATTACTTCTCAGATTCAGGTTCCGTTTATTTGCCATTTGCAGTAAAAAAACCCACATTGGAATACATTAGCAAAAGTCTCCAGTGTGCACAGACAAATAGACATAAAACAACATTAAAAGACAGAAATAAAACAGTAAACAAATGTCACTGTGAAATCGATCGACTAAAACAGTTTCAAAACAAGTGCAAATCATTAAAGTGCTCTGTTCACACTGATAACAGCCTGTGGATAAAAACTGTTAGTGTAACGAGATGTCCTGCATCTCAGAGAGCGATATCTTCTGCCAGAGGGAAGAAGCTGGAACATGGCTTTTCCAGGGGCATACTTCCCTCTAAAACTATTGTCTCATTGCACCAGGGCTTAATATTATTATTGTTATGATGACATTACATTTGTAGGGTCCAAACAGTGAAGCCGTGTAGTTGACGCTCTCATACCATAATCCATAGTGTATAAAGTGAGTGAATAAATCCATGGAACAGTAAGATGCAATTAAAAACTCTTTACTGAGTATTCACACACACAAAAAAACACATACTGAACAAAAAGGAAAAGGACATAAAAGACAAGAGAGAGTATTGCGAGAGAGAGAGGTCAAAAAACTGTGTGGCTCCACTCCACACTCCACGCTTTCCCCTGGCACACCTGCACCTTAGCTAGCCTGGGCCACGACTGAAAAAATAAATTAAGCATTAAATCAAAATGAATTTATGATTAACTTTAGCAATTGTGATTAACAAAATAGTTAACTAAATTGGATCAATTGCCAAATAATCATAATTCTAATCTAAATCATAAAAATAATGTATTTCAATCAAATAATAATAAAAACAAAATCTAAATGTATCAAAATATAATCAAAACAACTTAACTTCTATTTAGGCTCCAAAAACATTGCTTTGATAGTATGTATCGGTTTAGTTTCAGCAGCTGCACTGTAGTTTCTGAAGTGCCATGTTCTGCAAAACATATACTCTTTAAGTCATATTATTTTTTGTGTGTACAGTGATACGATTTAAATGTTGAGTATACAGCTATTCTTCCACTTATGATGACATTGTCTGCTTCTCACAAACTGCATTCCCTTGTTATTTTTCTGATTCAGTTACCCTGAGGCCCTGACTGACCCGAGCTACAGGGGTCAGATCCTCACACTAACTTACCCCATTGTGGGCAACTATGGCGTCCCCAACACACAAGAACTGGACGAACTGGGACTGAGAAAACACGTGGAGTCGGAACGCATTCAGGTACAATGCACGCAAAGCCCAAAGACTTTGTGACTTTAAAAGAGCAGGGCATGCAAGGTTCCCAGAAATAAGAACAGGAAACTCGTAGAATTAAATTTTTCTGCCGTGCAAACGTGTAAAATGGGAAGCTATTGGGCACTCTGCCTTGTATCCCATTTTTATCACTGGCTTTTTATGATTTTTTTGATAAAAAGCTTAACCAGATTTTTACTTTTATCATGAGTTATTTATCTGTAAATGCTTAACTTTTGGTCTTTCCCTTGCTTCACTCTTCACGGTATTATTATTATTATTTTTTTACCATACGGGGTGCCCAAACTTTCCCATACCTCTGTACCAAAAGCTGTTAATACAAGCTTTAATATTTGTCTTAATCTTTCTCAATGCATCCTTGTTGGTAGAATTGTCTATAACACTAACTTGGGGTAGTAGCTTGTGTGACTTTTGTTTGTTCACTCACTCAATGTGTTCTTCAATAACACCACACCTTTATTGTTAAACCCACTGATATTTGGACATTTTACACATGCAAATGTTCATTGAGTGATTCATCTGGCATAAGAGGTCGGAGTTTGCCTCACTTTAACTGAATTGTAGAAGATTTATAGACACGCTTCAGCATGTGTCTACTTGTTCTTTTGCGACATAACGAGCTGGTTAGAGCTTTCACCTCACAGCAAAAGTTCCTGGGTTTGACTTCCACAAGGTGCAAGACTGCCGGCGTGTAGTTGCATGTTTAGATGAGATAAGTCTGTTTAGTTATGTGTGTCCAGAAAGAGGCACAAGGAAAACAAATCAGATTTATTAACGGAGGCTCCCAGTACCTGCGTTGGTTTCCTCCGGGTGCTTCGGTTTCCCGTACCACTAAAAACATATACAATGGTTCTGCATGAGTGTACGGATGGCGGTGGCTTTTGGGTAAATCCTGAGAAATGTATTGCTTTTACTATTTTTGCATGCTTAAAAACTGAAATTCCAATTGCATTACATGTTTTGGCAAGTGTTGACAGTTCAGCATTAAATGTGTTAAATGTATCTGCTTGTCTAGGTGTCTGGCCTTTTGGTCCAAGATTATAGCCAGGAGTACAGTCACTGGAACTCAGTCAAATCATTGGGTCAGTGGCTGAATGAGGAAAAGGTTGGTATAGACACTTCTGCATACTTTTGACAAGACAGTGACTTGACTATACTTTTCCAATTAAAACTTTAATTGGAATAATAGTTATAAAACAAACTTATTTTGCATTTTTGGAGCTGAACATCATTTCAAGTTAGCTTCAGTTTGCGTCAGGGGCTCAGTTGGTAGAGCATTGGCCTTAGAGCCTGAAGGTCGTGGGTTCGAGCCCACCATGAGACCTACTTCATAACTCCCACTAATGTCAGCTGTTGATGTGTGCTTGGGCAAGACACTTAACCGCACTTTGCCTGAAGCCCCTGCTGAATAATCAAGGCCCCTGTGGACTCAGCACCTGCAGGAGGATCAGTGAGGGGCTGGTGCTCTGTGAACTGGGTGCAGCTCTGACTGCCACCCCCCGACCCAGAAATTGATTAAGGGGAAGAAAATGAATGGATGGAGTTTCAGTCTGCAACAACATGAGACGGGTGTGAGGAAAAAAATAAATATTGCACGCAATGTGTTGAAATTAACAATGAAACTGAAACAGGCTAAATTTGTTAAATTCATTGTCAAACTTATGGCAAAAGAAAAATTAATTTCTCTGTTTAAGTTGTCGATTATTAAAAAACTGCCTAAGCAGGGTCTCTCTGACGGGGGTTCTAGTCTGTATTTTCAACCCACTTATATATACCCCCCATATAGATTTATATAATAATAATATTACTATTTTTCAAATGGTCCTTGGTCCTCCCTGGTGTAAAAAGTGTGAAAACTTAAAACAAGATGCTGCTTCTGCTGATTACAGGTCTTATTGAAACAGTTACTTTTACGATCTAAATGTTTTGCGGAGGTTAATTTCTACACCGGTTACTGTGACACAAGGAGGGAGGCTAACAATCGTTATCGCAGTCCATCAGAATTATACTCATGGTATAGAGTATAAATTAGAGGGCCCGTGATTGCGTTTATGTTTTGTTGTGCGAACTATATTTTACTGCCCAGTCGGAGATCATTGACTCTTGTTTATATTTCTAATTTAAAATGTATTGTTTAGGTACCAGCACTGTTTGGAATAGACACTCGGATGTTGACAAAGATTATTAGAGACAAGGTAATTGCAACATCGATATTTTTGATTTATATATTAAATTTGAATTTGAAGATATGACTTGTCCATTTTAGGGCACAGTTTTGGGGAAGATTGAGTTTGACGGGCAGTCAGTAGAAATGAAGGACCCCAACCAGAGAAATCTTGTTGCTGAAGTGTCCACGAAGGTAAAATGCATGATGTATGTTTAGTTAAATTTTCAGTTTGTAAGATTTTCTACTAATGTCTGTTGTTGTGTGTTATTTCAACAGGAGACTAAGGTTTTTGGAAAAGGAAACCCAATCAAGGTTGTAGCTGTGGACTGTGGCATAAAACATAACATCATCCGTCTTCTGGTGAAGGTGAGACTCAAGAAGGATAAAAATATCTGTCGTTTTACTGTGTCTCATTAATTTACACACTTAGAAGTGGCATTTTTATGATGCTGGCCCAAATTATGTTTCCTTGCAAAAAGTCAGTTGCATGTTTTGAGAATGTTGACCTAGAAAAACTCTAATGAGCTCTCAAAACATGAAAACCTTAAATCAGGAAAAACTGTTTTTAGTATGATTATTAAGATATATTTATTCATGGCCATAACTGCATGTGAAAGCTCTATCTTGTCAGACCTCTGCAGCTAAGTGGGGTCTGGTTAGTGCTGTGATGGGAGACCTCTGGGCTCCGGCTGTAAAGTGCCAAACTGGCGTGTCCTTAGGCAAGACACTTCACCGACATTGCCTAGAATGAGTCTTGGGTTGGGAATTATCGGAGGGGCCAATGGTTGCCTGGCTTTAGTCAGTGTGCCTCAGGGCAACTGTGGCTACAGTAGTAATTGATCACCAGCGTGAATGGTAGGTGTGCAAACGATTCCAGAAAGGGTGCATCTGCAGGTTTTAGACTCCACATTCTTCAGACTAAAACTGGACTCAGCTGAGGAAACATGAGTGTCCAAAAAGTGCGAGAAACTGGTGCATTATTTATCTTGCTACATTTTTCATATATACAGTGCCTTGCGAAAGTATTCGGCCCCCTTGAACATTTTGCCGCATTTCAGGCTTCAAACATAAAGATATAAAAAAAATATTTTTTGTCATGAATCAACAACAAGTGGGAGACAATCGTAAAGTGGAACAAAATTTATTGGATAATTTAAACTTTTTTAACAAATAAAAAACTGAAAAGTTGGGCGGGCAATATTATTCGGCCCCTTTACTTTCAGTGCAGCAAACTCACTCCAGAAGTTCAGTGAGGATCTTTGAATGATCCAATGTTGTCCTAAATGACTGATGATGATAAATAGAATGCTCCTGTGTGTAACCAAGTCTCCGTATAAATGCACCTGCTCTTTGATAGTCTCAGGGTTCTGTTTAAAGCGCAGAGAGAACCATGAAGACAAAGGAACACACCAGGCAGGTCCGAGATACTGTTGTGGAGAAGTTTAAAGCCGGATTTGGATACAAAGAGATTTCCCAAGCTTTGAACATCTCAAGGAGCACTGTGCAAGCAATTATATTGAAATGGAAGGAGTATCAGACCACTGCAAATCTACCAAGACCCGGCCGTCCCTCCAAACTATCATCTCAAACAAGGAGAAAACTGATCAGAGATGCAGCCAAGAGGCCCATGATCACTCTGGATGAACTGCAGATAACTACAGCTGAGGCGGGAGAGTCTGTCCATAGGACAACAATCAGGCGTGCACTGCACAAATCTGGCCTTTATGGAAGAGTGGCAAGAAGAAAGCCATTTCTCAAAGATATATTTATAAAAAGTCTTGTTTAAAGTTTGCCACAAGCCACCTGGGAGACACACCAAACATGTGGACGAAGGTGCTCTGGTCAGATGAAACCAAAATCGAACTTTTTGGCCACAATGCAAAACGATATGTTTGGCGTAAAAGCAACACAGCTCATCACCCTGAACACACCATCCCCACCTCAGCTGTATGTTTTAGGTGAAGTAAATGTGTTTTTAAAGTACATTTAGTATTTTCTTTTGGATTTCTTACTTGTTTATGTTTTCAGCGTGGTGCAGAAGTCCATTTGGTCCCATGGAACCAGGACTTGATGAGTCTTGACTATGACTGTTTGTTTATCTCTAACGGACCAGGAAACCCAGCTCTGGCCCAAACCCTCATCCAGAATGTTCGCCGGGTAGGATTACTTACTACTTATAATATATATAGGGTTGTGTAAGCTCTCGTACAGGGATTAGTCAAAACAAAGCAAGGTTTCTAACCCATCACATTATGATGGGTGATTTTTAGATAACCATTTTAACGCACGTCACATTAATTCTTAGTCACTTCTAAATACATATACTTCATATTTTGTGTGAGCAGGTTCTGGAAAGCGATCGTCCGCAGCCTGTCTTTGGCATTTGCATGGGAAATCAAATCACTGCTCTCTCTGCTGGGGCTACATCATATAAACTTCCAATGGGAAACAGGTACTGGGCTTTTTAAAACCTTTTTGAAATGGATCCGTCTGTGGCTTTCACTTTTTTTTACTGTGTGGTGGAAAATAATAAAGGGGGAATGTGGTGTTTTATTCATGGTTGTGGTTTCCCAGAGGCCAGAACCAGCCAGTGCTGAATGTGATGACGGGCCAGGCCTTCATTACTGCACAGAACCACGGCTACGGCATCGACAGCGAGTCCCTGCCTGAGGGGTGGAGCCCGCTGTTCGTCAACGCCAACGATGGCACAAATGAGGTCAATATTAAAACCACGTTAAGTTATTTAGCATGATGACAGTAGATCAGGGTACAGTATCTCTCACGTGTGCGTAACATGTAAGGACCTGATTGTGCATTTAAATTGTAAACTTTATGTTTTCAGGGCATCATGCACCAAACCAAACCTGTCTTTACGGCGCAGTTTCATCCAGAGGCTAAAGGAGGGCCCACTGACACAGAGGTAATTTAAAAGTTTAAGATTTTCACAGGATGCCACTCTTGCAAAGGCCATATACATATATACAGTACATAGCATATTTACATTCTAATAGCATTCAAAACGTACTTGTATCTAAGATATAACCACATAATATAGTTTAGCCAAAACAATGAATCCAGAACAAGATTGATTATATTTCACAAGACTAAATAAATTGTCTATGCGCCTTTTTTTTGTTTTTACCTTTGGTACATTTCTATTTAAATAATAAAAAAAATAAAAATAATTAAATAATATCAAAACCCATATTCCGAAAAATTAACCAGTTCATTATACCTTGATAATTTGAAAAGCAAATGCACAAAAATAACCACAGATGCAAAGGATCAAGGTTGATAAGCAAACCTTCCACAAATAAGGTACAGATATATTGGTGTCCACGTTTACCTGCCTTTCTTTAGAAGGTGGAATCATTAATATCCTTCTGGGTAACACCTCTGAAAATGGGCTAAATCCAATCTGTTGTGTAAGACCTACCCTATAATGAATAATGAATTGTCCTAACGTTGAGAGAATCTGCATCAGCCACAGAAAACTCATTTTGGTAAACCTTTAGTTTAATATTTGTAAGATCACATTGAGTTTGAAAAGACATTGTGTGCTTGCTGAAAGATCTCAGCTCCTGTGGACTCACCACCTGCAGGAGGATCAGTGAGGGGCTGGTGCTCTGTGGACTGGGTGCAGCTCTGACGGCCACCACCCCGACCCAGAAATGGATTAAGGGGAAGAAAATGGATGGATGGATTGTGTGCTTGTTTCTTGTAAAATAGTTCACAAGAGGCTTTCTACATTTTGTACATTTGGTGTCATATACTCAGAAAATGTAAATAAAATCGATAGCCCGGTCTTAGTGGCTATGGGCACTTGTCATGTCTTGTCATGTCAGACGCCCCAGGTGCTTTGTGACTCCTTTAACTGTGTCTACAGATGTAGGAAGCTAGTTTTGGCTTTTAAATGGCACTTGGGGTCCACATGGGCCAAGTTCAGGTCAAGATACGTTCCAACCTCTATCAAAGTCATACAGGATGACAGGATACATGACAGGCTGTAGATCAGACATGTTTCTCACTGAGTTAATGCAGCAAACATGTCTTTGAAATGTCTTTTGTTTGCAGTTTCTCTTTGATACATTCATGTCTTTGGTCAAGAGAGGAAAATATGACACTATTGTGTCAGTAATGCCCAAGAAACCATCTCCTCCTCCCAGACCCAAGGTATTCTGCTACTACATTGTCTCTGTTTACAATTCTTAAAATGTTTATCAGGTCTATTGTATTTCTGATTGTTTTTTTCTTTTTGTGAACACAGGTTTCAAAGGTTTTGGTTCTTGGATCTGGAGGTCTGTCCATTGGTCAGGCTGGAGAGTTTGACTATTCCGGGTCTCAAGCAGTTAAGGCAATGAAGGTAACACTATTTTCCACTCCTTTTTGTGCTTAATCGTGATGTCGAGAACTTTTGGCACATACCTGTCCACCATACTCTTCTAATTTAGGTGCTAAATTGGCAAAAAAGCTCCTGAATCAGAGACACTTTCCATTAGGGCTGAGTTTTAAGTTTGTGAGAACTTATACACAGCATATTTTATACTGGTACATATATATACTGTATGTAATGTATGTATGTAGGTAATCCAATCTCATTCGGTTATTAGATTGAATTTTGCAAAGTAAAATTAAACTATTTCTTTCATACAGGAAGAGAACTTAAAGACGGTGTTAATGAACCCAAATATTGCCTCAGTTCAAACGAATGAGGTGGGAACGAAGCAGGCAGACACTGTGTACTTTCTGCCGGTCACCACACACTTTGTCACAGAGGTGATCAAAACCGAGCGACCCGATGGCATTTTACTTTCCATGGGAGGACAAACTGCACTCAACTGCGGTAATAACATTTTTATACTGGCAATTTTACTAAATGAAGAGTCTTTTTTTACAAGAAGGGATTTATAGGCAGGGATTTCAATATTATGTGGCTGAATAATGACCGATTATTCAGATCACAATAAATCTAAACTAAAACTAAAATGATCCATGGTGCACGGGAGAGAGCCATCAGTTTATGGGAGAATACACCGGGCAAACTTAAATAAGGATTTCTTATATTTAGGTTTTTTTTAATTGAAGAAAAATCCGAACCGTAAAACCGATGTACTTTTTATGCATTTTATTTAGATGTAAAAATTTTGAAGAACAAAATATGCACAATCTGACCAGTTGCTAGTTTTTTGAACCTAACAAAACCCTAGTTTCAGAATCAGAATAATTTTTATTGCCATGTCAGTAACCGTAAGTCACAGACGAGGAAATTGCTTTGGCTCTCAGTGCAATCAAGTCAGAAGTTGAGAAGAATAAGACATAAGTAAGTACATTTTATTATAGAGCGCCTTTCACAAACAAAAATCACAAAGTGCTGTACAAGGTAAAAGCAGATATATAAGAAGAAGTAGAAAATAACAACATAAAAAACAAGAAATTAACTAAAAGCTGCCCTAAAAAGAAGGGTCTTTAGTCCCTTTTTAAAAGCATCGGCAGAGGTGACCACACGGAGGGACAGAGGCAGGGCGTTCCACAGTCTGGGGGCCACGGACTGGAAGGACCGGTCCCCCCGGGTCTTATAGTGGGTCTTTGGGACTGCAAGTAAATTTTGGCCTGTGGACCTAAGAGTGCGGCCAGAACAGTGTGGGGTCAAGAGGTCTGAGATGTAAAAAGGAGCATGACCATTTAAGGCTCTGAAAGTTAAAACTAAAATTTTAAAATCAATACGTAATGTGATTGGGAGCCAATGAAGTGAGGACAGGACCGGGGTGATGTGAGACCACCGGGAGGCTCCTGGTAAAAGTCTGGCAGCGGAGTTTGGCACAACTTGAAGTCTGTTATGAGCTCTCTTTGAAACAAGTAAACAAAGAGTTGCAGTGGTCGAGACGTGTGGAAACAAAGTCATGAATGATCATCTCTAAGTCCTTTTGTGATAATATGTCAATAACAAGGCATAATAAAACATTTCCCTGTTGATTACTTTAATAAAAAACATTTTCTGAATGTTAAAGCTGTCTGCAGTGGAAGGCTCGATGCTGAAACACGATAATTGAGATGTCAGATCTGCTAATATACTCATGACGGGTTGATGATTGAGATTTCACTATAACAGTTGATCTTCATACTTAGGGGTCGAACTGTTCAAAAGTGGGGTTCTTGAAAAGTATGGGGTGAAAGTACTCGGGACGCCTGTGGAGTCCATCATGGCGACTGAAGACCGGCAGCTGTTTGCAGATAAACTCATGGAGATCAATGAAAAGATTGCTCCCAGTGTCGCTGTGGACTCTGTAAGTAATCATCAAGAAATCTTTCAACTCTTTCAACGACTTTTTGACGTTGTCTTGACTTTTTCAGGTTTCAGATGCATTGAAAGCTGCAGATAAAATTGGCTACCCTGTAATGCTGCGCGCGGCTTATGCGCTGGGCGGGCTGGGCTCTGGTCTGTGTGCCACCAAAGACAAACTGAAGGAAACGGCTCGCAAGGTCAGACCGAAATGAAATCTGAATTAGGTAAACATTCTGCTAATTCATTATCATATTGCGTATGTTTTAGGCCCTGGTCATGTCCAGTCAGATCCTGATAGAGAAGTCTCTACTGGGCTGGAAGGAGGTGGAGTATGAGGTCGTCCGAGATGTGGCCGACAACTGTGTGACTGTCTGCAACATGGAGAACTTTGACCCACTGGGAATCCACACAGGTGAAAGTCTAAAATCAATTAAATCACAATTAACTATCCCCTCTTTCAATGTGAATCTCCCCGAGGTTTCTCAGTTTTTCCTCTGATGCAGGAGTCTGTTGGACCAATACCATGTGGTCTCTCCCTATGGACCAATACCATGTGGTCTCTCCCTATGGACCAGTACCATGTGGTCTCTCCCTATGGTCCAATATCATGTGGTCTCTCCCTATGGACCGATACCATGTGGTCTCTCCCTGGTCCAATACCATGTGCTATCATGTGGTCTCTCACTATGGACCAATACCATGTGCTATCATGTGGTCTCTCACTATGGACCAATACCATGTGCTATCATGTGGTCTCTCACTATGGACCAATACCATGTGGTACCATGTGGTCTCTCCCTATGGACCAATACCATGTGGTCTCTCACTATGGACCAATAACATGTGGTCTCTCCCTATGGTCCAATACCATGTGGTCTCTCCCTATGGACCAATACCATGTGGTTTCTCCCTTTGGACCAGTACATATGTGTGTTTTCAGTGTCTTAACTGTTGATTCTCTGATCTGTGTGATTTGAACGGTTTTGTTAAGTCTCTGAGATGATGCTGATTTAGTGCGATACAAGAATAACGTAAAGTGAATTGAACAATATTCACTATTTCTAAGATTCTGCGATAACAAGCAAGTTCCCGCCCTCTTGATCTTCTCCATCTCTTCTGTAGGAGACTCAATAGTGGTGGCTCCGAGTCAGACGTTGTCCAATGAGGAGTACCATATGCTCCGTGAGACGGCCATCAAAGTAGTGCGTCATCTGGGAATCGTGGGCGAGTGCAACATTCAATACGCCCTACACCCGTCGTCCCTCGATTATTGCATTATTGAAGTTAATGCCCGCCTCTCCCGGAGCTCTGCACTGGCATCAAAAGCCACTGGGTGAGAAAAGGACGAATTATTTTGATTTACATGCAACAGTTATTGTAGGAGCTAAGGCGACATACTTTTATGTTGGTGTTGTATTATTCAGTTCAATCTGCACAAAAAAATACTTTATATTTATTCATGGCTCCTCTGCAAACAAACTCTCTTTTTAGTTTCAGTCTATATAAAGAACAAAACACTCAAATTAATTTTCTCTTCATAGGTATCCATTAGCATTTGTAGCAGCGAAGTTAGCCCTGGGCATTCCTCTGCCGGAGATCAAGAACGCAGTGTCCGAGAAAACCACGGCCTGCTTCGAGCCCAGTCTGGACTACATCGTGACCAAGATCCCCCGCTGGGATTTGGACCGCTTTCAGGGCATGTCTCGAGAAATTGGCAGTGCCATGAAGAGCGTTGGAGAGGTGGGGCACTCACACACAAAAATATATACAATTCCCCATTACAAGAAAGGGGAATTGTATAAAACAAAACAATACAGCGGATGCATATCCTTCAGCTGAATTGAAAACGTAGTAAAAGTCTCGACAGCACTTCTACAACATGGTTTGTTTATGCAGGTGATGGCGGTGGGCCGTACCTTTGAGGAGAGCATGCAGAAGGCCCTGAGGATGTGTCACCCCTCGGTGGAGGGCTTCATGCCCCGACTGCCGCTGAACAAAGCCTGGTGTGACTCTTACGACCTGGAGCAGGAGCTGGCTGTGCCCTCCAGCACTCGCATCTTCTCCATCGCTAAGGTACATCCATGGTGTATGTCAAATCCACACTAAAGTTGCAAACCACACAACATGAAGAGTGTAGGCGAGGCATAAATAATCACAGCACATTTAAACTGAGATACAGCCTTCAGTTAAATGCACAGCTGTGCATATATACAGCCTTTAGTTAAATATAATATAGTATAAAACATTTAAACACCAGTTTCAATGTACTGTGATTATTTACTCATGTTTTGTGAAACTGTTTTAACCCAATATAGTCCACAAAATGAATAAGAGATGCCTTTCAGGATAAATGTACCACATCTGCAATTAATCAAAATTTTTGTTTTTTATTGTAAACACAATTTGAAACAAGTTATTTTTTCTGGTTATTGCATAAGTTTAATTAAATTTCAATGCATGCATTTATTATTAAAATTAACATTTAAAATGAGCAGTCATAAATCTTGTTATGACTGACCCTTTATAAGCCCATGCTCGGTTTTATGAACTATTTAGTAAAACCCTCCCACACAGCACTGAAATTATTTCTCCTGTCAGACATGTAATGAAAAATAATAAAATGTATTTACTCTCTGTTGTCATGGGACGACCTTTGCCATATTACAAGTAAATGAGAAAGACCTTGGCGTTATTTGATTTTTAATAACCTGTCGGTATTGGCAAAGTAATATAAATGATGACCAGCATTGATTTCCCTTTGTTTTTAGAACAGATAGAATCAGAGGCAAGTGTGAACATGTTGTAGTGATGTGTGTTATAATATCCACACAGGCGCTGCACGGAGGCATGAGTGTGGATCACATCCACCAGCTGACAGCCATCGACAAATGGTTCCTCCATAAACTCAACCGGATCACACAACTGGAGCAGTGTCTCAGCCTCTACACAAGGTACTCGTGCGTAGTCATTTATGGGAATCACATCCTGATTGCTAATTTGATCTGCAGTCTGAGGAGAGCCTTTGATTTGTCTTTTTTTGTATTTATTGTGTTTTAAAGTGATCATAGTTTATTTATAACACCTGTTATATTCTACACAATCAAAACTAAACGTCTTTCACATAGTAGCATTTTTGCTCTTGGGTTCCCTTTCCGTCTATAGCCATGAGCAAAGCTGCCCAGAATTAGCCACAGGTGACTCACAGCTTCATTGTGACTGTTTAATAATGAATGTGTTTCAGCGGGAGCTTCAGGCCATGTGGGGTTAAGTGTCTTGCCCAAGGATACAACGACAGCAGTCATAAGTGGGAGCAGATGGAGTAGGTCCCGAGGTGGAAAAAATTGGTCAAATTTGCAGTAGGAGAGTAGGTTGCAAGCACTGGCATTAAAGACCTTATGACGGGTTTGATTTATTTAGAAATACAGTTTTAATACCATTTTATATTAGAAGAGAACTACTAAAGGTTTCAAAATCAGTTGTTTTTTTTGTCTGATCCCCCCAAATCAAAATAACCCCATAGCAACGCCCTTAGAAACGAAAAAACTTCACAGCCCTTGGTGACGTCAGAACGGGTACGTTTCAACGCTGTAAGTTGTTTACAATTTGGTATTTGTTCTTTTTTCGCAGATATCCAAGATGACAAGGCCGTGTACAGAGAGTCTGAGATAAATACTAGAATGTCACATTTCGTTGTCAGTGAGATTGTCCAGTGGTTTTGTCGATGGACTGCCAATCCAGATACTTGGGTTCAAATCCCACCTCGGACTCTTTTTCACACTCAAAACGGCAATTTATGTGTAGTGAGCAATTGTCACCTGTAGAGGGCAGTATTGTGTTGGGCATCAGTGGAGAGAAGAGAGAAAAGGCAGTCCTGTGGCATAGATCCATGGTTTTCAATGCATGGGCGTAACCCGCTATGACGTCACACACAGGTTAGAGCATAGACAGCTTAAATTCATGAAAAACACGTTCTTTTTATAAAATATAGGATTTTTTTTGCCGGAATCTCTTTCAAATTGACATTGTCATGCAATTTTGATATCCACTATTTTTTTTTTTAAAACCCGTCATAAGTTCTTTAACTCATTATCAATTCTCACTCAATTATACAAATCAAAATGTAATATATTTTTTTAACTCAGTCTTTTGATTTATTTATACAATGCTTTCTTTTTCTTTTTTTTTTTCTTTTACAGAAGCTGCAAGTTAGGGCTGAGCTCATATTTATTCCTATAAGAGCATTTTTGATACAGTGTTCTTCTTTTTAAATGAAATATAACCTGATGGTGCTGCACGACCAGCTATCTGCCAGTCCCTGACCTGGTCTGAAACTGTTTCAGCTCCTCGTAATTGCAGCGTTATGATCGGTGTTTTAGAATGCACACATCCATAAATGAGAGTGAGCGAAGTTGAGATTGCTATCTTTGTTCTCATTAACCATGAAAGGAGCTTGTTTCTTGTGATTATGTGATTCTTCATTGAAAATAATAGTGTGTAGGATGTCTCTGTTTTTTGTGTGAATTATGACTTTGTTTTGCCTTTTTTATCTTCTCTTTTCTCTTCCTGGCCTGCTTCGTGCTGTGAGAGTTAAAACACACTTGACATTCTCAATATTGTTACTCTCGGTGGTCATAAATTATTCAGATAAGGAGCAAGTGGAGTTTTAGCAGAAGTAAAATTCAGAGTTTGCTGGCAGTGCCTTTGTTAAAATGCTTTTCAAATCAGCAGCATATTGTTCTGTTTTACCGCTTACACTTTTTAACACCAGATTTTTGTTAAGTCTATCCATTCTGATATTTCTATTTTATGATTTCACAATTCTAGTTACTTTAAATCTGACATTAGCACTATCTGGAATACTGGTAATGGTTCCTGGACAAATGATAGAAAACATCAGAAAGAGAAAAACATAATTTAATAACTTTTGTTATGTTTTACAGCACCACAGTCCCCAGTGAGTTGCTGTTAAAAGCCAAGAAGGATGGCTTCTCTGACCGGCAGATTGGTCAAATATTCGGCTGCTCTGAGCGTGCAGCCCGAGAGCTCAGACTGTCCCTCGGCATCAAACCTTGGGTCAAACAAGTGAGCGCTACGTGCTGCCCCTGCCTTTGTCTGATTTTGTTGATTTGGAATTTGTTTTTTCTGGATTTTCTTCTAGATTGACACACTGGCAGCAGAGTATCCAACCTTGACAAACTATCTCTACTGCACTTACCATGGCCAGGTATTTGATGATTATGTTTTGGTTATCATTTATGATTCAAAGTAATAATAAAATCCATCTTATCTTATCTCTTCTCTGACACATTTCTGACCAGCTTCCTTTTTTTTTCACCCTTATTTAACCAAGAAAGTCCCATTGAGATTAAGAACTTCTTTTTCAAGGGAGTCCTGGACAAAAGTTACATACAGTTACATACATTACAGATTATAAAACAGTTGCATTACAGATTATAAAACAGTTGCATGCAATTTCATAAAATTACGGATTACAAAAACAGGTACATTTCAATGAGGATGTCTCTCCATCTGGATCAAAAAGCATTCAATGAAATACATTCAGATAATTTGCAGTCTTTTTACAACACGTTACATTTGGGCTGAAACTATTACTACTACTAATACTACATATTTAACTAATACTACATTTTTAACAAAAGAAGCTCATGGTGAATTATCATGATACAACCTGACAAATGGCAATATCAATGTGAATTTTACCAATTCATTTCATAATCTGTTTGAGAAACGTTGACGGAAACAATGTGGCCATCATGTACTTTATTTTAAGAAACATTTTGAAAGAGAAGGCCAAGCTGAAAAGTCTATATTATCATGTATTCATGTTTGCCTTTAGTCAGGGGGCACAGATAAAATATATGTTATTTAAAATCACACTTCTGCATTACATGTATTTGATGGATTGAGGGTATAATGCACTAATGTAACAATCTTTATCCTTTTCTTTTATAATCTTATTAGGAAAATGACCTGGACTTCAGAGATAAGGGGATAATGGTTCTTGGTTGTGGCCCATATCACATTGGTAAGCGAAAAACAAACCAACTAATAGCTAAACTAATAACCCATAATGATTTCACAACACAAAATAATGCTTTATTTTGTGCCCCAGGAAGTAGTGTTGAGTTTGACTGGTGTGCGGTGTCCAGTATCCGGGCTCTGAGGCAGATGGGGAAGCGCACAGTTGTGGTGAATCATAATCCTGAGACGGTCAGTACGGACTTCGACGAGTGCGACCGCCTTTACTTTGAGGAGCTGACACTGGAACGCGTCCTGGACATCACCCAACAAGAGGTGACCACACACACACATACGGCACTCAGTAATCAGCCTGTCGTCACATATACTTGGGTTTGAAAGTTTACACACAAAGGCAGAAATGTCTGTCAGTGGAACATGCTGCCCACAGAGCAGAGCACTAATACTTACATGTTCTCACACCAGAGAGAGAGTGTGTGAGAGGGAGCAAGAGAGACTTTTATTGGAAAGTATCTTCACAAAACCACTCAAAGTGCTGAACAAGACAAGATAGCATTAAAATAATCACAGTACATTAAAAAGAAAGATACAAATATAAAATCCCTCAGTTGTATGTCCAGTCCCTGTGCTCCTCAGAGTCCCAGCAGGAGGCCAGTCCCAGTGCTCCTCAGAGTCCCAGCAGGAGGCCAGTCCCTGTGCTCCTCAGAGTCCCAGCAGGAGACCAGTCCCAGTGCTCCTCAGAGTCCCAGCAGGAGGCCAGTCCCAGTGCTCCTCAGAGTCCCAGCAGGAGGCCAGTCCCTGTGCTCCTCAGAGTCCCAGCAGGAGTCCAGTCCCTGTGCTCCTCAGAGTCCCAGCAGGAGGCCAGTCCCAGTGCTCCTCAGAGTCCCAGCAGGAGGCCAGTCCCTGTGCTCCTCAGAGTCCCAGCAGGAGTCCAGTCCCTGTGCTCCTCAGAGTCCCAGCAGGAGTCCAGTCCCTGTGCTCCTCAGAGTCCCAGCAGGAGGCCAGTCCCTGTGCTCCTCAGAGTCCGGGCTGGTTCATATGGGACTAACATGTCACTAATATATTTTGGTGCGAGGCCATGGAGAGACTTGTAACAAGCAGATCTATTTTAAAGTCTATTCTCTGAGCCACAGGAAGCCAGTGCAGAGACCTGAGAACTGGACTAATGTGGTCGTACTCCCTGGTTCTAGTCAGGACTAATATGGTCGTACTTCCTGGTTCTAGTCAGGACTAATATGGTCGTACTTCCTGGTTCTAGTCAGGACTGGAGCTGCTGCATTTTGAATGTACTGCAGCTGTTTTACAGCCTGTTTGGACAGACCTGTGAGCAGGCCATTGCAGTAGTCTAACCTACTGGAGACAAATGCATGGATAAGAATCTCCAGGTCTGCTTTAGACACTATGTTTTTGATCCTGGCAATGTTTTTTTAGGCGGTAAAAAGCTACTGATGTGATCAATGAAATATGGCCAAAACAATAAAATTGCTGAGGATATAAACTTTCAAGTGTTTGTTTTTATTCAGTCTAGAGTAAGTGTGTCCTAAACTCCAGAATAGGTTTTTTTGTACCTTGTGGAGTGACGTAGGCCATTAAAGCTGCTAAGTTAAGCTACTACAGCAAATGGGAATATCTAAATGTGTCTAATTGAGTCATTTATTATGCAGACAGAGCTAGATTAAGAGCTTCGTTTTAGTCTTAGTTGTGGAATTGGCTCGAACATTTACTGCGTGAAACAGAAATGGGTTTTAATACCGTGCAGACTAATGTTTGTACAACTGTCTTTCCTCATAGTAGGTTACCGTTCCAGTTGAACCAGATTTGGTGTAGAGTTTGCATGTTCTCCTTGGGTGCCTTCCAATCGATACTCGCCTAATATGGTCATTACTAGCCTTCTGAGCCATGGAGCTACGTTGTTGTCTGCTGTTGTTGTCTAGCATTAACCATTGATATGTTTTTCATTGTGACTTTCCTTTTTCCTATTACCCATAACCCTGTGTGATGTGTAAGTGTTATTCAGGTAAATTGCGTTAGCATCAATCCCCTCTTGTTGCTCCAGTCACCTCCATAGTTGTGTGTCTGCGTCTAGAGCTTGTGCGTTTGAGATAAATGCAGCATTAGTAGCTGGAGATAGACCCTGGACAGGAGCAGGAGCGCGGCCCATGAATAATGAACAGAAACAACCTGCCGTTACTATGGAAACGGCATCCCCCTGGATCAGGCCGACAGCGAGAGGAGCTGCATCTAGTTATTAAAAGAAAGCATTCAGACCTCCCCATGCTCCGACTGTCGAAATTAAAATAAAACTGCTCTGTTCTGTTTCAGGTTAACTTGTGCTGGTACAACAGGTCTAACCATTGATGCACGGACAAAACATTGTCACATAATTGTTTGATATGTTGGAGTTTCACTGCATCACTGAGCTTGGGATTTTAAAACCAGAAATCACATTAAGTTATTAGCATTAAGAAGCAATAATAGTAATGGTCCGAGTGAGATTAGAGAAGTGACAAGTGTTTGTGAAAACAAATGAAATAACTCAAATGTGGATTTCTGCTGTTCTTTCCTGCTCTTCCCTGCAGGGCTGCTCTGGCTGCATCGTGTCAGTGGGAGGTCAGATCCCCAATAACTTGGCCGTCCCTTTGCACCTGAACGGGGTGAAGATCCTGGGGACCTCCCCCTTACAGATCGACCGGGCGGAGGAGCGCTCTGTCTTCTCCAGTATTTTGGACGACCTTGGAGTGGCCCAGGCCCCGTGGAGAGCTCTGAGTTCGTTGGTAAGAATAATGTGCACCTGCATTAGAGCCACCAGTTTTCATTGATATGTTTTGTTCCAGAAATGTGTTAATTGTTTCCATTTTGCCTTATTATGCAAATTTAATACAATGTTTTCTCTGCAAGAGCTGATTAATATGTAACAGATCTGATTCAAACAAACCTACCTTACAACAACATATATAAAGATTTTATTTGTTATTTACTGAAAGTTTTACACCAGTTACAGACAACTGTGAATTGAAAGAAACCATGGTCATGATCCATGGTTATTATTTTACAATTATACAAATTATATAATTATACAAAAGAGTGCATTAAATTGTTTTTGAAGCATTCGTAATGACTGCCAACTTCTGAAATTTTAAATAAACGGCATCATGAAGACCAAGGTATAGCAGAGATATCAGGGATGAAGTTGTCGATAAGTTTTATATATTTTTTAAAACTAACATGGATAACCTATGATTCATTTTTCTTTCACGTCCGAGATAAAGTAGTTTTCTTCCTTTTCTGTCTTCGATAAATAATGATTTTTTGATCTGTATCTACATGGAGAGGCTCGAGGCCCTGTGTCCTTTACACAAATACAACACACACAAACAAAAGAAGGATTTTAGACCGTTAGAAACAACATTCTTTGCCAGTTTTTATATTCAGTGTCCAATTTTGTGAAGTAGAACGTGCTCAAATGTTCTAAAACCTCCTTCCCACGTTTTGTTTTCCAGTTGAAAACTTAATTTAACTTAATACAACAGTTCCCTCTTCTATCAGACAGCGAAGTCCAAACCGGTTTTGTTGGTTGCAGCTGCAGCGGGATGCCCGAGTTAGAAGGCTGCGGATTGTTTTTCTGAAAAGTGGATTGAGAAACGTCTTGTTCAAGTAAAGTTTTTCTAATGTTGCTTCTGTGCCTCCTTTTAGACCAGCGCAGAAATGTCGGTGGTCTACAACACTAGCTTTCTGTACCGGGCTGAGACCAAGCTTTCTCTGGAGACATCATTGAACTATTTTTGATCATTTTAAATTAGACAAGGTTTGTTTAGTATTTTGCAAGAACAGCATTTCCGCTTTGTCTTCTGAAAAGGAATTTGCACCTGCACCGAGTCCCTAAAGCACTCAGAAAAGTTGGCAAAGTTTCAGTTTTATGCCAGGCTCACACAAAGTAATCCACAGCACAATAAATCATGCAAATTGTGTGTCATAATAAGCGTTTGGAGATTGAACCATATTTTTTCATATAAATTGATTGCATGGTTATTGTAGCATGTACTGAGCACTGTACACAATTGTCATAGAGTTGGATATTAAATCTGAAAATTAAAACTCTGTGTTTTTTTTTCCAGGAGGACGCCTTTACTTTTGCCAACCAGGTGGGATACCCGTGTCTGCTTCGTCCCTCCTACGTCCTCAGGTGAATCTTCTTTGGTCTTCTGTTTTCACTACAACTGAACACAAATGTGGGCGATGGGATTTTAATCAAGCAGAAGTACCTAGCTTTCTAACGACAAAAAATAAACATTGTAATACTGTCTAACTAATTTTAATTCTCAACGATTTAGTTGGGACAAACAGCATGTAAGATTTATGAAACAGGATTTAGGTACCCCAGCTGTAAGTGGTATAAATATTTTGAAATGTTCAAATCCAGGTTAAAGACTTTTCTTTTTGCCTGTGCATACAACTGAAGAATTTTATCTTTTATTAACGCACCGTGTTATTTATTATTGTAATCCTCTGTGATTTGAATGGTTTTTAATTACCTGTGTGATTTTAATTGTATTTTTAATGGTGATTTTTGCCTTTGTTTATGTGGTGATTTGTGCTTTGTGCGGTGTGGACCGTGAGGCGCTTTGTGTTGCCCTGTGTAGGAAAAGCACTCTATAAATACAGATTGATTGATACACAAATAACAAAGGTGGTTTCCCTGTGTGCATGCAGTACCACATCTCTCCTGTAGATGTCATGATAGCTTCCTGTCTCTGCCCCAGCACCTTCTGAAAATATGAAAATATATGTAATGCAGTCTGGACTTTATGGTTTTTGGGGGAATGGGGGGGTGTTATGAAATTGGCTCTCTTCCTCTGATCTCCTCTCCTCCCAAAGTGTTTCTGCTCTCTCTCCGACACTCAGGGTAATGCTTTTTGAATGTTGCTCTCATCTCCGGCTCATATGCACAAACACGTCCATTTACACACCAAACCCTGTCAGATTCATGCTTCCTATTTTTTACACCACTGACTTTACCTCTGCGAAAACTCACTCTGCTAAAAGCGCTTCCCATTTCACAGATTTTATGGACTGAAATTAAGTCACGATGTGGTTTTTATTTTAAGTTTATGCAACATTTAACACCAACCTGACTGCTTGTGAATATATTATTTGATGTCTTTACTTTTAAAAATGTTTATTAAAGCCTGAATACCTATCTTTGATACCACTAAATCGAACCATATAATTAAATGTACCTAGATCTTCATGGCTCTCATTCGGTTTGGTTCTATCACTTGTCCTCACATGCATGTGTTATTTGGCCTCTGGTTTCATCGTTAGGTTAATGAATACTTATTTTGATAATCTGGGAGTTGCTATATCATCCCATGCTTCTATGTGCTGCTTTAATTCCTCCTCTGGTCCAATCCCACTCTTACGGACTGGACCTTGTTTGTCACCACTGTCTCCACAGCTCTCCCTTGAGCTTGCAGCCGTCCTGTGTCCTGTTTCCTCCGGTTCCTGACCTTGAGACAGGAGCAGAATAATCTTTCTCTTTGGCATTTCCAAAACAACAGAACAACACATTTAGGCGAGTTTTGTTGTGGTTGATAATCACCAACTTCTGAACTCGTTTTCAACAGCCCGCAGTGGTTTTTGACCTAAATAGCAGCCCCTTTTTTTCCCCCTTTTCCTCTCTCTTCTCATCTTTAGTGATGCAACGTGAAGATAATGAGTGTTGTGAACGATCATTTGAAGCTTGTATGTTCTTGTTTGCTTGCCTCTGTTCCTCTCCTGTGGCCTTTTGTTTCATCCTGCTCCTTTCTCCATTTTCTAACTATCTCCAGCGGATCTGCCATGAACGTAGCGTACGGAGAAGAGGAGATGAAACGCTTTCTGGAAGAGGCCACTCAAGTGTCGCAGGTGAATATCCAACAACGACAAATACAACCAAAATCTGAAAATATAGCTAAGATACTTATTTTACAAAATTAACAATTTAGAGATAAAACAGTTGTGCTTCACTGGGTAACTGTGTTTTTGTAAGAATTTATCATCAGCAAGATTCTAACAACATCAAAAACACTATTCTGAGATATGTGTGATTAGTAGTAGTAGTAATTAGTAATCTTTATTTATATACCGCCTTTTCACTGCACATCGGAGTCTCAAAGCGGTTTACAATTGTTATTTTTGGGAGTGGGGGTCGCCAGTACAGGAGGCACATGCCAGACCTATTGTACATATTTTTAGTGGTAGGGGAAACCGGAGCACCCGGAGGAAACCTGCGCAGACACGGGGAGAACATGCAAACTCCACTCAGAAAGGCCCTGGTCCAACCGGGATTCGAACCCAGGACCTTCTTGCTGAGAGGCAAGAGTGCTATCCACTCAGCCACCGTGCCGCCCACGGTGATACAATGATTCAATATAGGAACTTAGAATATAAAATGCAGCTAAGAAGGAAAAAGGCACCTAAACATTTCTGATTTAAATGATTTTTAAAAATGTTATTAAGCGACTGAACTGTCCTCACGCTGCTGCTAATCTGCGTGCGTTCTGTATAATCTGTGAAAGGTGCTTAGGAAAAATGTGCGCGCATTTCTCCAAAAGTAGAAAAAGTCCTGCACACAACAATCTGACTTCGAAACCTGTGATTTTATTTACAGCAGTGTCAACATTCTGTCAGCAAGGTATTGGGGATAATTGGGGATTTAGGATATATGTTTGTACTGTATTAATCCGTGTCAAATTTAGATCAGATTTCAATCTTGTGGTCTAAACGACGAATTGATTTAATGGAAAGAATAATCAATCAAAAACAATTGTGAGTGTCCTGGGTGCCCATTGGAGTCAGTTCAGCAATTATATATATTTATTATACAGCTCCTCACAGCAGCAGGAGAACGCTCCATTGATTTGAATGTAATTTCAAAACGTTCTACCGGTCATTATTTTCTATACGGACCTCTCAAAACAATAATGACCGCTGCCCTTTGGCAACGCACTCTCTGCTTGTCTTTCAGATGCGTGGATAACTCCGCAAGTAGTTCCGGCCACTCCGGAGCTAGCCACGCTCAATCAACACAAATACCAATCAATCAAAGCACTTAAATGTTAATCAGAGAATACTTTATACTTATACATTCTTCACACTTCACGCACGGAGGATTTCAGAATGGACTGGTCTTGTCTTCATGACAAAAATACTATTTATCTGCGTCAAAAAGCGATCATGAAAAACCGCTGCGCGTCGGGGTCGGTTCTTATTTTCCGATAATGACCTGCGTAATATAAGTTATCTCTTACTTATGTAAATGTAAATATTTTTTAAGCCATGTTTTTCAGATTTTGTTGAGTGAATACAGCACTTTCTGTCTGCTTGTTTTTTTTGTCTCAGGTTTTTCTGATATTTTCTGGGTGTGTGACCTTTTTAACAATCCCCCTGAGTATAATGTTACCCATGATATTAAAAAGGAGAAATGTCAAAGTTTCTTAACTTCGTATTATGTAATCTCAAATATACTGTAAAATGTGTCTTCAGAGTGAGCCAGTTCTGAGAAGTTCTTCATTCTTTTCCAGGAGCATCCTGTGGTTATCACAAAGTTTGTCCAAGAAGCCAGAGAGGTGGAGATGGATGCTGTCGCCAGAAATGGAAAGGTACAGTCACTGAAACTGAAACACAGTGTTATTAACATTCACAAGAATCACATCAAAGATGTTAAAGTAACAAGAAAAATGGAAGGACTCGAACTAAACAGTTGGACTGCTGTGACGGACAGAACGGAGTCAGATCGTGGACAAACACTGTTGACAGTTTTACAATCACATTACTGTCAAATCATTCCAAAAATATGTTTCAACCTATGATACATTTACAAATAAGTATATTGGTAGAATACAGGATGGTTTTATATTAATACTGAGGATTCCAATGGGCTTTAAGTGGTAAATGAGTGAACTTGGTGCAGAGATGTTTCCATTCTTCTCCTCGAAGTCATTTGAAGGGTGTCTGAATCTTTGTCGCCGCGTCCTCTGAATTAGTGTCTCCTCTATCTTCAGCATCACATTAACACAACGTGCATTTATTGAATACTAAACAGGCTTCTTTCTTTTGGTCTGGTCCCACTATATGTATGAGAGAAAGTCAGAGATAACATGTATTAATTACAGACGCTATCAGAACAGTGCTAATGAATGCTGTGGTTAGCAGCACTTAGCTAATGACACAGCCGCTCATTTACAGAGACAGACACTTTGGTGCTGATACAAATCTTCTCTCTTGGGACAAAGTGGCTGAAGATGAATTTAGCATGAGCACAAAGCAATATAAGATCCGTGTAATCTTTGTAAACAGAAAAAATATTCCAATGACTTGAGAGACCCGTAAATGTCAAACTGAATTATAGTGTTACAGTTAAAGGCGCTATACCCGTTTCTGCAATGTTTGAATGTTTAGCACCGCCCCCAACTCGCTCAATGGCTTCTCTTTTCCCCTACGCTCTCATAACACGGAGCCACCTAGTTTTATTTGCGATCTGACGTGTATGCTAACATTAGCATTAGCACAACTTCTTTTAAGCTGTACAACAATCACTGATGAAATGGTACTAAAGCAACGCACTGCTAACACAATATATAAGTTAAAAAATACCGCTAGTTTTGCATCCGAATGTATTCATTTAAACATTAGAATATATTCTAATATTTAATTATAATTTATTATACAGCTCCTCACAGCAGCAGAACACTCCAGTGACTTGAATGTAATTCTTCCGATCATTTTTTCTTGATAACAGAACTCTCAAACCAATAATGACCGCTGCCCTTTGACAATGCAATCTCTGTTTCTAATTCAGGTGTGTAAAATACTGCCATTACTCCGCAAGTACAAGCTATCAGCGCCTGTCACGACAGTTTTTCTACACACTTGTCTGTGTAGAAGCTAGCCGAGCTAGCCACGCTCAATAAACAACTACATATCAATCAATCAGCACCATTAAACGTTAATCGGACAATACAGTATACATATACATCCTTAACACACATGCACGGACGATTTCAGAATTTGCTGTCAACGTTTTCATGACAAAAATACTGTTTTAAAGTGACAAAAAGCGATCGCGAAAAACCCGGAAGTTACCATGAAACAGCTAGCTAGCTTAGCTGTTACCTGCCTAGCACGTCCCGGTGAAACCTTTGGGAGCTAACTATTTTATTTGCAGTCATTAAATACATTTCAAATTATAAGGGCTGTCTAATATTTGTTCGAATATATATTTTTTTTAATTTTAGAATTATATTCGAATTTCGAAGCCGAAGCCCTAGTGTTAAGCAGCGCTGTAGAGGCTAGAGGACACGGGCTGTTCGCTTCTTGTTCTGTGATTGGAGGAGAACGTCCCGCTCAGACTCTACTCAGCACTTTTCACTGCTTGTAATTCTTACACAGCTGAATCAATGACCTCAAGTTTTCAATTAAATTATGTATTATGATACAACTTGTATGTAGTAATAAGCATTTTTATCAACTAATTAGAAAAAAAATCGGGTATAGCTTCTTTAAGGCTGGGATCAGTGATTTTAAAATCATGAATCAAAAAGTATAATTAATATTAATTTGACTATTTTGCAGTCCATTTTGATAAAAGACTTTTACAGTTTTTCACTTTACCAGAGTGCCTCAGACTTCCTTAGTTTGCCCTGTCTTTGAAGAGCACCTGTTGTAATCCTTCTTCGTACCCTCTGCAGCACTCACCTTCCTTGCTTTAATATTCATTTTAATTGGATAACCACCATCTTGATACGCAAAACATATTTTTCTTGTATTTGAAATCCTTATTGAATGTCGCTGCCTTCTGTTGTAAAAGTGAAGGAGGAAAATGCAGATGTGTGTAAACCGAGAACCATAACATTACACTTCTTATTGACTGGTCTATTAGTATAATATAATAATAATAATAAATTTTATTTATAATGCACTTTATATTTGACATCAAATCTCAAAGTGCTACAAACAGCAGCATAAATAAAAGCAAACACATAAAATCAGATAAAAGACTATAAAAAAATTAGCAGTACTTTAGTAAAAAGATGGGTTTTGAGTCCCTTTTTAAAAGCTTCCACCTGCATATAGTCTATAATAAAAGCTTCATTTGTTCCCATGTCTTTAGGTGCTGGTTCACGCCATTACGGAGCATGTAGAAGACGCTGGAGTGCACTCTGGAGACGCCACTCTGATGCTCCCGACCCAGAGTATTAGCCAGGGAGCACTTGAAAAGGTCAGTAATTGCGCCATCATAGTTTTCAATGAACAATAAACCATTCACTGTCACGTAAATTTCTACACTGTCTTTTTATTTCTCATTACTCTCAGGTTAAAATTGCCACCCGGAAAATTGCCCAAGCCTTTGAGATTTCAGGGCCTTTTAACACTCAGTTTCTGGTCAAAGGCAATGATGTCATGGTGAGTATTATTTCTGTGTGAATAAATGTAATGGATGTGAGGTATTCAACAAAGGCAAACGAATGATATTTTACTTTTATATACTCTGCAGCTTGGAGGGGGTTTTATAAACAAATCTAAAATAAAAAAGCCAATGTATTTTGAACATTTTAATCCCAGCTCTCTCACATAAAACAATCACTCACTCAAATAAGCTGTGGATTCATCATAACAAAGACATTTTGAATTATTAAGGATTATTAAGTCTTCATTTGTCTGAAGTCTAAAAAATACATTCTCATTCATTGTTTTTTAATTAGTTTGAGCAGAAAAGTATCAGTTTGTGTGGGAAGAAAAACCCATCCTTTTTTATGGATACGGTTAGAATAATAACGGCAAAGCAAGTGTATTAAAACAAATATTAAAAATGGTGAGAGAAAAATGTGTAATTAAAAAGTCAAGCCAGTAAGATTGTTCATCAGATAACAGTTGATTTGTTTTGTAGGTGATTGAGTGTAACCTTCGGGCATCTCGCTCCTTCCCCTTTGTGTCAAAAACTATCGAAGTGGATTTCATAAACGTGGCGACCAAAGTGATGGTGGGAGAAGCGGTGGACGAGGCCAGTCTCCCGTCTCTGGACCGACCGTTCATTCCTGTCGACTACGTTGGCATCAAGGTAAATTCAGTTGATTTCTGGAACAGTCTTCCTGAAGATGTGAGACAGGCCTCCTCTCTGACAATGTTTAAAACCAGGTTAAAGACAGTCCTGTTTAGCTGTGCATACAACTGAGGGATTTTATATTTTTATCTTTCTTTCTAATGTACTGTGATTATTTATAATTTTAATGCTTTCTTGTTTTGTTCAGCACTTTGAATTGCCTTGTGTTTGAATTGTGCTATATAAATAAACTTGCCTAGCCTTGCCTTGCCTTGCCTTCTCCAAAAAGGTGGGCTATAATCTTAGTCCTACTTGAGTCTGACATGTGTGAATGGTCGGAGGGGTCAATGGCACAGACTGGTTGCCTCGCTTCTGTCAGTGTGCCCCAGGGCAGCTGTGGCTACAGTAGTTTATCACCACCGTGTTTGGAGTGAATGAATAATGACACATGTGAAGCGTCTTTGAGTGTCCAAAAAAGCGCTGTATAAAACCATTCATTCATTCATTCATAACCCCTTTATTAGTCCATTTCTGGGTCGGGGGGTGACAAGGAGAGCTGCACCCAATGCTCATAGCACCAGTCCCTCTGATCCTCTGCAGGGGGTGGGTCCACACTAGGGGTGTGATCGATTTTTCGATATATCGCGATACTTTCTCCCGCGATTCGATTATCGATATGCATTTGCCAAGTATCGATATTGATTTTGAAAAAAAAAAAAAAAAGATTTCTTTTTTTTTTTTACTTAAAAAAAAAACATTGGTATCAATACTTATTAAATGGCTACATTACGCATCTCCATTCTATTTATCATGAAATAAAGAGTATTTTTTCTTTTATTTATGCCATAAATTGGCATATTGTATATTTCTGACCAATATATCAATAATCGTCATATTGTGATAAAATCGTTATCGTGATATTATTGTTATCGCGAGCTTTGTATCGTGTATCGTATTGTATCGTGAGGTACCCTTAGGTTCCCACCCCTAGTCCACACTACATCAGTGGTGCCACAGACCTGGTGTTTCAGTGCGAGCTTCAGGCAATGTGGGGTTAAGTGTCTTGCCCAATGGCAAGACACTTGATGAGGGTTGTGATGGGACGCAAGATGGCGGCAGGCAGCTTGGGGGTGTTAGTTGCTCTGCTATTTTACTCACTCATTCTGAAGTTTAAACTGTCGGTAAACAACTCTAAACATCATGAATGTATTGACAAAAGCCTAAACAACTACTTCAACAGCGAGGCGCACTTGCACAATCAACAGAGCAAGATCAATGGTGTCATCGGCTATGGTGAACACACGCTAGCCATCGGTTTGACAGTTTCCTATCGATACTATCAAAGAAGGAAACGCAAAGAAACACTGTGTAAAACACGGACAAACAACAATGCCATGATCATATGCCTCTGCCTACTTATGTCGGGCGACATTCACCAATGCCCTGGTCCAGTCGGCATGTCAACAGATGATGTCGTATATCCACCCAAGCTGCCTACCTGTGGTTCGTCTCTGGCGGCCCCCGCGGACACCGGGGGCGGCGCGGCGGTGGTCTCGGTGTCGGTGGAGCGGCGGTGGTCCTTGCGGAGTGGTTCCTGCGTGGGGTGTCTGCGTGGCTCGGTGGCGGAGGGGCCCTCCGTGTGCACGGAGAGTCTGTTCGTCGCCACCGGTGGGGTCTGCTCCGATGCCGTGGCCGAGCTGGGTGCTGGGGATCGGCGGTGCGCGATTCCTGCGGGTCCGGATGGTTTTCGGGGTTTTCTGGGGAGCGGCGTTGCTGGCGTGTCTGCTCCCGTGGACTCGGACGGCATGGCGGTGGATTTGCTCTTCTCTTCCCAGCTCGACGAGGGTGCTGTGGTGAGCACTGACACACGCAACGCTAACGCCATCAAACGCGTGGTGAATAAAGCGATACGGCTGAACAGGAAGTGGAAAATAGTGCACACTGTAAACAATGCACGGATAATCTGGGATCCGAAGGCCAAACCAAAAGGTTTACTAGGTGGACATCTAAATATTCGCAGTTTAAAATCAAAAAGCAATCAAATAGACCACATGATATCAGAATCGAACCTGGATTATTTTTGCTTATCCGAAACTTGGTTAAATAAAAACTCTCCTACTGTGGCGGTTTCAGTTCCGGGCTATATTACCTACCGAAAAGACAGAGCTGACACCAAGGGGGGCGGAGTGATGATGTATGTGAGAGACAATATACAATGCAATGAGATTCAATGGCAAAACTCAAATGACTTAGAATGCCTAGGGTTAAACATGGCCCTCTCTCCTCAGATGTCCCTGACAATAATTGTTGTATACCGACCACCATCTGCTAGTGCTAATTTTTATGATAAGTTCAAGGACATTTTAAAGCAGTGTGATTTTAAAAAGGAGGTTATTGTGATGGGGGATTTTAACCTGAACTGGATGGACCATAAAACAAGAAAACAAATGTTGCAAATTATGAATGGCTTCAACTTAGTCCAGATGGTGAAGGGACCAACAAGGATCACAAACAACTCTAGCACTCAAATTGATTTGATCTTTTCCAATCATCCAGAACGGATTGTTAAAACATATAACATGCTAACTGGACTATCAGATCATAATATGGTGCTAATATCAAGAAAACTAACTAGACAACGTTTCTCGGCATATCCTGGAAAAAAAGAATTTATAGGTATCCCTAAGAATAAACAAGAAGAGTTCAACTCTGCAATAAGCAACATAAACTGGGGCACTTTGCTATCAAATAATAAACTTGAAATCTCCTGTCAGAAATTTACAGAGTGCTTACGGTCAAAAATAAATGAGTTCACATTTAAGGTTAAATATAAAAGTAAAAAGTCTTCCTTTCCGTGGGTCAATGATATTATACAACAATTAATGAAAGCAAGAGACAATGCTCTTAAAGTTGCTAACAAGTCAAAACTAATTTGTGACCGACAAAAATTCACTACGCTCCGGAATAAGGTGACCAGACAATTGAGGAAAGCAAAGGCAGACTTTTTCATAACTATTATTAATAATTGTCAGGGTAACTCTAAAGCCATCTGGTCACAGATCAATAAACTAACTTGTAAAGCAACCTCTTCTCATAAAACGATACAGCTAAATAATAATGGTAAATTATTACAGAATCCATTGGACGTGGCTCAGCTTCTTAATAATTACTTTGTTGATTCGGTGATGACTATAGCTAAAGGTTTTTCTTTACAAATCCAAAATGTACCCCCCTGTTGTACAGTTGTACCTAATGATACAACTGCTTTAGAGCCTCCGCTATACCCAAGCTCTGTATCTACATCTGATGTGGCAAAAGCAATAACGCTCCTAAAGACATCTAGAGCTAAGGATGCATATGGTCTGGACACGTATATGCTAAAACAAATAAGTCAATCAGTTATCAATCCATTAACACACATCATCAATATGTCAATCAGTGAAGGGATATTCCCGGAATCATGGAAACTTGCACGTGTAATTCCAATACTTAAAAGTGGTAATGCTCAACTGACCTCTAATTACAGGCCAATTAGTATTCTACCTACTGTGTCCAAAGTATATGAAAAGCTGGTTGTCGAGCAAATAGTTGATCATCTTAATAATAGTTCCTCCTCATTGCATCCAATGCAATTTGGATTCAGGTCCAATCATTCAACTGAAACAGCAACTTGTTATTTTCTGGAAAAAGTCAAGTCATCATTAGACAAAGGGGGAATAGTGGGGGCAGTTTTTCTCGATCTGCGGAAAGCATTTGACACAGTCAACCATTCAATTTTATTAGAGAAACTTCAGAATTTTAACTTTTCCACAAAATATATCAATCTTATTAAATCATACCTTTCAGCTCGCACACAATTCGTACAAATCAACAATCATAATTCCCATCCATTACAATTATCCACTGGAGTGCCTCAAGGCTCAATAATTGGCCCTATTCTTTTTAGCATATACATTAATGATTTACCATCAGTATCCAGGACCTGTAACACCCTTATGTATGCAGATGATACGGTCATTTTTGCACATGGCAAAACAACAGAGGAGGTTGCTTCAAAGCTAACAGAGGCCATGGCGTCGGTCACAACCTGGCTCGAAAAATCCTGCCTTCAACTTAATATATCCAAAACTGTTTGTATGTTCTTCTCAAAAAACACCAGAAATACTATAAACATTATACCAGATATTTCAATAGCAGGACAAAAAATACAAGTAGTCACAGAATTCAAATATCTAGGATTATACATTGATTCAAACCTCAGCTTCAAAACACACATCCAAAACACTAGCAATAAGATTAAATTCTGTTTATCAAATTTTAGGTTCATTAGAGACTGTTTGTCAAATGAAGCTGCCAAAATATACTTCTTTTCCATGGTCCTCTCACATATCACATACTGTATCATAAGTTGGTCAAACGCACACGCCACAACAATCAAACCCATGAAATCATTATATAAACAAGCGCTTAAAACATTGGATAAAAAACCCTACAGATATCACCATTGTCAGGTTTTACAGAAATATAAGTTACTAAATTGGGACAATCTTATAAAATTCAAAAACATTTGTTTAATGTATAAAATTAAAACTGGCTGTGCTCCGCCTTCACTGAGCGAGTTTGTAAACTTCAGATCGAGTGCAGCCAGAGTAACTCGAGGGGCAGTGAGGGAAGACTGCGTCCTCCCCCTCAGAAAAACTGCATTTGGTCAGGCCGTGTTTTCTTATAAAGCCTCCCAGCAGTGGAACTCAGTGCCTGAAACAATTCGCGAGTCTTCCTCATTTAATTCATTTTTAAAAAAAGCCAAAAAGTGGCTTGTGGAGACACAGACTTGTGAGCACTAGTTATATTGAAAATGTATACTTTGCTCATTTCATGTACTATGTATGTATGCAATTATATTGTGTCTTGTAAATTGCTATGTGATTTTAATCTTGCTTTTTCAGGCTGGCTTTGACATCTGCCAAAGGGTCTACCGATGAAAATTAGCTTTTCTGCTAACTCGGGCATATTTACATTGTAAAATGTTGATTAATGTGCACTGTCCCTTTTCAAATAAATAAAATCTAAAAAAAAAAAAAAAACCCAAGGACACAACGACAGCAGACATTAGTGGGAGCCGTTGGAGTAGATCCCGAGGTGGGCTCAACCTTCCAGCCCAAAGGCCAATGCTCTACCAACTGAGCTACTGCCGCCCCAATACAAAACCGATGTATTATTATTATAACCGTGGGACTTCAACAGAGGGGTAATGAGGAAAATGACCACCACCATTTGTGTTCTCTTTAACGTGGGATGACACCCCTCAGCGTTCCCAGTCAGGTCCAAAGTACTGGAGGCTTCAGTGGGAGCTGCTTGGTTATTGGTCGAGGTTTTGTTCTATACATAGTTCCCACATGACGTCACTACATACGGGGATTTGCCGTAGAGCCCTGCACGGGCCTATTATCTGGGCCCGAGCCCGGCCCTGGCCCGAGGGGGTGGCGCCCCAGCCCGGCCCGGCCCGATATGGTTTCTGAATTTTCAGGCCCGAAACCCGCATCAAGCCCGCCTTTTTTTTTTTTTTGTAACCTCCCATAACAATGTTTTAGCGTAGTATATAGTGCCGCGCACTGATATGAACGCAGACTTAGCTAGAGGGCGGAGTTATACATGGTAGTGATGTGTTGCAATGAGTTCTGTGTGTGCAGAGTGGTGCAGAGTGAACGGCCGCATCTGTATGATGCCCCCGATGCTGCAACACATCTGCACATTACATAAGTAATGCTATGTGCCGTCAATGACAACACTACACAGAACAACAAACACTACAGCGTGATAGAACGCTATATTCAGTGGGTGCGCTCGTAAATCTATTCTGCCGCTCTGAAAATGAAGAGCCCGAGCCCGGCCCGTGTCCGAGGTCATTATGCGGTCATCGGCCCGAAGCCCGGCCCTCGGGCTGTCGGGCCGTCGGGGCCCTCGGGGCCCTCGGGCCAAGGGCTCAAGTGCAGGGCTCTAATTTGCCGACCCGGCGCCATTTGTCTTGGCATTCTGTGGGCAAAACAATAGAAAAAGAAGCTGAAACGTGTTAATGTCGTGATAAAGTTGAAAATGGTCATCTCCTGCTGGGTCAATGGATGTTCAAATCGTGCCGGAGGTTCCGTTAAACTTGGATTTTACAGTATACCCATCATTAGACTTCATGAATGTGAGAAAACTAAGCTTTTGTCAGAACAACCACGGAGGTTATGGCTTGCGAAGATAAACAGGCAAGAAACTCCCTCAAAACACGCAAGAATATGCTCGGAGCACTTTGTGTCAGGTGCGTATCGTATCTCATAATGTGTTGACAGACGTAATTTACTCAGTACTAACTTGTGTATGCTGATATCTGGTAACTTGAGAGTTTCATTATTTAGATTACTTTATTATGAGGAGGATCGGTGTCGCGTCCGAGGCTCTCGAGGGCAACGTAAATGTATTAAATAGATAATAATAGTTCTATGGTGGGCTAAAACAATGTTCACAAACAGCATTGCTTCTGTAAAAAGATCTGTGTCATAAAATAAACTGCTCTTTACGCCTGGAAAAATCAGTTGCCCACCATTCACCAAAACATACGGTCAAAAACGCGGAAATAAACAATAACAGCAATCCAGAGTGTCCGTGTGGCATTAGCATTAATTAAATTAATTGTTAATATAATTAAATGGAGCTCCAACTGGTATTAAATCTAAAGTTTTTGAGAAATGTTTGCATTGCTTGTTAATTTTTGCTGCATAATTTGATCAAATATGTAAAACATGTCCGTAGCACGTTAAACTGTGGTGCCATTGTATTAATATACAATTATTTGCTCAAAAGTTGCCCTTTTTTTCCAATTTGCGTTTGAATATCTACATTTATTCTCATTCTTCTGTTTAATGGAATGCACAAACACAGCAGCGTGCCATCAAAGATGGCGTCTCCGAGGAGGTCATGTGACATTCATTGGTCTGTGGGAACTATGTATACCCTCCATTCAGGGATCATGGGAGTTTGCCCCCATGTGATTTGTGGATCTGGAAAAGGCAATCAGCCATGTTTCCCGGGTGTCCTATAGGTTTTCTCCAGGTGTAGAAGGTTTGGGGCCTTGGCTGTGTTTGCATTGCCAACAGAAAGTCATGTGACAGATAAGTTAATGCAACTTCAGAAACATTTTAACAAATCAAGAGATGCATGTATATATTTCTGAATCCACTTCAGTTTGGTTGGGAATAAAATAGGTATGATGCATATTGAACCCCTAATAGAAACTTTTTTCTTGTCTCAACTCTTTGAAGACAATACATTTTGATCCCCTGCAACTTGCACCTCTTACCTATATTTTCTTTTCAACTTTCAGTCCTATAATAACGCACAGTATCCGTCTACCCATGGCTACAGACAATTGGATGCATTCACAATGGTCTTGTTCTTTGAAGAAACCAGTATGATGTAGTAATAGGTTGCAGTAAAATGCAGCAATTACTGCCATCCCCTTTTCCCAGAGCATGATGGGAAAATAGAGGGGGGCTGGTTCAATCTTACACTGTCTATGGGGCTTTAGTTTGAAGAAGCCTTATGATCGCGTTTACATGTCACCAGCTGTTCCAAAGCCATTTTTTCCAAAGTAATTTCTCCTTCTAATTACAACAGAGCTGCTTTAACACTGTGTGTGGTTTGGCGTCAGTCACGCAGGTATAATCCCCTCCACTCTCCCACCTCCTAAAGTTTTCAATTTCTTCCGTGTGCTCTGGTGAGGAATAATAAATACTGCCACATACTCTGGGGGCAGTGGCTCTTAAAGACTTGTGTGGCTTATGTTACTGACTCCACTCCTTTGGTCGGATGCGTGTTGAATGTTTGATGAGAAACTCCTAATTTCTTATCAGGCTAAACATTTTTATTGCTGTATCGGGCCCAAACTGTAAACAAAATGTTATTTTTGGAAGTCATCCAGTGTCATAGCCTCAAGTGTTTGTTGTCGTACGACAGTCTGCGCTCACTCACGATCTGAAGTCTTGATTATTATGCATGTATTATACAACCTTTAGCACACTGAACTGTGCGGTGACCATCAGTAAAATCCTTATTCCATTAGGGCAGAAACAGGGGCGACAGTAGCTCAGTTGGTAGAGCATTGGCCTTCAGGCCTGAAGGTCGTGGGTTCAATTCCCACCTCCACACCTTCTCCACCGACTCCCACTGATGACAGCTGTCGTTGTGTCCTTGGGCAAGACACTTAACCCCACTTTTCCCAAAGCCCCCACTGAAAGATCAAGGCTATGCTCACACTCAGAGAGCAGCCGTCCTCCTGTGGACTCACCACCTGCAGAGGGTCAGTGAGGGGCTGGTGCTATGAGACTTGGGTGGTATCTCTGACTGCCACCCCCCTGACCCAGAAATGGATTAAAGGGTAGAAAATGGATGGATGGCATTAGGGCAGAAACAAATGTATCAGATACATGACTATTGATATAGCAACATTTGTGCACTTGGATAGTTGTTGTTTTGGAGTCTTTGTATAGTCCACATTTCTGAAATCAGGGCTGTGTTGCATACCAGAATGACATACCACTTTCTTGTGAATTTGAATATATTTCACTCTTTTTAATTGACCCTTGAGTTATGTAACTAATGTTGGGGCTCAGAAGCCCTGGGTCAAGGTTGAAAAAAGAGGCGGGAGAAGTGCAATGCTCCAACAGCAATGCAGCCCTCCAACTTTCAGTGCAGTTGTGTCCTGTCCCTAGAGTCAGGTCCGGTCTTGGTCCAGGTCTGGTCCTAGATGGCTACAGTGGAAAATGACTAATTATTTGGTTTATTTTAGATCAATAGCATAAGAAATGTAAGATACAGAGTCAAATTGTGGGTTATGTGCTCCAACAGAGAGGGTCTTATGCTTTTTCAGCCTTTGTGCATAGGAGTGTTCAGATTTAGCGGTTTATACAGATGTTGGTGTCATCATGGAGTGATTGATGAGAGTCTGTTCAGTCTCCTATCTTCTCCAAACTCACTCCTCTTGCCCTTTCCATTTCTTTCTGGATGTTGAAAAGAAAAGTGGGCATAGAACTTGGCCATCCTCCTTTCATGTTTGCTAGCGGCTTCTTCCACAGCTGAACGCTAATTTATTCACAATTATTATGCATCTCTTTCATTACGTTAATAAATCATGAAATGGACACCTATGTGCTTTGGCTTGTTATGAAAATGGCCATGATACCGCTCTCTTTTCTTCTGTTTTCTGTTCCGCTTTGTCCCTCCAGGTCTGACCCAAGTATGAGTCAGTCTGGTGTGCCTCCTTAAGAGCAGACTTTATTCCACAACACCAAACACCAGTTCCTGAGAAACTGTTGTGCCGTCTTAAAATGATGGTAAATTGAGAGGCTTATGTAATTGTAGGATGTGCCATGTCCTCGGCCGGGCTGGTCTCTGCCAACAGCCCGCAGAGGCCAGTGTCATTGGTCTGTTTTCCTCCATCCCAGTTCTGTCTTCTCTCTCTGACAGTTTGTCTTGTTTTAGGCCCGTCTCATCTCGGCTAACAAGTCTCAGTGGGGTCATTTCTGTCGCTGCGTTAGAACTCCGGGACAATAATGCTGCTATGGTTTTGACACTAAGGGCAAAGTGATAAGAGGAAGCTGCGTTTGAAGAGACAACTGGTTTGAATTATACCAGTAACATTGACAGAGCTGAGGACACATGGCAGTGTAATGGTAAGCTTTTAATTAAGCAATATGTGAAGTACACTATATCGACTGTCAATTATGCAACAAACATGTATCTATTTGAGACATCTTAAACAGATACACTGACTTATAACTACTCCAAATAAATTGTTTAAATATATATGATTAATAAATATATGAAATGTCTCTGAAAATATCTCAATGAATGTAGAACTTAAATCAGACATGTCCAAACTCAGGCCCTAAACTCTGCTGTTTTATATGGCCCTTCTGTTGCTAACACAAAGTCGCCATTGAGGCACCTTTACTGCGTCATCCAACCAACTTAATCTCCACCAATACAGTCATGCTATACCTTCCAGGCCTTGATTCTATTGTTACAGTATATACTGACTAGTTTTATGATTCACAACATTCCAGATGATATGCAGCTGTATCAATAAAAATGTATCATAACCCATTGTAATATCCAGAATCCAGTCAATCCAGCTCGAATCCAGTTTTTCATAATCCTGGTTCTCGGCCCCAAGTCTGATGAACTATAGTGGCCCTCTCACCAAAACGTTTAGATACCCCTGACTTAAACCAATGGCTAACTACAATGGAATGGAACTATGAATGCACTTTGGTGTGAGGCGATGGAGGGTCTTCATACTCAGAGCTGCTTTAAAGTCTGTCTGAACCACAGGAGGTCAGTGCAGAGACCTGGGACCAGGACTGATGTCCCCTTACACACCGCATGGCTCAGTGGAAGCACAAAATACAAGCTTTGCATATTTTTGCCATGCAGTGATGCGGCTTTCAGGCAAAATCCATGAAACAATGTCCAAGCCATTAGACCACTGGCTTCCAACGTAAACTCTCCTCTGTTTAATTATGGGGTCAAACAATCTTTTAAATTGTTCCTGTTTTCTTCCATAGAATGGTGTTGCTGCAAACGCACACAGAAAGATAGTGGTTTGAATTGATGATAGTTGTCTTGACAGTGGATTATTTCACAAACCAAACACTGATATCGTCTGTTTTCTCTCGGCCTAAATATTCTTGTTATCACTATTCATTTCATTGCTGTTTTTTGCTCCAGACTTTTCCTTTCAGCTGTCATCGTCTTTCAGCCCGTGTCCCTTTCTGTCAAATATATTTTCCATTTAGTTCATAATCTGCCTCTGTATCTCGGCACATTTCTGCTTTTTTGTGTCTTTTTGAAACAGCTTTGATAAGACTCGCACTGGTCTCTGTCTGCCTCATTCCCCTCTCTTCGTCGCCTGCTACATTAGTATGCTAACATTACATTGAGCTGATTAGATAGCCCGCTTCAAGGATGAATCCCCCCTAGTGGCCTCCGAGTGTGTGTGCGTGCTCAGACCAAAGCTGCATGGCTCCAAACCTCTTTTCAAGGTAATGTGGCCTGTTCTGCTTCATACATGATGAAGACTGTGTGTGCGTGTGCGTGTGCGTGTGCGTGTGCGTGTGTGTGTTCTAGTATTCATAATAGTTTATGTATTAATTATCTTTTCCTCATTATTATATTTTCTTTTCTGCTTCTTGTGTTCACCTTTTCTTGTTTCCCCTCACTTGACCTTTTATCATCTTTTTTTCATGCTGCCTCCAATTGTGTTCTAATATTCTAACGAAAGGCAAAGGAGAAACAAATTCAATACTTTTGGGAAGACCAGTATTTGTGATCTGGCTCAGTTTGCCACTATTCAGAAAATAGTTACTCTTTTTAAGCCACTGTGTGTTATACTGTTTCATAATATGGCAGATACAGTGCCATATTATGAAACAGTATAACACTCTTGAACAAACCGTGTTCACAGTCCCATGACATTTCTGTGTTGAATTTAATGACTCTAAAATCATGAAACTGTAGTAAACTATAATTGTGTTTACTCAGTGTTGAGTTGTTGGAATTGTCACCTGCAGGTGGCAGCAGTGTCATTATTGCCTGAAATGTTTCCAGTGGGATTATTGTTGTATAATGCAGGCTGTTTATGCACGACTTACCAGAAGTGTGCAGGTGTGAATACTAGTTTGTCCTGGGAATTGTAATTCATATTTTCATTACAAGCCCATGTTCAGGTTTAACAACATCGCCCTATTACAGAGAATATATGTTCTGCATTAGCTCTTGACAGTAAGTCTTGAGAAATACCATAAGAGACACCATAAGAGCACTGTCTTTCTCCTCCCAGGCGCCCATGTTCTCATGGCCGCGGCTGCGCGACGCTGACCCGGTGCTGCGCTGTGAAATGGCCTCCACCGGAGAAGTAAGATCACAATGAAATGTATTTGACGGTGGTTCTCCTGACCACACTTATCCTCACGATGCTGTTTCAGGTTGCCTGTTTTGGGCCAAACATTTATTCAGCCTTCCTCAAGGCTATGCTCTCCACGGGGTTCAAGCTGCCCCAAAAGGGCATCCTGATCGGGATTCAGGTAAGACTGAGGCTCCAGGTCCAGAGGTTCTCTGTGTGTGTGCTGTCTGCTCTTCTCTACTTCTGTGAAAACAACTCTGTGTGCGTTCATCTGATCGCACATCAAACACACAATTACTGTTAGTGGAGCAATAATTGTTTTTCCATCGAGCAGACATCATTCAGGTGAAACTTTTAAAAGTGTAATAACGTCTAACTGTAATAACGTAATAACGTCTGGAACCAATATATAACAAAGACTTATTACATGCAAAGTGACAGATGCCAAACCATCGTTCGCTATAAAGTGGATTATTAAGGCTTACACTCTTCATTAAGGGTTATTAAGGGTATTAGGCCGACAGTCTAGATATTTTCATCCCCCCGCCCACAAAAAATGGACTGTTTTCAGAGCCCATTGTAATCTATTTCACACATTGTAACTAATATAAACCTCAGCCCTAACTGCAGATTGTTATGTGTCAAAAATGTGTTCCATCTTATGCTAGCAGTGTCATTTAGCCTTCTGTGTTATCGGCTTTTTTATTCTCATTTTATTTTAATTTACTGTATTTTCGTGCTTTCTATCGCCCCCCCTGCAATTGCTCTGCGCCCCCCACTTTGGGAACCACTGAACTAGGGAGTGATCAAAATGTCTGTTCACCTTATATACCCCTTTCCCAATTCTAGCACTCTTTTCGACCAAATTTCCTGGCCACAGCTCATCATCTCAAAGAGGAAGGGTTCAAGGTATGTCTCATTATTCTGAAGTCTTTTGTTTGTGTTGCTATTACTTTGCCCTGGAGTATGTGAGGCTATATATTTGTGCAGCTCTTTGCAACTGAAGCCACGTCCGCCTGGCTGTCTGCTAACGACGTTCCTGCCACTCCTGTGGCCTGGCCCAGTGACGAAGGAGGACAGTCAACTATGCCCAGTATTCAGAAGTAAGCCTTGGCAAACCCTTAGTTGTCCACAGTGTGCACTTGTTGCTTTGTTGGGGGTCCACCTGCTTGTTTCCATGGAGATGTGACAACCATGTGACTACTGTCCTATTGTACATTCCATTACTGAAGATTTTTTATTTTGTTTTACTGGAATACTGTGGACTAGTTCAGAGCAACAGTAATGCTTCATGATTATCAGTTAAATGAGAGAAAAAGAGGGCTCTTTGTAAGTGCTAAAAGGTAAATTTAGTGAAATTGGGTAATTATTTTTACTGATTTAATTTTCTTCCCAAATTCTTTAATTTGAGCTCTTTTGAGATCAGGGGTGGTTGCTCCTGTGGACTCAGCACCTGCAGGAGGATCAGTGAGGGGCTGGTGCTCTGTGTACTGGGTGCAGCTCTGACTGCCACCCCCCGACCCAGAAATGGATTCAGGGGTGTCCAACCCTTTTCGTAAAAGGGCCGCTTTAGTTCACCAGACCAGACCAGGGACTGACATCACAGACTGAAAAACTGTCTTGACTGGCATCGGGCTCAAAGACTACTTTGGGTTAGCGAGGCAGAGGGCCACATTAAATGACACTGAGGGCCGCAATTGGCCCCCGGGCCTGTCTTAGATCAAGTGTTACGTGTACAAACTAGATGGCTGAATGTTTGCACCATACTGAAAGTTCTATTGTATGACTATTTAAAGTTGCAATAATGCCTTTTAAATGCTCCTTGCTCGTTCCCGTCTATGTGAATGCGTTTGCAATTATAATTCGTGCTGTTATTGAAACCAGCCCATGGCGTTTTTGACTTTTTCATGATCAAGAGCCACACATGTACAGCGACTTGCAAAACAGAGGGAATGTGGTTTTCCAGGTAAGGATTCTTAAAAAAACGTCTCATGAATGTGGCTCCGTGAATCCATCTGGTCCATATGTTTTTGCTTTTGCCACAAACTGCAGACGTCGAGGGCATAACAGAAATGCATTGGTCGCACATAGATAACCTCGCACAGACACAGACGGCATCAGCTGCAACACAGGGGCCGGCTTTTTATAGAGGAACCTGACCTTTGTTGACATGGCCTCCACATTCTCCCATTAAAATGCACTCCTAATTTCTTCCTCAATGTCAGAAGGCCGTGCAGCGAAACTACACAAGTTTATTCTGGTCCAGGGGTAGAAGGAAACACAAACATACTGTCCTTGTCGCTGAAAATCGGATTAGTTTGGCCAGAAGATTAACTCCATGCTGTTTACATTACATTTCTTTTCAATTTGAGTTGAGTTGTCCACAAGGGATATAATTGATTAGTCGGCCCAATATTCTTCAGATTTACAGTATAGATGAGTTGTTTGGATCGCGAAAGTCGAAGGATATGGGATTTGTTATACATTTAACCAAAACAAATGCTCATGTAGACATTGGGATATTTGATTAAAATGATTCTGCGTCATAAAAACCTCTTCCCATCATGTGTTCGTCTAAGTAAGTTTAAAAAAAACAATAATTAGATTACAAAATTAGGTCATAACTCTTATTATTGATAAACTTGTTGCAGCCCTGGTGTAAACTTTCGTAGAACCGTTGTGTTTTCCTGGAAATGTTGCTTCTGTGACTACAATATTCTACTCTGAACCTCTGCATGAAGTTAAATATACACCTTAAGTATGTTTTTTTTGTCTTTTATTTCTATGAATTCAGACAGGTGATAAACTAACGTTACATTCATCCATCCATCTTCTTCCCCTTAATCCATTTCTGGGTCGAGGGGGGGTGACAGTCAGAGCTGACCCCAGTCCACAGAGCACCAGCCCAGAACGTTACCCGCTGTTTCTTAAATGTTCATTCAGAATTCTCCAAAAAGCCAATGCATTTCACCACAGCTCAAGTTTTGTTTTCACCGCAGACTCATCAGCGACGGAGAGATTGACCTAGTGGTGAATCTGCCCAATAACAACACTCGCCACGTGAAGGACAACTTCCTCATCCGCCGACTGGCTATCGACCACGGCGTCCCCCTCATCACCAACTACCAGGTCCTCATCCTCGCTCTGGTGTCCGTGCAGTTTGAAAAGATAATAACTATTTCATTTCTGCCGTTTCCCTGCGTCATGTTGCAGGTGGTGAAGCTGTTTGCGGAGGCCATTCGTTACGCAGATGAAATCGACACGACTAGTCTTTTCCATTACCGTCAGAAAGACAGATATCGGAGCCAACTCATCCCGCACACATGAAGCCGCAGCCTTTGTTCTTTTGTGTTTTGTTTTACTAAATGTTTTATGTATTTTCGGAGGAGTCTGAGCATACACATGACAGATGATTAAGCCGAACAGACCCGCCTCTTGTTTTAACATAACGTTTACAGCGTCTCAAAGCCGCTTGGGTCTTTGTGCTCCGGCTTGTTCTCCCAGAGCATATTGGCTCTGATTTTCTTAATCGTCTTAAGAAAAACCAAGTGAATAAATGTTTATAATTAATAGCTTTGATAAAATCTATATTAAGAAAGCTGCCGCAGTTGCTTTGTGGCCAAATGTTACAAAAAATATATAATTTTTGCCAAAGCCTTTGCCATAATAGCACTTTTTTAGATTACCCAAATGAAATATCAGTTCTATTTTTTTGCTTCAAACTATGCATTGTTCTAGATTGTCTTACTGAACTGCTGGCATTTTAATAAACAGAGTCAAATGGTGGAGAAGCGAGTCCTGTAGCTTGCAGACCGGGCAGAGGAGGACCCTTTTGACAATAACACCAACTTTCCTTATTCAATGGTCTATTCCATTTATTTTTAGCCCTAAATCACAACAGTAGTTATCTCAGAGGATCGCCATCAACAGATCAGGGAAACAAACAATCTCTGTCTGGTGAAGTTATTTCAAAGGTTACATTATTTTTATCATGGGTGAGAACTTGACCAAATAACATGTGATTCTGTCTGTATTCTTTAAAGTGGACATATCGTGTTTTCAAATAATTGATTTTTACATCTAAATCATTAATTTGTGGCCTATATAAAGCGTAACTGCAATGCCTGGGTCTGAGTCTCATTATTTGTAGCTCCACGGGCCTTTCTTCTACACCTGTTCTGAGGTGCGTCTGAGAGCAACCTGTTTTGGAAACCTGTTTCTAAGCACAGATACAATTATCTCATAGAAACTTCTCATTACATCGCAAACATGAAGCAGGCCTTCCTCATTGACTGAAAGCAAATGTTAATTTCTCTAGATCTGCTGTTTTTGCAGCAAAACGACATGCCCAACTTTTCTGCCCGTTGAAAAATAACAAAATCATGTTTCATTTTGCTTCACATTTATTTCTTGTTTGTGAACTTTTATTTAAAAAATCGAAATAAAAGACAAAAAAACATGTGTAAAAGTTCAAGCTGTGTTAATCCTTTTGCGAGGCTCTGTAATTATAAAGTTTAAGAGACCCTTTATTCGTCCCACAGTGGGGAAATGTCAGTGTTGCATCACCGGTTACAGGGCAGTAAGAATGAGGAGCACACAACTGAAAGCAAATGTTAATTTTCATTCTTAGTCCAATCTTATTATCGACTCTTCTCTTTTTAGCTTTGGGATCCATGCACACAGTCAAGGCAAGGAAAGGCAAGTTTATTTGTATAGCACAATTCATACACAAGGCAATTCAAAGTGCTGAACAAAATAAGAAAGCATTAAAATCATAAATAATCACAGAACATGAAAAAGAAAGATAAAAATATAAAATCCCTCAGTTGTAGCACAGCTAAACAGAACTGTCTTTAACCTGGTTTTAAACATTGTCAGAGAGGAGGCCTGTCTCACATCTTCAGGAAGACTGTTCCAGATTTTAGCAGCATGAATCTGAAAAGCAGCCTCCCCATGTTTAGTCCTGACTCTGGGCACTAACAGGAGTCCAGTCCCTGTGCTCCTCAGAGTCCGGGCTGGTTCATATGGGACTAACATGTCACTAATATATTTTGGTGCGAGGCCATGGAGAGACTTGTACACAAGCAAAGCTCACATATGACGCACTGCGTTGACAGAAATGTTTAAATTGAATATTACTTATGCACAATTTTAAAGACGCATGCACCTCCGGAGCCGCAGGTTGCCGACCCCTAGTCTATACAGTATGTGGAAGCAAATACTGTAGAGGATCAGGATATGTGCAGTTTCAACAATAAAATAAAATGCAATAGTCTGCATTACAAGAGAGTAATAAACATGTCTCAGAGTGAGGGAGGTGGACACAGACAACACTATTGTTTGTTACAGGGATGAGAATTGGTCAAAAAAGACTGAAATGTATATTGTCAGCCATTTGCTGGCTCTAAATCTGTTTTATTTGTTCACAACATATTACTTTTGGGCTCAAACATGAACTTTTAATGCAATGCAAAATTTAGGTATCAGAGCTTTATTTAGGGCGTTTTATCGCGCTTCGAGAGGAGAGGGGAGACGCGGACTGTTTCCTGCAGCAGTGTATTTATTGGGTGCACAGAGAACTCAAAGACACGCATGGTCCTGTGCGCGTTTATGGGGTTGGGTACATGGTCACGTTGAGGCTGCGCGCTCAGCCACAACACGGTGGAGCGGCTGCGAGCGGCTGGACGCTCACAGCCTCTCGCAGCCGCTGGACGCGGAAGCTGCTCATTACAAAGCGGCCGCTGATGCCCCGAAACACTGCGGCCGCTGAGGTGGCGGAATCCCGTTCGAGTACATACAGCAGGTGCCCCGCGGATACGGGCGCCCCGCTCAAAAAATTCTCAACGGATTAACACTTCTCATAAACATGTGTTTTGTATGAGGCAGACAGACCGGCCCAAATATGGGCATTGGCCCTTTGGGCATTGCCCGGTACGCCCGATGGCCAGTCCAGCCCTGTTCGCTGGCATCCTTGAGCTTGGACTACAAATTCGAAGTGATGCACAGTAGAGGAGGGCTGGGCCGAAGTGTTTTGTTAGACGCCCATGCCCTTATATGGCAGTCTCGCTGCAAACACTGTGACGTAATAGTTCTAAACACGTAATAGAGAATGGCAAAATCAGAACGGGTTGAAAAATCTTACCTAAACAGAATATGAAGTGTTCTCTGCAACCCATGAAGAGACTGATTTCAACTTTTTTGCACTTCTAGAGGCTCCAACTACACAACATCAGGCAATTAAGACACAAAAAGTGGATTTTTCATGATATGTCCCCTTTAACATCCAATTGTCTGGCAACTCAAATGTGAAACATAACTTTCCGAGGTGTCCTAGAACATTTTGCTGCTTGTTCACAGACGTTCGGTCAGATACGTTCGCAAAACAATGCTTAAAGTGAAGGTAAAAATGTTGAATTCATCCAATTATTGTCTGTGGAATCATGATTTGAGCCAGGAGCCCAATAAAGACAATCAGGAAGTGGGACTAGAATCTGTATGGGGACTCCAGTGTTTACCACACGGGTAAAATAGCAATCATTTAAATTCAAAACAAATATTTTTCAAAGCGGCGAGATAGAGAGAGAGAGCATGTATTAGAATAGTTTAATAATGTTGATTTGGTTTCTCCAGCTGGCGTGGGCCCTGCTGCTTCTGTCGGAGGGAGAATAAACCTGCCTAATTGACATGCGTTTTTCATGCTGAGCTAAATTAATTATTTACGGAGGTGAGGTGCACACAGGGCTCAGGAGGCAGCCATTTGTCAGGCCTGACTCACATTGAAGGGCTGTGGAGAAATCTGGGCTGATAAAACGACGGATGCTTGGCCCACAGCAGCTGAACTCATTTCAATTGTTCTGACGTGTGTTGACCTTATTAATATCATTCAAGTTTAAGATTCTGTGCTCATTCAAAACGAATCGTGGTGCATTATTAAGAGATCACAAATATTTTATCCAAACATCTAAAACGTGTGCATTGTTACCGTTTTCCTAAAGGGCTCCTTGACAGACAGAATTACATGGATTTATTAATGAATGGACAGCTCTATTTCCTGCAGTTGTGAGCAGATTTTTGGGACATTTTTATTTGGGCGGCTCAGTGGCTGGGTGGATAGCTCTTCCACTTCTCAGCAAGAAGGTCCTGGGTTCAAATCCTGGTCAGAATAGGGCCTTTCTGAGTGGAGAATTGCATGTTTTCTCTGTGCCTGTGTATGTTTTTGTGGATTCCCGTAGCTCTAAAAACATGCACACTTGGTAAAATCCTCCAGCTCTGGTCCTGACCAAGCCGATGTAGATCTTCATATCATTGTGAAGCAGAATTCACAAAGGATTGGATTGTTCTCCCTCTAATAGGGAACGTGAGCTGGGTTTAGACCGTGTTGTTGCAATAGTAATCCTGCTGAACCACTGCACCTGATGTAAGCCTCAGTGGCATCAGGGTCAAATGCACACAGGATGAATTGCCCAACAGCCATTAATGAAGTGCACGTTTACCTTTAATATAATTCGTATCCATATCTTGTGTTTAGGTCAATAACCACTTTTAAGTCCCGACAGCACAGGACAGATCTTATAGTTCCCCTGATGAGATCTGAGGACATAATTCCTCTTTCGTTTCAGTTACAATAACTATAATGGAAGCTGCTTTCAAGAGAGATTGATAGATTTTATGCTTAATTGTTTTCAGGACGATCAAGCTGTTGAAGTTTCCATAATGAGTGTGCATGCTGCTGCAGCAGGGCCACCTGTGGCGTGACATGGTGTTCTCACATCATGGATTTGGTAATAATTTATGGGGTCGTTTAGTAACATATGACCTAAGGTTTTTAAAATAAAGTCTGTTCATTTCCTCAGCACACAATTATTACTCCAGTACACACTTTCTGTAGAAAAAAACACAATTGACAAATCATTTATAAATGGTCACTGCAGTCTGTCCTGTGGTTTGCTCTGGGGATATTTACAACAGTTTTGTTTGTTGTTTTACAGTGTAGTGGTTCGAAGTCCTGCTAATATAATAATCTTTCTGTAGATAATCTCGACAAAATGAGGCAAAAGAAAGTTATCCATGTCACGTGTTGGACCCAAGCAGACCCAACACACATAACGGTCCCTTTTGAATCCAAAGTTATCCGCTGTAGGCTTTTAAAGTCCCCTGCACACCTGTCCATGTTTCCAGGCGAAGGCAGAGCGTTTATAATGACGTGAAAAACAGTTCACTCCGGTATCGCCCAAAAAAGCAGCTTCATAATAACAAACTGATGATTCCAACTTCAGGAAATCAGTCTCTATACTTCTCCTTCACAAAAGTAAATCTATTCTGACGTC